ATCGTCAATGCTCAGAAAGAGATTCTCTTCGCAACAATGTATTGGGAAAGAAGTGAAAGTGCGAATGTCATTCGTCGCGCTTTTCAAGATTTAGACAAACGGGCGAATGCTGAACATCGTCACGTGATTATCAAATTGATGATCGATCGTCCAAACATCACAAATACTGTTCAATATCATTCAATTCTTCGTCCGACAAAATGGTCTGATTACGATCTTCCAGCTCCAGATGAAATTCCTAATATTTCTCTTGAAGTTCATAATTACCATCATTTCATTATGGGAACTTTTCATTCGAAATTTCTTATAGTCGATCGAAGAGTTGTACTTTTAAATAGTAATAATATTCAAGATCGTCCAAATCTCGAAATGATGTCGCAATATGAAGGAGAGATTGTCAATTCCTTTTACGATACATTTTTGATCTCATGGTCGATTCCTTTTCAACCAAATCTTGTTTGTTTAAATGACAATCCTCTCATTGAACAATCACACTTTGAATATCTGGAAAATGAAATTCCTTTGCAAAGATTTCCATTTGATCATATCAATCCAACGAATAACAAACAAAATTCTTCATCACTTGTCGACCGAATATTCGATTTTCATAAATCTTCCACTTCGTCTCATGAAAAACTTTCGAATGAACAAATCGAAAAATTAACATCCGAATTTACTCCGTTTATTTGTCACCGTTCACATCAGCCATTTCCAATTGTATTGGTCAACCGCTCACCTCATGGTACACCGATGCATAGGAATAAAACGAATCCACAAAATGCTGCGTGGATAAGTGCGTTTCGATTTGCGGAAAAATCTATTTTCATTCAAACACCAACATTCAATGCTTCGCCAGCGATCGAAGGAATTGTTGATGCTTGTCGAAGAGGAATTAAAGTGACATTGTGGCTTGGATGGGGATTCAACGATTTGAAAGAAGGTCGAGGAACATTTCAAGGTGGAACTAATAAACAAGTTGTAAAAAAGTTATATAAAAAATTGAAGAAAATTCCAAATGGAATCGAAAATAATCTCGAAGTGTTTTGGTATGTGGCTAAAGGTGAGATTTGAATTCTTATTTATTTCAAAAGGAAAATCTTTGTTGTTTGAAGATCAAATGAGACCAATTCATTTTTCGGAAAAGAAGCGAAATTGTCATATTAAATTTATGTCGATTGATGATCAAGTTGCCATTATGGGTAACGCAAATATGGACAGTTTCTCATGGTTTCATTCACAGGTATTTCAACTAAGAATTTGATTTTCAAATTTAATTGAAAAAATTTTTAGGAAATAAATACAATGATCGATTCACCTTTGATTGTTCAAGATTGGATCAATGGTTTATACAAAAATCAATCAACGAACATTTACGGAAAATTGAATAACGATGGAAAATGGTGTGAAAATAATCAACAACAATCACTTGTGGACTCTCATTAATCTTTTCTCAATTCTAAGAATGCGTCATCATTCTAAAGGTGTGAATGTCGATTAACATGATCGTACGTGTTTTTCTATTGTTCATTATGTGGAATTTTTCTTTTTATTTCATTCGTATGAAAGTAAAGTGCAATTATTGATATAAATCACGTTCATAAATATCGCAAAAAATAACACAAAACATCTGCTTAATAAAAAAATCGAATGCTTTTAACTAATCAACGTCAATAGAAAAGCAGCGAGAAAGTCTTTTCTTTATTATAAAAACAAGCAGAATGGTCCAGGTATAATGCAATGATTGAGTTTGATATTTGTTCATGTTGTCATTGCTTTACAACAAATGAATATTATCAGTGATGAATTACTTTGTCGAAATTTGAATAAAGAAGAAAAATTGGGGAGTTCATTTTAATCGTGTAAATCATTTTGATGAAAGTGAACGTGAGAATCTATTTAATCTTTGAGTTCTTCATTATATTAGAAGAGAATTTTACAGAATCGATCGATTCGTCGGAGTGAGGGGTGAAGGTTTGATGATAAAATTGTTTGCGATAGTCACAATTCCTTCTCAACACACATTTGCAGAGAACATTTAAATAAATAACACACATTCATCGATCTTTCTTTGTACAATGATTTCATTGGCATTATTTCGACTATTTGACATTCATCTAATAAAAAGATTATAAAAACAAGGGATCGATTTTATCACGATTATCGTAAATCGATAAAACTCTTCGATCACGTTCTATATTGAAGAGAAAAGAAAAGAGGAAAAACAAAATTTTTCATCGAAATGAACTTGTCGTCACATGTGTCTATTCAAAGGACAAAAGAGAGTGAGGTCAAGTATTAAATATCTACCCGTAATGGTTTCTTTTGTACTTTGTAGAAAGAAATATGAACGAGAAGAAAGTTCGTCAAGTAAATGGATTAGATTGGGCTGAATCATCAATATTTCATTGGTTTCATGTGATCTTTTGGACTTGGATTAATCCAATATTAACAATTGGTCATAAACGCGAATTAACAGAAGATGATCTCTTCGAAGTTTCATCGAAAGACGAATGTCAACATTTACTGAATCGAATAACAAAAATTTGGGATGAAAATATTCATTTAGACACATGGAAAGTGTTAATTAAAACTTTTTGGAAAAATTTTCTCATCTCCGGTGTTATTCTTTTTCCATACACAGCCACAAAGATTGCACAACCATTACTTATCAAAGAAATTATTTTGATAATCAATGATCATCAACGACCTTCCTATATGGGATATATTTACGCATGTTGTTTAGGTCTTTCTACAATTGGACAAGCGATGATGCATCAACAATATTTCTTTCGTATAACTCGTATTGGATCTCATGCACGAATTGCATTATCAACAATTATTTATAAACGATTATTGTCGTTATCGACAAGTTCGATGATTCAAACGACAACGGGTCAAATCGTCAATTTGATTTCGAATGATGTGGGAAAGTTCGAAGAGTTAAGTGTAAGTATTCATCTGCTTTGGGCAGCTCCTTTAGAAGCCATGATCGTCTTTGTATTAATTTGGTTTGAAATTGGTCTTCCAACATTATTTGGTTATGGAGTTTTACTTCTTCTTGTTCCGTTACAGTTGATCTTTAGTAAACAATTTGGTAAAAATCGAAAAAGTACTGTGGAATGGTCGGATAAACGAGTCAAGGTGATTAATGAAATTCTGGTCGGTTGTCAAATTGTGAAAATGTATCGATGGGAAGAAGCGTTAGAAAATGTTGCTTACAATGCTCGTGAAAATGAATTCCGAAGTGTAAGAAAAGCCAGTCGAATCCGTGCAATTAATAATGGCATTTCATTTGCTGCATTACCGATTATTTCCTTAGCTTTATTCGGTGGAAGTTGGCTCATGGGACAAAATTTATCTCCTGCGAATATTTTCACTACTTTAGCCTTCTTAGGAAATTTACGATATCCAGTTACAATTGGTTTACCTTATGCAATCGAAAAATTAAGCGAAAGTCGAATTGCGACAAAACGAATTAATCAATTTATGAAATTATATCAACGAAATGAAGAAATGAAAGATCAAAATGGATCTGTAGGTTGTATTCAAATGAATAAAGCATCATTTACTTGGAATAATTCTTCTTCTGTTACTGAATTAAATGATATTGATTTAAATATTACCAATGGATCATTAGTTGGAATCATTGGTTCGACTGGTTCATGTAAATCTTCACTTTTATCTGCTATTCTTGGTGAAATGTTATTAAACAAAGGTACAAGTCAAATATCCGGTCAAATCGCATATGTTTCTCAAATTCCTTGGATATTCGCTGGTACAATTCGTGAAAATATTTTATTCTGTCAATCATTTCACGAAGATAAATACACCCGTGTACTTCAAGCTTGTCAATTAACCACCGATTTACGTTCATTCGTTGCAGGTGACATGACAATTATCGGTGAAAAAGGCGTAAATTTAAGTGGGGGACAAAAAGCGCGTGTTTCTCTTGCACGAGCAATGTATACCGATGCGGATATTTATCTATTTGATGATCCATTAGCTGCTGTCGATCGATCAGTTGCTCAAAAGATCTTTAAAGAATGTATCAGCAATGAAGGTATAATAAAGAACAAAACACGAATATTGGTTACACATCAAATACAATTTTTAAACGAATTTGACTATTGTGTTTTGTTGAACAATGGACAAATTGAAAAACAAGGTTCACCGAAAGATTTGTTGTCCATTGATCATGTTGCAAAATCGTACGAAAATCAACAATTTCATGGTGATGAAAAGAAATCTCGTGTCGATAGTTACGTTGATTCATCATCAAAACAACAAATCGATAAAACAAGTATTATGAAAGATGAAATTTCCATCGTTGGAAATGTTAACATTAAAATTTGGGCAAAATTATTCACATCTGCCTATGGAATCATCGGACTTCTCCTTTTAATCTTCTTAATGTTCTTAGGTGAAGCAGCATATGATGCAACGAACAAATGGTTGAGTATTTGGTCATCAAAAACGCCTCATGAACAACGCGAACATCATTATGCATATGTTTATTTTGGATTAGTGATGAGTACTTGGTTAATTTCCTTAATTCGTGCTGATTATTTCTTTAATTTAATTTTACACGGTGCATCGGCGTTACATAATCGAATGTTCAAAGGTGTTCTGTACACTTCATTAAGATTTTATGAAAGTAACCCAGTCGGCCGGGTATTAAATCGCTTCTCCAAAGATCAACAGACTTTAGATGAATTATTACCGATTACATTCTATGATACACTTCAAGCATTGATTATGGTTTTAGGATCAATTGTTATGATTGGAATTGTTAATCGATGGGTATTGTTGATTTTAATACCGATTATTCCAACATTTTTCTGGTTGAGAAAGTATTATTTACGAATAAGTCGAAGTTTGAAACGATTGGAAAGTGTAACGCGAAGTCCTATTTATGCTTTATTTTCGTCGACGTTGAATGGTTTAATGACAATTCGAGCATTTCATAACGAAGAACAATTTTTAAATTTATTTGTTAATAAAATCAATGCACATACACGTGCATTTTTTCTTTTTCAATGTACAGGTCGTTGGTTTGGTATTCGATTAGATTTGATGACGTGTTGTTTAACATTTCTCACTGCCATTTTGTCAATTGTCTTACGAAAACAAATGGAACCATCGGATGTCGCGCTGGCGTTATCGTACTGCATAAGTTTAACTGCACTTTTTCAATGGGCCGTTCGACAATCGGCGGAAACGGAAAATTTCATGACAAGTGCAGAACGAGTTGACGAATATTCACATTTACCACCGGAACACGATTTCTACCAAGGAAAAGTCATTCCACCTGCCAATTGGCCACATGAAGGACGCATTCGATTTGAAAACTATCAACTCAAATATCGTCCTGAACTTGAACCAGTGTTAAAAGGAATTAATTTCGAAATTCTTCCCGGAAATAAAATTGGTGTTATTGGACGAACTGGTGCAGGAAAATCATCGATATTTCAAGCGTTATTTCGTCTCACAGAACCATTAACAACCGAAGGCAAAATTCTTATCGATGATATCGATATTCATACAATTAGTTTAAACGATTTACGTTCAGTATTAAACATCATTCCTCAAACACCTGTTTTGTTTAGTAACACACTTCGATACAATCTCGATCCATTTCAAGAATATACTGATGAACAATTATGGAGCGCATTAGAAGCTGTTCAATTGAAGAACAAAATCGAGAAATTAGATATTCAAATTGCAGAATATGGAAGTAATTTTAGTGTTGGTGAATGTCAATTGATTTGTGTTGCACGTGCTATTTTAAAACCAAGTAAAATTTTGTTAATTGACGAAGCAACTGCACATGTTGATACAAAGACTGATGAAATTATTCAAGAAATTCTACGAGAGAAATTCTCTCAACAGACGATTTTAACCATTGCACATCGATTAAATACAATTATGGATTCAGATGAAATTCTCGTTCTTGAAAAAGGTTCTATTCAAGATTATGGAACACCAAAAGAAATTCTCACGAAACAGAAAGATTTTCTCAATGAAAACTCGGACTGATTTTTACAAATAATTTATCGAAATTTCTTGTCTTGTGATGAATCATCATGTCTGAGTAAATCTAATAAAATTTATTTCGGAAAGAATTCTGGAAGTCATGAAAGTATGATTGTCTTGTTGATATTATGAGTGTTATCTTCCTCCGAAAGATGAAACTCAATCTGTATAACGTACGATATCCTAGCTTCGGATTCGCTCGTGAAAGCTTTCCAACATGCTTTCCAAATGCAACTCGACGAGCTCTACAACTTTGTGTATCAACACTTTGCTGCCAGGCTCTCCTTTCAGACCGAAAAATGCTTAAAACCGACCTCAATCCATGAAATACCTCGGCCAGGCAGTGATTCTAATGACAAAGGGTACGGGACCCGAACGAAAAATAATTTACCCGCTGAATAAAAAAGTAGCGGGTACGCCGTACACTTTATACTTTCTTTTTACACTTTGCTTTTAACGTCTTAAATAAGAAACACTTGTTTGTACTCCTGTGTAAATATACATACTCTGTCGAATAGGACGAAAGATAGAGGCACTAATGTATTCCTCTTTTCTCTGTCATGGTCACATTCAACATAACAGAGACATAAAGCAATAATGCAATGTTATTGAATTTAGTCTAAAGGTTTTTCAGAGCTTCTAAACCGAAGGTGTACGCTAATATCTTCCTGAAAATTACTGTGAATCTTGAAAATATATTCTAGATACACATATTAGTAAGAAGATAAAGAATCCTCAGATGACATCGAACACCATTGAGAAAACATTATTGACACCAGAAATGATAATTGGCAACGATATACAAATTGAATCAACTAATCATGGCGAATTGGAACCAAGTGAAAAAGCATTGAGTGAATATTTTTTGATTAATGAATATCGGATGGATGCTTGCATTCTTCGTTCTGAGAATGGGAACGCTACCGAAATTTGAGTGAAGTCATAATATCGGTACGATGGGTTATTCATCAAAATCCATCATATTCGCTCCAATACCATATTACGTTCCTCTCCGCCATCCATCACACTACGCGCATCTCAATCCATTTGAAAAGCTGAGGGATTGAGAGGATGTAATGGTTGCGTACATAGAAATATAATGAAAGAGTGTCGGATGCTTTGAATATTTCAAATATATGAACTAATATTTTATGACCGATTATTCTATTAACTTATCATTACTAACGTTATCATGCGATATTTTCCATTATATTATGACAACCAAATGCGTGAACATGAGTATATTTATATTCAGTTTGAATTTAAAAGTACCGCGTGTAATTTCTTTCATAAAACGTTTTGAATATATATATAAACACAATCGTGGCGTAAAATAGCTATTACTCTTGTGCTTGAAGAATAGAATTAGTTCATTCGTACAGCAATTAAATCATCATGCAAAATCAACTCATATTCGTCAGGTTTGGTAGATAGATGAGGAATATCGGTATCGTAGTGGATACGACAAACCCACTCAAATTTCTCAAGCCGGCGTTAGCGGCGGCGCCAGGAATTCTCACTAGGGTGGGCTTAGCCCGTCTTAACGGCATTATGACATCTATGTAGTATGATACAGAGATGAACGATATCATTATCGTTACAAGTATATCAAAAGTGAAAAGATTTATGATGCTAATAAACAGAAAAACGTATTTCAAAGAATTAATCACTTTGATAAATCCTTTTGAAGTGTTTATTTTCACCACGGATCTTTTGCAGTGTGGTGAGGATGAGATGAATCATTCTAAACAGTAATAAATTTCAAGTTATTGCCATGATTGTTAAGAGAAAGCTGAAAAGAATTTTTATCCATTTTGAAATCATGATTGTTAGAAGTATGACATTTATTAGACGCAAAACAAAATTTGAGACTTTCATGATATTCTAAGATAAGGATATAGGATTTCTTTACAACCTGTATATAAAGAGACGCGTCCGTATAGATTTTCGAAGAAAAGTATCAAATATGTTTCAAATAGTTTTGATTTTTCTTCTTGTCGGACAACATATTTATGTTCAAGCAAATCAATCACTTGATGATTTCTTTCCATTTGGTTTGGAAGTTGGTGATACAAAAATGAGACCAAATGATGATGAAAGTCACGGACCGATACCATTGCCGCTCATATTTCCATATTTTGATAATAATCATCGTCAAATTTATCAAGCAAATAACGGTCTCTTTTCGTTTTTAAACGCTATTCCAACTTACAATCCAATCGAGTTTCCAATTGGAAATAACGAACGCTTATTAACCCCGTTCTGGTCTGACATTGACACACGCGGAAATACGAATAATTTATCTGATAATAGTGTTTATCATCATGTTTATCGTAGAAATCAGAATCATTCCGAGATATTCGACAAAGCTGAACGATTTGTTCGTGAATATTTTCCACGAGAGACAACTTTCGATCCGTTGATGATTATTACAGGAACATGGTATCGAGTTGGATATTACTCTGCATATGTAGATCGTCTAAATACATTTCAAATGGTTTTAGTTACTGATGAAATCCGTAGCTTTGCATTTTTTCTTTACAATGATTTACAATGGGCCAGTCAATCTTCCGGTGGACCTTATGCTCAAGCAGGTTTTAATGCTGGTGATGGTGTAATATCGAAAATGCTGAAATATTCTCGTACAGAAAATATTACATTGTTGGTAAATGAAAGTAATGTTAATGTTCCCGGATTATTTGCATTTCGTATTGATACGGCAAATATCGAAGCAGGTGGATGTAATGAACATGAAAGTCTCAACCATTTACCAATTCGTGGTTCACAAATAGGTGGAACAAGTGTTTATTTTCAAGGACCGTGTTTCAATTCGAATACAACAGAAATTCAATGTCGTTTTGGTGAATTTGGAGTTGTCGATGGTCTGATCTTGAGCGAATTTCGTGCAATTTGTATTTCGCCACTTGCAGCACATCCGGGTAATGTTGAATTAACTGTATCATTTGATGGAGGCAATACTTTCCTCTCTTCGGGAGTTTATACGTATATGCCAATGACAGACGATGCGATGATTAACGAACAAATTCTTGTTCGACAAGATGGAGACATTAAAACCGTGATCGACTGGGATGCGAAGATCGAAGTGGAATGGATGTTTTCGGAAGCGTCATTGGCAAATTTGAGTTCGGAGAATTTTATTGTGATTGAATACGAAATCTTAACTCCTAACGACGAATCTACACGTCGTAAAGAGCAACGAGTGTTAAACTCCGATGTTGATATTCAGATCAATGCTGTGATTCCACTTGCTTCTAATATTCCATTGCAATCCGGTCGGCAAACAATACAAATCAATTTAGCAGAGATTTCACGAAGACAATTCCGTATGATTTCGGTAACTGGTCCCACTATTGGTATCATTCGTTTGGGAATTTTCATCAATCGATCTCATCGTATTGCTAGACAAATGAAATCTGCATTGATTTTAATACAAAAGACATCGGAATATATTTGTGATACTTGGAAGAATAATCAACCAGCTCCTTCAACATGGAATCAAAATTTATTACCTTGTCCCAATCGACTTGATCAAGCTCGCGTAGCCAGAGCTCAATATGTACCAGATCCAATGTGTCAACCAGAAGCAAATCGACCATTTTATATTCCTTCTTCTGTGAACTGTTGGTTTCATCAAGGACGACCACATTTTCAAGAAGAAAATGCTGTTGCATGTTTTCGATCTGTTCGATTCAATGAACATAATGCTGGTGGACAATGTTGTTATAGTGAAGCTGGTCATCTTATCCGAAGAGGATCTGGTGCGGGAAATGATGATCGTTATCATAGTGATAAAGCCTTTTGGAAACATCAATTTCACGATGTCCTTCCGTACATCGCTTGTTGCAAATCTCTCTCTGATCCCGAACGATGCAATCTATATTTTCATTATCGACCATCACGACCGGGAAGTGACACAATGGGTCAATTCGGAGGTACCTGGGGTGATCCTCACTTCTTGACGCTCGATGGAACGGCATATACATTTAACGGTTATGGAGAATACATTTACTTAGTAAGTAAACATTCGCACTGAACCTTTATTAAAGAGGTTTTTTTTTCTAGGCAATTCCTGAACAACAATCGACTGTATTTGACAGCAGTAGTTCGTTTCGATTTGAATCCCAAATTCGTACGACGCCTATTGAATCCGGTACGACGAACGCAACGGCTATCAAAGCATTCGCTGCAAAGATTGGTTTACAAAAGATTAGTATCACTGTTTCTCGAAGAAATCAACTTCTTGTTCATCTTAATGGCGATGAACTTGCATTCGATAATGATTTAAATACGACTACATTACAACTAGAAGAATTTTCTATTACAAAAACTCGTCCAAACAATCAGTTGACAATTTTATGTCAATTAGGTGTTCATATTCAAATCACACCTATCTTTATAACAACAAAATCTGTCATGGTGCTCAATGTCGGTGCAGCGATTAGTGGAGAATTGAAAGGAAATTGGACATTTGGTTTAATTGGTTCTTATGATGGAAATCCTTCAAACGATTTACGCGATAGTTCAGGAAATATTGTCGGTACTACTGATACACTCTCAACAGAACAAATTCATCAAGTAAGTTAATTTTCTATACTTTGAAAAACTTCATCTTTATCAATTACAGCTATTTGGTATGACGTGGGCAATTGATCCTGTTCGATCACATTTTTACTATGAATCAAGTGACAATGCTTCGTTTTATTCATTTCAAAATAAAATCTACCGACCAACTTTCAATGTCTCAATAAATAGTTCCAATGACTCGAACGCTCGTGATGCCTGTGGTATTCTTAGTAATGCAACAGATTCATCCTTATGGTCTTTCGCTCAACGTACTTGTTACTATGATATTGCTGTAACAGGTGATATCGCCTTTGGTCGTAGTTCTCGTCAAACAGCAGAACAACAAATTGAACAACGTGAAGCGATGCGCAATTCGCCAAAATTCAATTCTAATCTTTCTTTGACTCAATCAGTTCGAGTTGGCGAACAAGTACAAATTTCTTTTCAAGCGACAAGCGAATTTAGTTTGACTATTCACTATAAACTCCTTCATGCTCCGGATGGTTCTTCTCTTGATGGACTCACGGGGGAATTTAATTGGAAAGTTCCAGATGAAACAGAAAGTTCCAAGAAAATTCCTGTTGAAGTAAGTGCACAAGATGCTACTTACAATTTAACATCAACTTATGAAGTTTTGCTCGAAATTCAACCGAAAAGCAATGCTCTTGCACTCGCAGCTTCAATTATTTTACTTACTTTAACATTTACTTCTAGTTTCGTTCTTCCGTAGATGAACAATCTTTTCTTTTAAGTATATTGACAGAGTATCATATGAATTACTTTTTTTTTTCAAACTCATGATTTTATTCTCGAATTTCATTCAATAAATATCGTACATGATTATTTCAATTTGAAAAGCGTAAATCACACTTTCGATTTATTTTGTAACCAGATACTCTTTTTCAGTACACATAATTCTCATGAACAAAATCGAAAATCTTTGTGGCGGTTAATCCAATTGTTTCATGTTTCTATTTTTTATCTTATCAACGAAAAAGAGAACAAACACTTTCATCTTCAAAATTCATTTTTTAAAACTTTTTATCAAAAATAAATCTCAATTACAATCACAGACATGTTTATAAACAAGAAGAATTTTATCTTAATATTTATAATAAAAACCATAACGATAACGATAATCATATTAATGTACATAATCATTACAAATCCTACGACAAGTGTGTCCTCCATAATCTTTCATTGAAGATAAATAAAGACTCGATATGTTTTTATTGTCTTTTTAAGTCATTTTTGATATCTATAAAAGAAAGAGACATTGATATAAAACATACTCAAGATTTTTCACGGAATTCTAATTGATTACATTCATTATGTAGACGACAAATGGATATCTTGATGAATATCTTTACTAATAGTAAAAGTGAAGGATAAAACGTATTTTATTAACATTTTACGACATCTCTTGTTAAATATCGAGATTAAAAGTAGAAATAGATGAGAGTGAGTGAATAGCGACGAGGTAGAGATCTTTTAACATAGTATACATCAGCTTCAAAGCATCATGTCGTCAAGAAAAAGTATCTTTACAGTAGAGTGAAAAGAAAATATATACATCACAAATACATTCAACAAAACAACTAAGTATATATAAATGTGTGTATAGATATAACCATAATAGATTTAAAAAAATACAAAGAGATTCTATTAACATGATATAGATTATTCCGCACTATGTCATATAAAGTATGAAATTTACAGAGAAATCACTTTAAATATAAAAAATATATTGTTAGTTAGAAATATGATGTTTACAGATTGTATAGATGAAAATAAAATATCCTAAATTGTGAATAAAAATTTCTGTTTCTGATCAAGTGTTGATACGTATTATATATTTCTAATGATAATGTCTATCTCAATCATTTCTATTTGACCAAAATCGTCGAAAACGAAGTACAATAAATGCTGTACATTGTCCTGACCATGTATTCATATAAAAATCAACCATATAAACTTTCGATGGATATACAAAAAGTAACCAAGTTATCGTAAAAGGAAGATCAACACAAGATCGTAATAAAACTTTTACAATATATTCTGCTAATGAGATTTTACAATGAAAATATCCATTTTCTGGTTTAGCAACAACAGCAACTAAATTATCCAACCCATAACAAATTGTATAGACAATAAGTGGGACAAAAATAAACAAATGTCTATAGAATAATTTCATAAATGTTCTAAAATAAGAGCGATTTTCGAGACCATATCTACGAATTCGACGTGCAAAGCCGATCAAACACAAAACAGTTGCAATAAGATAAATGAGAATAGGCAAAGCAATGTGAAAAACCATAAGAAAGAAATGAAATTGTTTGAAATGTGGTGCATTACTCCAATCACAATTGTAATAAAGAATCGGGATAGAAAAAGCTAAAGTCATACAAAACAAAACTATTGTAACAACAATTGATCGTCGATGTTTTGAATATTTTGTTGTATCAAAAAACAAAACTAAACCACGTTCAAATTGAATACTTGCACTAAACCAAAAACAGAGATATACAGCTGCATTATAACCTACAACACCAATTACACAATGTGTTTTGTAATATAGATCTGAATTATCATATAAAATACTTCGATTATAATCAAATATTCCATCAATTGCAAGGAAAATATTTGCTAACAAACATAAAATTGAATAAATGATTAGATAAATTCCAATATTCGTACGAGATATTGATTTACATCGAATAAATAATTCTAAACACATACTATTGTTTAATATCGAAAGACACAATGCAAATAAATAGATAATTAAATTCACATATTTTGTATCAAATTGACTTTGTCGACGAATTTTTTCACAAAAAATTTCTTCATAACATTCATTACATATACAATAAGTTATATTTAATGAATAATTCATTCCACATGTATCATTGTTGAGACATTGAGAAATATTTACTTTACAAAGATTCATTGTTTTGATAATTTCTTTCAAAATATTTCAATACACTTAACGAAGAGCGATTTGAGACGTTTTACTCGTTTACTTGGTTTTTTCCCTGATGAAAAAAAGGAAGAATGATGCATCAATAAATGTACGCTATTTGATTATTAATAGGTGTGACTTCACTCATATTTTCTGAATATTAAAATCAAAATAAATTTGAAAATAATTTGAAAGAATTTTCAAAGAAACAACAAACAAATATTTGAAATATTAACTTCAAAAGATATGTATTTCCGTCATAAACACGATTAAAAGTATTTTATGAGAATGACATAGTCAAATTCAGTTAAAAAACTCTTTCGAAGTTTTCATGTATATCGAATGAATTGATGATCGAAGGCTGTTCGGAAATGAGATTTTTTACTGCTTTTATGCAGGAGTTTAGAAATAACGGATATGGAAAATGTTTTTCTCTATGAAAAAACATGGTAAGGGTCTGCCTTATAGTTTTACATTTCTACTCTCATCCATACTCTTCTATGAGAAAGGTGCTCATGTCTCTGCGAATTCAAATAAACAGAAAAGAGAATTTTTTGTTTACACAACGTCATCATTTTTCATATTTCGCCGAAAAGTAGCGATAGAACTCTATATAAATGGTTGTAGATAAGTATTGAGACGTTAAATCATGGGGAATGAACTAAGCACTCTTACAGAAGACGAAAAACGCATTCTGCGTCATCCACAATCGGGTCAAGCAAGTGAATTTTATTGGGCTTGTCGAAATGGCGATGTACGACATGTTCGTGAATTGATTGAAAGGATTCCTTATGAAGATTTGAATTGTCTGGAACCTAATGGTAGTACAGCATTACATGCCGCTGCTCATGGTGGACATGTCGAAATCGTTCGTATTCTTTTGAATGAACAAGGTTGTCGACGAGATCGTCCAAATTGTCACGGTCTCACTGCATATGAAGAAGCACAAACTGAAGAAATCCGACAATTATTCCATAGACCCAGTGGAACAAATCGCTTTTGTGATGACAAAGAACAAGAGTCAGTCGATCTGTTTCAAGTCGCAAAGTCAGAGGATCCTATTCCAGATGAAGATTTTGACAAGGACGGTTATTTAAAAGGACATGGAACATCGGAAGATCTAAACAAAGTGCGAAAAGATCAAGGTACTGGAAAAATGCTCACACAGTCGACTGTTGGTCGCGTACTTCATATGAACACAGGACCTTTGTACGTATATAGAAAGTACCTTGAAAAACAACTACGCGATCTTATCCCTGCTGATCATGAAGAAAAGGCAAAGTCAGAAATGTTAGTCCAGAGAGCATTCGAAGAAGAAAATCCCTTGTTTTTACTTCGATTATATACTTTGGAAACGCCATTCTATCGTGGTCTGAAAATGACCACAGAAAATCTTCGTCCTTATCAATGGTCACTGAAGAAAAACGCAGCAATCGAAACAAAAACGTTCTGTTCGACTTCATTAGAGCGAAAAGTGGCACAATCATTTGCTGAAGCGTCAACATCTGGTGATGATAAACGAAAAACTTTGATGATATTTCATTTTCCAAAACGAACTGAACAAGCGATCAATTTAGGGAAAATATCCGACAAGGAACCGTGTATTTCCGAATATGAAGATGAAGCAGAAGTTTTAGTTTTTCCCGAAACATTATTTTTCGTCAAACAAATCGACATGGATTCAAGTTTTACACTTATCTACTTGGAACATCTCTTCGTTCGACCAAGTTCGTTTATAAGTGGAGCGAAAGGATTGTACGACATTATAAAAGAGAAAAGAAAATAAATTTTTTCAATAAAAGCTAATTACACGATGCAAACTCGGATGTATATGACATTTCTGGTTGAACTGAATAGAATATGTAAGAAAACCGCCGTTTAGGCTCAACGAGTAATTCATAAATATGTTTTGACAATAAATGTTAATTGCACGGCAATTCTGTGTGATGGTTGACGAAAAGCTATGGAATGTCATCAACAACGCACACAGTCTCAATGGTTAATAATTAAGAGAATATTACGCATGTGCTTTTCTCAAAAGAACTTTGGAGTTTAACGTTAAATTATAATTATTTTTCTCAACTTAATAATAACGGAAAACTGTAGTCGGTTGTCATGGAACGTGCTAAAGGTTGTTCGTTGTTAGAAACAGAATGCACTTTTCTGACTCCTCCTGATGATTCCCCTCTGGAGTTATTATTACACATGAGAAGACACAATCTGAGTTCTCTAATTGCAATTCATTTCATATAGAGAGAAAACATCGTGTAATCAGAGAAATGTCGAGAAGGTTTTCATGAACTTTATTGTTAGTTGTCAATATGGATTCAAATAACGATACAAATTTTTCTAAAATCCAATGCGATTTAATGGATGAACTTGGTTATGATGTCGTTCCAATGTACCACGTTTTATTTCTTCTCAGTTGTTTTACCGTTCCGTCTGGAATTATCTTTAATCTTATTTTTGTCATTGCATTGATTTTTCGTGCGAAAAAACTCTTTAATATAACTAATCACGCGCTTCTGTTAAGTTGTTTGGCACAAGCTCTTCTTTCGTTTCTTCAAGGACCTTTTCGAATTTATTTTTATTACCATCGCGGTTGTTTGCCACTTTCTGGAAGTGCTCTATGCGAGTTTACAGTTTATCTGGATTATATTCCGACGCAAATTAACGATTTTCTGACGGTTCAACTTTCCATCGAACGTTTTCTTTTAATTATGAAACCTTTTATTTTTCATCGAACTCGTCATCAGCGCTTTTCATTTGCGATTTGTCTTCATTATTTGAGTTTATTCGTTGCCATTGTTTTCCCTTCGCTTTATTATCCAATAATCATGCAGAATGGTGCATCGACCATTGATCTCGACAATCCCTCCGCTACCCAAACATGTGATCTTTGGTATTCAAGAGATATTTATGAGTTATTTGATTTATTGATCACATTTGTTCCGTATTTTCTTATTTTAACAATGTATTTATTAGTCATTGGTTTAATGCTTTATCGAAAGTATGTTTACAATGATCAACGACAACTTCGACACGGAGGTCGAGCTCATCGTCGACTTCTTTATTCTCTGAATTTATTTCTTCTTTGGTTTCTGTTAACATGGTCGCCTTGGGTTCTCTATGACTTTTTTCAAACAATTCTCAATTTAACTTATTCGGTTTATATCGATGCAATAACAACATATATTGTTTATCTCAATTACGCATTTAGTTCAACGATCGTTTTATTCACTTTCAAAGAAACGCGTCAGTTTTATGTCACAAAATTCTGTTTCCATCGTGTTAGTCGTCGAGTTGAACCAATCCAACAGAACCAACTTGTTTATCCACTTAAAATCTTCAAACAAAACAATACAACTCGTTAAAACGGCTTTGTTCCTCCTATATTTTCGAAATACACATGGCTTTATAAGGCTAAATTTCACGCTTGAATGCACATTTACCTGTCGATATTGAAACATAATGATACAATTTGCGAACAAAATGGCAAGTTCGATATCTTCATCGACACGCATTCAATGGATGTGGAAAGAAAGTGAAGATCCTTTTTCAGAAAGTCATCAAGAAGAATGGAAATCATATTCCGATATCGAAAATCTGATCATCGAAGAATCTTATCAATCTAAACAAAGTTACGTCATTTTGGATAATTATACCATTCATTTTAAACATCAAATACAAATATCCAATATCGATGGAAGTAAACAACGTCCTGTTAAGAGAACGATGAGTAATCGAAGTGCATTTTTGCGTGAACAACGATTTACCTTCACTCCGATTACTCCTGATCATCCATTTCGTGGTTTAGACGGATGGATTTCCCCTTTTATTAAAGAAACGGTGAAGTATTTGAATCTAACGCATGAACATTTGCCTTCGAAGGATAAAACGATCGTTCCGATAGTTGTAGAAAAAGCTGCATGTGGGATTATTGAAGAAGGAAAGAAAATTGGTAAACAATGTGAAAGTGAATGGCTTGCAAAAACACTTCGTGAACAGAAAGATGCGGGAATGAGAAATGTTTGGAAGTGTTGTGCACATTTGTATTCATTAGAAAGTTTTTTATACAATAAATTAAACGAAACAATGCGATTGATTGGAAATGACGAGTATGAACAAGAATGGAGAGAAAATCTACGAACATTAGGACCATTTGGATTACTTTTATGGGATAATCCATTTAATTCGAAAACAGCCAAAGAAGGAACGAAATTTTATCGAGGAGCAAAATTATCCGAAGCACATATTTCTTCGTTTAACAAAGAATGTTTGAAATCAGAGGAAGAAAAAACGAAACATTCATTTCCATCTTTCACTTCATGTAGTCGAAATCGAAACAAAGCAGAAGAATTTGGAAATGTTCTGTTTATTATGACAGTTAAACATGCGTTTACTGTTGATCTCGAACCATTTTCCGAATATCCTGATGAAGAAGAAGAATTGATCTTTCCAGGTGTTTGTTTTACTATTGATCGAATAGAAAAACATAAGGAGAAATATTTCATCTATTTAACACTCATTCAACAGCATTATTGTAAGTTCAATTTCATTACCGTTCTTTCAATCTTTTTCGTGAATTTGAAATTTAAGAGAAAAGTCAGATTTCCAATCGGAAATAAACAAATTAGAATAATGTTTACAGAAAACATTTGAAATCTTAGAGAACTTCTGTCCACAAAATCTCTATCTGATATTCTGAAAGTTTTCTATTCTATAAAAATTTGAAATTGAAAATCTAACTTTTCTCTTGAATATCAAATCCATCACAAGGACTTCGACAAGATTGATACAATAATTTTATTGAAACTCCATATAGTACGGCGAGACTTTTACTGAATTTCGTGTACTTTTTCCATAGGTGACAATTTTCAACGAGGTACTGGCGACAATTTCAATCAAAAACCTCAGATACTAATCTTTCTCATCTTTATTTATTGTCGAATTATTAATCACATAGAAAATCAATCGTTATATGAAATCTATTCATTATCCTATATAATCATTATTATTGATAATCAATATTCAATACTTTATTCTCATTCTAAGAATATCCACACTGATTTTTACTATTAAAGTTCTAAATCTTACATAATATTCAATGATATTATCCATTCCCAAACTTTGATTTGATATTCCGCAAATAATTGAAAAAAACTTTGATTAAATCGTCTATATTTCATATAATATCGAATGATATGACAATATGCTCGATATTTCATCGATGTTCATCAAATAATTGAAAAGATTTCTGTTGAAATGGATCTCAGTTTCATATGATAATCAACGAAATCGTTACGAACAAAATTTGATATAAAAATCTCTGAAATATTTGATGAGAATTATTCTAAGAATTGTTTTTATTCCTCAGAAAGTATTTCATATTATCACTTCGACAGTTGATCTTTCAAATGACGTAAATACTTGAAAACAAGACTCTTTCTGTATATTCTACGCTTTCCTATTCTCAATTACATTTCTCTTCGAAGAACTTTCTTCGATATCGCTCAAATATTTAAACAAAATCATATTTTTTCATATTGTTCACTTTCCAATCGAGCTGAACAATGTTTTTTTGCCTTTGAAACTATGATTTTCGTCGAATGAAATAATTGAAAAGAATATTTGTCACAATTATTTCCATTCTACATGATTTTATACGAAATTGTAATGTTATGATCATTCCGATTGTGTTTATGAAATATTTGATGAAAATGATGATAAAATTCGTTTCAATTCGATCTGTTGAATAATAAAATTCTTGTTAAGAAATGTTTTTCTTTTATGTAAATGAAATACTTGGAAGAAAGTTTTATTTGAATTATTCGATTTGACGTGATGTTCATTTGATATATAATGTGTGAAATCTTATTTTCATATTAAACACGTATAGTTGAATGGAGTGTTGCTTTGTATTGTTCAACTTCTATGTGATGTTCGATAAAGTTATTTTACACAAAAGTTTTATTCAATCTTTGAATGAAATTTTTGAAGATAAATTTGGTCAATGTTGATTATGATTTATATGAGATTCAATCATTTAATTATGTGAAGATCTTCTCTTGGATGTTACTCGAATATTTGAATAAAATTATCTTTGAAAATATTTGTATTTCATCTCATATTCATTGATTTCGTCATCGGAAAATGTTCTTTTCATGATGATTAAATATATGAAGAGATTTTTCTTTGGATTTGTTTGAAATCGATGTGATATCGAAATGAAATGTTAACAAAGGAAAATATTGATTTGAGGAATTGGAAAATATTTGAAGAGAATTTTGATGAGATTTGTTTATGTAATATGTGACATTTAATCATAGAAATCAATCGCAAAACTCAATTTTTCTATTCGATCGATATGAGTATAGAATATTCGTTGAAATTATTCGTCTCTGATGAAATGTTGAATGATGTTTTTAGGAGAGAATCACTTTCATTTTCATTTTTCAAATATTCGAAGACAATTTTCGTTAAAAATATTCTTATTTTATGTCAAATTTGATCAAATCATTGAATACAAAACTTTGTTTTGATAATAATCAAATTATTGAACAGAATTCTCTTGATGAAAGATATTTTATACTTACGTGTTGTTTTCTCATAGAATCTTAATGAAAATACTCTTTGAATATTTGTCAAATAATAATAAAGAAATTTCGTTGAATTTGTTTTTTCTCTATGCGATATTTAATAGTTTTATAATGTTGAGAAAATCATTTTGATGTCAATGAAATAGATGAATTAAATATTGATGAGAATAATTTTCATCTTATGTGATGTTGAAGACTCGTATAAATAGTTGAAATATTCTTTCCAATGAATCGAAATTATCGAGGAAAACTTTGGTTAAAAGTATTTTGGATTTATGTGTTTATTCGTTGATGTTTTTGTATGTGAAATTCGTTTTGATTACTAAGAAAATATCAGAAGATCATTGTTTTCTTTGCACATTTTCTATTTCGATATGAAGTTTCATATGAATATTCAATGTGATATTTGAATTTCTTGCGAATCGAAATTATTGAAAAATATCTTCGTGAAAAAGATTTCGATTCTATGAAATGTTTAATAATGATAATATCAGACGAAATTTTCGTTGATGTCGTTCGAATATTCGAAGAAAATGATCATGAAAATGATTTGGATTTTATCGGATGTTTTGTAATATTTTCATTTTCTTTTGTTTCTTTAAATGTTCGTGAAATAGGCGATTTGTACTTTTTTGAGATTTGTTCCGTTTCNCCTTATGCTCAAGCAGGTTTTAATGCTGGTGATGGTGTAATATCGAAAATGCTGAAATATTCTCGTACAGAAAATATTACATTGTTGGTAAATGAAAGTAATGTTAATGTTCCCGGATTATTTGCATTTCGTATTGATACGGCAAATATCGAAGCAGGTGGATGTAATGAACATGAAAGTCTCAACCATTTACCAATTCGTGGTTCACAAATAGGTGGAACGAGTGTTTATTTTCAAGGACCGTGTTTCAATTCGAATACAACAGAAATTCAATGTCGTTTTGGTGAATTTGGAGTTGTCGATGGTCTGATCTTGAGTGAATTTCGTGCAATTTGTATTTCACCACTTGCAGCACATCCGGGTAATGTTGAATTAACTGTATCATTTGATGGAGGCAATACTTTCCTCTCTTCGGGAGTTTACACGTATATGCCAATGACAGACGACGCGATGATTAACGAACAAATTCTTGTTCGACAAGACGGAGACATTAAAACCGTGATCGACTGGGATGCGAAGATCGAAGTGGAATGGATGTTTTCAGAAGTGTCATTGGCGAATTTGAGTTCGGAGAATTTTGTTGTGATTGAATATGAAATCTTGACTCCTAACGACGAATCTACACGTCGTAAAGAGCAACGAGTGCTAAACTCCGATGTTGATATTCAGATCAATGCTGTGATTCCACTTGCTTCCAATATTCCATTACAATCTGGTCGTCAAACAATACAAATCAATTTAGCTGAAATTTCACGAAGACAATTCCGTATGATTCCGGTAACTGGTCCCACTATTGGTATCATTCGTTTGGGAATTTTCATCAATCGATCTCATCGTATTGCTAGACAAATGAAATCTGCAATGATTTTAATACAAAAGACATCGGAATATATTTGTGATACTTGGAAGAATAATCAACCAGCTCCTTCAACATGGAATCAAAATTTGTTACCTTGTCCCAATCGACTTGATCAAGCTCGTGTAGCCAGAGCTCAATATGTACCAGATCCAATGTGCCAACCAGAAGCAAATCGACCATTTTATATTCCTTCTTCTGTGAACTGTTGGTTTCATCAAGGACGACCACGTTTTCAAGAAGAAAATGCTGTTGCATGTTTTCGATCAGTTCGATTCAATGAACATAATGCTGGTGGACAATGTTGTTATAGCGAAGCTGGTCATCTTATTCGAAGAGGATCTGGTGCGGGAAGTGATGATCGTTACCATAGTGATAAAGCCTTTTGGAAACATCAATTTCACGATGTCCTTCCGTACATCGCTTGTTGCAAATCTCTCTCTGATCCCGAACGATGCAATTTATATTTTCATTATCGACCATCACGACCGGGAAGTGACACAATGGGTCAATTTGGAGGTACCTGGGGTGATCCTCACTTCTTGACGCTCGATGGAACGGCATATACATTTAACGGTTATGGAGAATACATTTACTTAGTAAGTAAACATTCGCACTGAACCTTTATTAAAGCGTTTTTTCTATAGGCTATTTCTGAACAACAATCGACTGTATTTGACAGCAGTAGTTCGTTTCGATTTGAATCCCAAATTCGTACGACGCCTATTGAATCCGGTACGACGAACGCAACGGCTATCAAAGCTTTCGCTGCAAAGATCGGTTTACAAAATATTAGTGTCACTGTTTCTCGAAGAAACCAACTTCTTGTTCATCTTAATGGCGATGAACTTGCATTCGATAATGATTTAAATAGGACTACATTACAACTAGAAGAATTTTCTATTACAAAAACTCGTGCAAACAATCAGCTGACAATTTTATGTCGATTAGGCGTTCATATTCAAATCACACCTATCTTTATAACAACAAAATCTGTCATGGTGCTCAATGTCGGTGCAGCGATTAGCGGAGAATTGAAAGGAAATTGGACATTTGGTTTAATTGGTTCTTATGATGGAAATCCTTCAAACGATTTACGCGATAGTTCAGGAAATATTGTCGGTACTACTGATACACTCTCAACAGAACAAATTCATCAAGTAAGTTAATTTTCTATACTTTGAAAAACTTCATCTTTATCAATTGCAGCTATTCGGTATGACGTGGGCAATTGATCCTGTTCGATCACATTTTTACTACGAATCAGGTGACAATGCTTCGTTTTATTCATTTCAAAATCAAATTTACCGACCAACTTTCAATGTCTCAATAAATAGTTCCAACGACTCGAACGCTCGTGATGCCTGTGGTATTCTTAGTAATGCAACGGATTCATCCTTATGGTCTTTCGCTCAACGTACTTGTTACTATGATATTGCTGTAACTGGTGACATCGCCTTTGGTCGTAGTTCTCGTCAAACAGCAGAACAACAATTTGAACAACGTGAAGCGATGCGCAATTCACCAAAATTCAATTCTGATCTTTCTTTGACTCGATCAGTTCGAGTTGGCGAACAAGTACAAATTTCTTTTCAAGCGACAAGCGAATTTAGTTTGACTATTCACTATAAACTTCTTCATGCTCCGAATGGTTCTTCTCTTGATGGACTCACAGGGGAATTTAATTGGAAAGTTCCAGATGAAACAGAAATTTCCAAGAAAATTCCTGTTGAAGTAAGTGCACAAGATGCAACTTACAATTTAACATCAACTTATGAAGTTCTGCTCGAAATTCAACCGAAAAGCAATGCTCTTGCACTCGCAACTTCAATTATTTTACTTACTTTAACATTTGTTTCTAGTTTCGTTCTTCCGTCGATGGACAATCTTTTCTTTTAAGTATATTTACAAAAGTATCATATCAATTACTTTTTTTTTCAAAACCATGGATTTATTCTCGAATTTCACTCAATAAATATCGCACATGATTACTTCAACTTGAAAAACGTAAATCACGCTTTCGATTTATTTTGTAACCAGATTCTCTTTTCAGTACACATAAAGATACCAATCGCAACATTGATCACATTTGAGACAAGTGTGTCCTCCACAATCTTTCATTGAAGATAAATGAAGACTCGATATGTTTTTATTGTCCTTTTGGACGAAATTCTAAGTAATTACATTCTTTATGTAGACAACAAAAGGATATCTGGATAAATATCTTTACAGATAGTATAAAAGTGAAGAATAAAACGTATTTTATTAACATTTTACAACGTCTCTTGTTAAATATCGAGATTAAAGGTAGAAATAGATGAGGGTGAGTAAATAGCGACGGTCTGCAAAGTTTTTAGCATAGTGTACATCAGCTTCAAAGCGTCATCTCTTCAAGAAAAGGTAAGAGATTCTATTAGCATGATATGGATTATTTTATTGTGTCACATAAATTATGAAATTTACAAAGAAATCGCTTTAGATATAAAAAATATTCTTAGTTAGAAATATAATGTTTATAGAGTACATAGATCAAAATAATATATCTATTCATGAACAAGTGTTGATACGTATTATATATTTATAATGAGAATATCTATCTCAATCATTTCTATTTGACCAAAATCGTCGAAAACGAAGTACAATAAATGCTGTCCATTGTCCTGACCATGTATTCATATAAAATTCAACCATATAAACTCTGGATGGATATACAAAAAGTAACCAAGTTATCGTAAAAGGAAGACCAACACACGATCGTAATAAAACTTTTACAATATATTCTGCTAATGAGATTTTACAATGAAAATATCCATTTTCTGGCTTAGCAACAGCAGCAACTAAATTATATGATCCATAACAAATTGTATAGACAATCAGTGGAACAAAAATAAACAAATGTCTATAGAATAATTTCATAAATGTTCTAAAATAAGAACGATTTTCGAGGCCATATCCACGAATTCGCCGTGCAAAGCCGATCAAACACAAAACAGTTGCGATAAGATAAATGAGAATAGGCAAAGCAATGTGAAAAACCATAAGAAAGAAATGAAATTGTTTGAAATGTGGTGCATTACTCCAATCACAATTGTAATAAAGAATCGGGATAGAAAATGCTAAAGCCATACAAAACAAACTATTGTAACAACAATTGATCGTCGTCGTATTGAATTTTTCGTTGTATCAAAATACAAAACCAAACCACGTTCGAATTGAATACTTGCACTAAACCAAATACAGAGATATACAGCTGCATTATAACCTACAACACCAATTACACAATGTGTTTTGTAATATAGATCCGAATTATCATATAAAATACTTCGATTATAATCAAATATTCCATCGATTGCAAGGAAAATATTTGCTAAGAAACATAAAATTGAATAAGTGATTAGATAAATTCCAATATTCGTACGAGATATTGATTTACATCGAATAAATAATTCTAAACACACACTATTGTTTAATATCGAAAGACACAATGCAAATAAATAGATAATTAAGTTCACATATTTTGTATCAAATCGACTTTGTTGATGAAATTTTTCACAAAAATTTCCTTCATAACATTCATTACATATACAACAGGTTATGTTTGATGAATAATTCATTCCACACGTAACATTATTTTCTTTCAAACTATTCCAATACACCTGACAAAAAGCGATTCGAAACGTTTTACTCGTTTACTTGGTTTTTTCCCTGATGGAAAAAGGAAGCATGACACATCATAAATGTACGCTATTTGATTATTAATAGGCGTGACTTCGCTCATATTTTCTGAATATTAAAATCAAAATAAATCAGAAAATAATTTGAAAGATTTTTCATATAAACAACAAACAAATATTTTAAATATTAACTTTAGAAGACATGTGTTTCGGTCATAAACACGATTAAAAAGTATTTTGTGAGAACGACATGGTCAAATTCTGAACTCCAATAACACCGATTTGTGATATTAGATTTCCATATTGTTCGATTTTATTAACAAACGATTTCACATTTTCTTACACTTGAGAAATATAACCGATGATCGAAGGGTCTTCGGAAATGAGATTTTTTCCTGCAGGAGTTCAAAAATAATGGATGTTGAAAATGTTTTTCTCTATCGAAAACCACGGTGAGGGTCTGCCTTACATCATCTACACTCTGCTATGAGAAATGTGTTTATGTCTCTGTGAATTCGAATAAACAGAAAAGAGAATTTTTTGTTTACATAACATCATCACTTTTCATATTTCGCCGAAAAGTAGCGATAGAACATTATATAAATGGTCGTAAATAAGTATTGAGACGTTAAATCATGGGGAATGAACTAAGCACTTTAACTGAAGAAGAAAAACGCATTCTACGTCATCCACAATCGGGTCAAGCAAGTCAATTTTATTGGGCTTGTCGAAATGGCGATGTGCGACGTGTTCGTGAATTGGTTGAAACGATTCCTTATGAAGATTTGAATTGTCTGGAACCTAATGGTAGTACAGCATTACATGCCGCTGCTCATGGTGGACATGTCGAAATCGTTCGTATTCTTTTGAATGAACAAGGCTGTCGACGAGATCGTCCGAATTGTCACGGTCTCACTGCATATGAAGAAGCACAAACGGAAGAAATTCGTCAATTATTCCATAGACCCAGTGGAACAAATCGCTTTTGTGATGACAAAGAACAAGAGTCACTTGATCTGTTTCAAGTCGCAAAGTCAGAAGATCCTATTCCAGATGAAGATTTTGACAAGGACGGTTATTTAAAAGGACATGGAACATCGGAAGATCTAAACAAAGTGCGAAAAGATCAAGGTACTGGAAAAATGCTCACACAGTCGACTGTTGGTCGCGTACTTCATATAAACACAGGACCTTTGTTCATGTATAGAAAGTACCTTGAAAAACAACTACGCGATCTTATTCCTGCTGATCATGAAGAAAAGGCAAAGTCAGAAATGTTAGTCCAGAGAGCATTCGAAGAAGAAAATCCCTTGTTTTTACTTCGATTATATACTTTGGAAACGCCATTCTATCGTGGAATAGGTTCTGCTACTATGCCACTTTTAGGGTCGATCGAAGGATTATTGTACAAAGTGAAATCACGATACTTTCAAGGTACATCTTATCGTGGTCTGAAAATGACCACAGAAAATCTTCGTCCTTATCAGTGGTCATTGAAGAAAAACGCAGCGATCGAAACAAAAACATTCTGTTCGACTTCATTAGAGCGAAAAGTGGCACAATCATTTGCTGAAGCGTCAACATCTGGTGATGATAAACGAAAAACCTTGATGATATTTCATTTTGCAAAACGAACTGAACAAGCGATCAATTTAGGGAAAATATCCGACAAGGAACCATGTATTTCTGAATATGAAGATGAAGCAGAAGTTTTAGTTTTTCCAGAAACATTATTTTTCGTCAAACAAATTGACATGGATTCAAGTTTTACACTTATCTATTTAGAACATCTCTTCGTTCGACCTAGTTCATTCATAAGTGGAGCGAAAGGATTGTATGACATTATGAAAGAGAAAAGAAAATAAATTTTTTCAAGAATAAAAGATAATTACACGATGCAAACGCAGGTGTATATGACATTTCTGATTGAATTGAATTGAATATGTAAAAAACTACTGTTTAGGCTCGAGTTATGCCTAAACATGTTTTGACAATAACTGTTAATTGCAAGGCAATTTTGTCTGATGATTGACGAAAAGCTATGTAGTATCAATAACAACGCACAAAGTTTCAATGGTGAACAATTAGGAGAAAATTACACATTTGTTTTTCTCAAAAAAAAAAGACTTCGAAGTTTTATCGTTAAATTATAATTATTTTTCTCAACTTAATAATGAGGGAAAATTAGTCGGTTGTCATGGAACGTGTTAAAGGTTGTTCGGTGTTAAAAACAGAATGCACTTTTCTGACTACTTCTAATGATTCCCCTATGGAGTTATTATTACACGTGAAAAAACACAATCCGAGTTTTCTAATTACAATCCATTTCATATATAGAGAACATCGTGTAATCAGAGCAATGTCTGAGAGGTTTTCATGAACTTTATTGTTAGTTGTCGAATATGGATTCAAATAACAATACGAATTTCTCTAAAATCCAATGCGATTTAATTGATGATCTTGGTCATGATGTTGTTCCAATGTATCACGTTTTATTTCTTCTCAGTTGTTTCACCGTTCCGTCTGGAATTATCTTCAATCTTATTTTTGTCATTGCATTGATTTTCCGTGCGAAAAAAATCTTTAATATAACTAATCATGCACTTCTATTAAGTTGTTTGGCACAAGCTCTTCTCTCGTTTCTACAAGGACCTTTTCGAATTTATTTTTATTACCATCGCGGTTGTTTGCCAGTTGCTGGAAGTGTTCTATGCGAATTTTCTGTTTATCTGGATTATATTCCGACGCAAATTAACAATTTTCTCACGGTTCAACTTTCTATTGAACGTTTACTTTTAATTATGAAACCTTTTATTTTTCATCGAACTCGTCATCAGCGCTTTTCATTTGCGATTTGTCTTCATTATTTAAGTTTATTCGTTGCCATTGTTTTTCCTTCGCTTTATTATCCAATAATCATGCAGAATGGTGCATCGACCATTGATCTCGACGATCCATCTGCCACTCAAACATGTGATCTTTGGTATTCAAGAGATATTTATGAATTATTTGATTTATTGANGATCAATTCTTCTTCTTCATCAGGATATTCGGAAAATGGTTCGAGATCAACAGTAAACGCATGTTTAACTGTAATAATAAACAGAACATTTCCAAATTCTTCTGCTTTGTTTCGATTTCGACTAAATGAAGTGAAAGATGGAAATGAATGTTGTAAGAGAGAAATATTCGAATTTTATATGGAGGAAAATAGTTGAAAAGTAGAGTTATAGGAATCATTTCGAATCCAAGTGATGTTCGACAAGAATAATGTGTAAAAAGGTTTTCTTTGATGGTTTTGTCATTATTGGAGAGAAATTTCGTTGGAACGGAATATGTTTTATGTGATATTTGATGAACGAATTCAATAGAGATGTCTCGTTGAGTGTTACATAAGTAAATGAATACACATATCGTTGAATTATTTCAATTCTGTTTGATGTAATAGAATAGGAGGATAAAGATGAATGGATTTCTTTATCAAAGAAATATTTGAGATAAATATTCGTGAAAATTGTATATATTCAATGTAATTCTATAGAATTCAATGATTTATGAAAGTTTTGTTTGAATGAGAATCGAATTATTGAATCGAATTATTTTAAGAAATATTCTATTTCGTGTTTTTATCGAAATATATCAGATGAAAAATGCGTATTTTCATTGCAATGATATAGTTGAAGAGAGTTGTGTTTGAAGTAATTCTTGATTGAGATGATTCTCAATGGGATATGTATTTTGAAAACATTGAAATTCGATGTCGATGTAATAATTGAATAAAATTCTTTTCACTTTTATTTTCATAGAATGTGATGTTTAATGTGATTTTCGATGAAAAGATTTTCTTTGAAAAGAATCGAATAGTTGATGAGAAACTTCGTTCGATTTGTTTTTATTCGGTGTCGTATAAAGATTTTCTAAAATAGATTTCATTTTTGTATCTTTATCTGCGAAATATACGAAGAAAGTTATCGAAATAAAGTTTCAATTCGATGTCATCTACAAAATTGTGTTCATTTACGATAAAATAATTTTGTATAGAATACATTTTTTGTATAAAAACTTCATAAATGTTGTTCAAAATCGACTGGATTTTTCTCATCAATCGTGAAATTGGCAAATGAAATGATGATATTTTTATAAATGAATAAAACAATGGTTGATTTACACATTTTTTATGTGATATTATTTTGGAATCAAATACCAAAGATATTCTACGTTGAAAACAATGATAAATGAATATCTAAACTATGAATAATATTCATAAGGCAAAGGTACTTTGAAATGTCATATCATTTCATTATTTGTAAAGGAACGAATCGAAATTATAGAATTATTTAATGATGAAGATTGGAAATGATCATTGATACATTTAAAAAACAAGATTTTCTCATTGGGAATTTTTAAAAATGAAAAAAAACATATTGAAGAACATCAATTTTCATTCTTTATTAATATAATATTTGAAAGTTTCGCTCTTTATGATCAAATAACAATTAGCGTAATTTGAGACTGTGCCTTTCCTTGTAGTTTATTGTGTTTCGCACTTTGAAAATCTTCACACAATCTGAGTTGGGACAAGTGTTCTCAGATAATTCACTAAGTAAATCTATAAAAAGAATTAAATATACTTTCTGAAATGCTCATATCTGAGTTTGTTCAAATTCCGACTACGTAATATTTCAATATTGCTGAATAGTATTGATCAAAAGCACTGAAATTGCTTTGTTTCTCGTTCTTATTGATGATGAGTGAAAAAGAATTCAAATAAATATTTCAGGATGAAAATTCACGATCATTTTCATTAAGAAGTTAACAGAATGTGAAGTTCTTTTGGTTCGATTTCATACTTTGTTGATATAAAGATTGAACGCAATCAACAGTGAAACTACAAATGAAAATAGTTTTCATATCTGTTTGTTAACAACACGAGTATTGAAATCGATTTCTCTTCTTAGTCAATGATAACTCTCTTAGTTTTCTCGTTATTTATTTTACAAATAATCGATCTATAAAATAAATTAGAATAAAAAGAAATATTTAGTTTTATAGATTAAAATTTCGAGTGAATGTGCAGATTCGGAGTTCCACAATGATCATATTAATGAAGAAAAACACACAGATTATCAAAAGAGCGATGATCTTTCTACTTGATAGAAAAAGAACAAATGAGTCAAAAGAGAATAATGTTCTTTTCCATATAAAATTCTTCAATCGAATAGATATCAAATGTTTTTTAGTGAGAAATTTTCGTATTGAATCGTTCTGTTACAATGCATATCGAATACACAAATATAGTCACGTTTTTCTATCAAACCTTTTTTTTTCGTTCTGCACACGATTGACGAGACAAATTTGCTTCCTTCACGGATATTACGAGAAAGATGGAAAGATTTTGATGATGAAGAGACATTGAATATGACGACACGTGTACTTTTTTTGTTAATTGAATATCAGTGATATTCGATTTAGTCATAAATTCTCATCGTCTTTTTTTGTTAAACATGACATTTTAGTTTATTTTTACGTCAAGAAACGCTTCTAATTTGCGTATTAATTCAAAGAATAATTGTCAGGTCGTATGAAGGATATTTGCCAATGATTATTGATCGTTGTTGATCATGACCGTTACTAATTTTCTCAAAAATCACTCGTAATGACATCTAACATTCGATAGAATCAGTTTTATCGTTTTGTCATCATTAGAATGTCAATCTGAGTAGATCTTTCTCTGTCTCTCTGTCTCTCTCATCATTGATACATGACCTCGATATCTCTGTGAAGTGTATATAAACGTTTGATATAATATTGTCAAAGGCATTTGCAATGACAACTGCATCAACTTCAATTCCATATTTTTATCGCGATGCGAATCCTTTACTTTATTCACTTCGTGACGATAATACAGTAATTCAGCCGTATTTTCTCTTCCCATTACAATTCTTATTCTTCGATTTAACCTTACGTTGTTGGGATCGATTAGTTTATGGCACATGGTATTTACCAGGTGAATTGATTGAAATTGAACTTGTTGATAGGAAAGCAACTACAATTATGAGTGGTACTGAGATTGATCAACCATTGCTTTCGGAAATCTCAGTGTATATTCTTGTACCATTTAAAGGCCTTTTTTCGAGGAAAAAGAAAACACCGAAACAGATTCTTCGTGTAAATCTTCGAAAAGAAGCGAAAGAAATGACATTTGATCTCTATGATATTATTTTCGGTTGTATACCTTTATTTGCTCATACAATTTGGTATATCATTATCCACACAGATTGTAGTTCAGCTGCATATTCATCAACATGGAATTGTTATAATCTCTTTGGTTATCGAATTTACAATTATATATTCGATTCCTATACAGATTTTGCTTATTGTTTTCTTTCAAAATTATATTTCTATCGTCGAAATAAAGACGCGTACAATTTCATTCAGAGTAGAAAAAAACCATGGCGAAGAATTTTATCCAAAGTCATATTTTGGATTGCTTTCGTGATATCCATCATTACGTTTATATTTCCTGGTGCAATCATTCTTCCATATTTGTTCACAAATGTTATTCCAATGCTTGTCATTTACGCATTTATCTCTATGGCTTATGCATACGTTGTAACAGTTGTTACTCTTTTTCTTCATTATTACACAGCAATCACAGGAAGAGTTTTTGATTTCAAAAGTGAAGAACTCACTTGGGTGAAACGACAAATGAAGAAACTTCGTCATAATCCACGATTTGTCATTTCATTTGGAGTTAGAATTTTCCCGTATGTAATGACGATTATGTTTAATCTATCGCAATTTATTTACTATGGAGGAGATTTTTGGACATCACTCACTCGAGAAGCGGATTTCAGAGATCCGAGTAGATATTTTGCGAGTATGTCGCAAGCATCACAAATTTTTCATACAATTTTAACTACAATTTAATTCTGAAGAGAAAGAACAATTGTTCTTCTCTTGAAAGATATTTCCAAATTCATCATAGACAAAAATATCAAATTGAAAAACATAAGATTATTAATCTTTTTAAACAAAGATTCGTCTCATTGATTCGATTCTTTTCAATTTCATGAGACAAAAGTAAAAGATGATCTTTTTTCAATATGAAACTTTCATTTTTAATTAAAGAGATTTTGTCTTCATGACCATTATTAACATCTTGACTAAAAACAATGAATCTTAATGATCTACAACATGTTCATCAAAATGTGATATATTCATCCTTATCGATCTTTTCACTAAAATCCAATGACATGTAAAAAAAAGAAGTTATTATCATGAGCAGATCTTTCTTCTTTTCTCTTTGAGAAATAACGAAGATTTCAAGAGAAAATCTTATTTATCAAATTATATTGAGTGTCCTAAACAATTGAATCGATTCGATACAACGTATCCAATCGATTTAGTTCATTTAGAAATTGAAGAATATATTCTTTTCGGATGAAATTCTATTTCTATCATCATAATAGAGAAATTTTGATTCTTCTATATTTATCTTAATTAATGATTGTTGTTTTTTCGGTCGTTGATCTCACAAACAGATATGCGTTGTAATTTCTCGTTTAATGTTAAATTGATTTAATTTCATTATGACAAAGATCTGAAAGAAATATCAAAAAACCTGTTCTACTCGTCTTTTCTATCAAATGGTTTCTCATAATATGTGTTACACTTAATTAAAGTGTACTTCCTTTTTTCTTACCTTAAGCGTGAAAAGAATATTTAATAAAAACTCATCGAATGGAACAACAGTTACATCGAACACCTTCAAAATCAAATATACCGTATCGTTATTTGATTTTCCACCATTTTCAAGAGACAAATCAAAGAATTGTTTGTCCAAAATGAACTCTATTTTCTATTTTCATGTTGCCAAATCGATCATTCAAGGTTTCAATCATCTCTTTTCTTCTCATTAATTAACAAACATTTTCATTTCGTTTTATAAAACAAACGACGACAGACGATGAGTACAAATTCAATTCCATATAGTTATCGAAATGCCAATCCATTACTTTATACATTTCGTGATTATCACACAGGAATTCAACCGTATTTTATCTTACCAATTCAATTCTTATTCTTCGAATTTTCCTTACGTTTTTGGGACAAAGCAGTTTATGACACTTGGTTAGCTCCAAGTGAATTTTTTCAAATTGAAAGAGATGAAGAACCTCAATCAACAGAACCAGAACTTCCAAAATTACGAACGATTCGTCATCGACCACAAACTAATTCTTTTCTGAGCACAGTTTTCTTCGTTCAACCATTTAAAAAACTTTCTGTGAAAACGAAAAAACACAAAACAATTCCAGTTTTGGATTTATATGATCTTCTCTTCTATGTTCTTCCTTTACTTGCTCATACAATTTGGTATTGTTATATTCAATCGAATTGTATGTCGGGTGAATTTGCAACAACATGGGATTGTTACAATTTGTTTGGTTATCGAATTTATAATTATTTATTCAGTCCTTTTATAAATTTTAGTTTAACATTTTTTTCGAAAATCATTTTATTATTCCGAAAACGAAGAGAAGGAATCGATGTGTTGGATCGCAAACAAAAATGGAGAAGAATTGGTGTGAAAATCATCTTCTTCATTACTTTGATCTTTTCAATCATCACTCTTCTCTTCGTCGGAGCTTTAGTTCTTCCATTTTTCTTTACCAATGCAATACCAATGATTCTTGCTTATGTTTTTATGGTTATGACTTATGCATACGTTGTAGTTACATTAATTATGATCTTTTTATGTTATCGATATATTACAAATTCGATCTATCCAAAGAGAAAAGACGAAACGGGTTTTATGGAAAGACAACTGAAACGATTGGCGGATAATCCACAAATAATTCTTCAAGCAGCTTTTCGTTTACTTCCATATTTAGTGTCGATATTGTTTAATTTATCACAGTTTTTGTATTACGGATCGGATTATTTGGGTGCGATTTCATTGGAAGCAGATAAAAGAGATCCAAGTGCATATTTTGAACGAGTACTCAATTCACCACAAATGGCTCATACAGTGTTGAGTTCAATTTAAGAATCTTTGTAAACAATTTTTATTTGAGATTCGGATTCATTTCTTTCATCTTAAATTATTTTAGAACCGTGTTTCGACTCTTAATGCCTTAGAACGAACTATCGTTTTTTTTTCTTCAATAAAAATTATAATCGATTAATATGTTTCGCGAGACAAACTGAAATTTCAACGAAGGATAAATCGACAAGAGCCTTATTTCTATCTTTCGAAATAAACATCCAAATGAAACCTAAAGAAAAATATAGAAAACCTTCATAACCATAACTAATATATCTAGAACGAACAGAAACAACATACCTTTTTTTATTCATTCAAATGAGATAAAAGAGTGCAACGTCTTCTGCTGCTCCAACTGTAAATTGCCGCTCTTACCGCAAATCGAGATTATCACACGGGAATTCAACCATATTTTCTTTTACCAATTCGATTTTAATTCTACGATTTCTCTTTACGTTTCTGGGATAAAGCAGTTTATAACACTTGGTTTTACCTGGTGAACTAATTGAAGTTGTGAAAATCGAAGACGACGAAGAATCAATCAGCACATCATCCCGAAACTTTCTGACAATTTCTACTATACATATATTCTTCAAGAATTGAAAAAGTCCTCATATAAAACAACAATTAAAAGGAAAGTTCCAACGTTTGATCTATTCGATGTATTCTTCTCATTGATACCTCTACTCGCACACATTATTTAGTATTGTATAGTTCAATCTTCATGTGAGTCACACATAAATGGTGGAATCGGATGGAATTGTTATTCTTATCGAATTTATAATTATGTTTTCACTTCATTCACGAGTTTTTCTTATACATATATTTTAAAATTGCTTCTCATTCGAGAGAAACTCAAATATGGTATTCCGCTTGTTCAAAGAAAACACAAATAGAGAAGAATCTGTGCGACATTTGTGTTTTATTTCTCTCTAATTTCTTCAACAATAACTTTTATATTTGTCGGAGAAATTTGAGTAACTTTGATCGATACCGACCGGATAACGAGATCAATATCGACAAATGGCCTTTGAAGAAGTTGATGTCCAAGACGACTGTCTAATGGAAACATATAATGGTATCAATGACAGTAAGAGATATCGGAAACTAGAAGAAAATGTAATTCCGTACTTTACGCCTACGATGCTGAGCTGGAGTTAATGGACATACAAAGTCCTCGTCGAGGCATCACTTCTTGGAGTTCAAACCGTAAAAGGCTTTTGTCGACGCACCGAGCTTTTGCTCACACCCACCCTCACCCTCAAGAGATCCAAATGCATATTTTCAAAGAATTCTCAATTCACCAAAAATTGTTCATACAATATTAACATTAATTTGAATCATCTTTCACGTGAAAATCGATTTATTTCAATTTGACATTCGATTGAAAGATTATTTGAAATAAAAATTCCCTTTTGAACTTCATATCGATTATAAAATGTTCCAATTTTCTTCTCAAAATTCTATTTGAAATTATTTTTATATAAAAATTTGATTAAATGGTTTGCATATTCGAATGTTTATCCATATCGATTGTCCGAGCCAAGAGATATGCGAATACAACAACGATTATCTAGAAAATAGTCGATTAAAAGTGATTTCTACAAAAAATACTCTTACAGTTATGAGAAAACACGGAATGTAGATTAACAGAGTTATTGCAACAGTTAATGTTGAATATCTTTTCTTCGTATTGTCAACATTCGCTGATGAAATAAAGAAAAATATGAAATAAATCAGTATTCCAATACCAATTACACTAATAATAAAGATTCCAACAATAACAAACTAAAAGGATTGAATAAATATGAATATTTATTCTTTTTAAATAAATTTACTATTCGTAAATATTTCACAGAACATCGATGAGCAGAGAAAAATCCAAATCCATAATAAATAACAATTAGAAGAGCGATTAAAAGTTCAATTGTACGTCCAATATCATGTAAATATGCACCACGTCCGAAACCTGACAATGAAAGAGCCAAAACACCCATTGTCAATACCTTTGAATAAAATTCAAGTTATTTTTCTTATGTTGAAAGTGAAGAATTTGAATTTACAAGAGATAATCCGAGTCCATACATAAAAAATTGTTGTAATCGTCGAATTTGACGATCTTCCATTCGTTGTATTGGTTCCATAACGAACACATTCATATTATCCATGTTTTAGACTTCGTTAATTTCAAATAATGATGATGAAATCACGCGTTTTGTTCTTCTTTTGTTTCGAAGCAACTTGAATGAAAATCTTTGTTTTTTTTTCAATTCATCAGAATGTTTCTCTTCTCTGTTTGATGAAATTTTCAATGACTCAGAAAAACAAACAAACGACAAGCGAAAGAAAAAGAATCAAAATGAATCGAATGAAGAGAAAATCGTTGAAATATACTTTTATGAAATTTTCTTGGAATAGAAATACATTTTTTGTTAATGAAAAAGAATATTTGTGGAAAAGAAAACAAATAATTTTGTCTTTTTATCGAGATTGGACATAGTTTTCGAAACAATAAATCCTTATAGAGCGAGATGAATTTTATACTTCAATGGAATTTGTACCATAGCTGATCAATTCGGCGGTTTCTCTTATATCATAAGACTTTCTTCGAAAGTTTCAATGTCAAAATCATCTTCTTCAGACTCTACTAATTCAAGTTGAATAAAAACAGTACAGCCTTTTTTAAATACATAATGATCAAGTTTCGATATACATGTGTCAGTTAAGATATGATCTACAAAAAATCTATTCTCATCATACGGAGATTGACGCGGCAATACTCTAATGTATAAGGATCTTCAGTATGATCATCCATTCCTTCAATGTGATAAATCAGAATCCACAGTTCAGTAGAATAGAATTGTATTTACAATTGTCGTGTGTTCCATTGTTCATTTATCAACAATATATTTGTTGCCTTCTTTGATTCATAATCGAGGACATTTGCTTTGTTTATTACTGCTTATAGAAGAGTCAAAATACCATTAATTGACTGTTCGTAATGTTTTCTTTGATTAGATTGTCAACTGTCTCAACATCCATCAAGTTATGAACTACGATGATATCTCTGTTCGAAGTTTTACGTTATTCAATACTCGTCGAATGTAAAATTCGTCCAATAGACCTTAACGATTAATCACGATAATAATAACTGAAGATATATTCATCGTGATTTCTCTTCATAGAACTTCAGTCACTTTTTGATCAATGACTTTCTATTTCTCTACGGTCGATACATTCGCACCAGAACTATCCAGAAACATGAGATATTTCGTCTGTTCTCTCCCTTTAATGATCGAAATTGGACAAATGAACAAAAGTCTCTGTTTTTAAATATTTGATTTCTTATTTTTTTTATTTGAACACAGAACCAAAATCACAACAAGTATCGTTTTCAATCGAACATATGATCTGCTCTGAAGACATTAATTTACATAGATCATAAATTGCGTCATGTCGTTGTTTATTGTCAAATCTATAAACGAAACATCTGATGCAATATTCTGCGTATCAGAACAAATTTTACTTACTCAACTGTTAATGTAAATACTGACGTAGATTCTGTGTTAGTCTTCGAACTGATTGCACCGAGATTTGCTAAAGTTTGGGCAAGTTGATGTATCGCCTGCAGATCTAAATCATTCCGCTCAGAAACAAACTTCAATGTTTAACAATAATTATTTACGCTCGGAGTGAAGTGTAAATTTTAATTGATTTTGCGGCGTTCCAATAATTTCGGCATCATCAAAGATTCTTCCGTCTGAATTATTCATATTATTCGAAACGGCATATTCGGACTCGAAACTGGAAATATCCAACAAACAATCGAGAAACGTTGAAGCACCCTCACGGAACGAATTGAACGTATCAACTGGCACATGAAGTAATCCACTTAATTTCGATGACATTTTTTTCCAAAATGACGTATTTTGCGAGACTGTTCGAAACCATGCAAACATGAAATCTCGATTTAAACATTTGGCAATTCCAAAAATCAATTCATTCACTCCCGACGGATCTTTTCTCACACCAAATTCTTCGTCCACGTATTCTCGACTATTGACCATTGTTACCAAAGCAACATTTCTATAATAAATCACGCCATCTTCTTCAGTTGGTTTGATATTCGGATGAACACTCTGTACTAATCGTCGAAATTCATTGACGACAACTTGTCGATTTTTCCCTGCCCACATATTCGTACAAACAAGTGCACAAAAGATATTCTTCTTATAACATTCCGACAAAAGCCATGCGACATGTTCCAAAATCGCGAATGATCCCGGCGATGCACAGTAGATCATACACAATGGCTGAGTTTGTTCGATTAATGTTGCCATGTACGATCGGACATCGTCTTCATTCCAAGATTCGATCCCCGGCGAGTCCCAGATGACCGTTTCATGTACTGTTTTTCCATCTGTGCATTCGTAGGAATAGCGTTCGACGCTTTTGGATATGGAATTCAAACTCGCACTTGTTTTCGTTAATTTTCTCTGACAAATCGCATTGACCAGCGTACTTTTTCCTACACGTGCTGAACCACAGAGAAGAAGATTAGTTTGCCTTAAATTATCAACCATCTGAAAAAAAAAGAATCGTTTATTCAATCATAATTTTCGTTTTATTGCAATAAGAATAATTGGTATCAAACTTTTAATAATTTCTTTCCCATGTTCATCGTAAAATTCTTTTACGACGGGTTTCGCAATTTCAAAAAAGTTCATCAGCTCCTCACGCATTGTCACCCAAAACGATTGATTCTCAGCAACTGTGTAACACCAGGCTGCAGCTTGATCATTTTTTAACGAAATTAAAATCCCAAAAATCAGCTCATTGATTCCTTCAACATCTTTTCGAACACCCAATTCGGTATCTTCATAAAGAATACTATTGACTGATGTACACAAAGCAACATCACCATAGAATCTAATTGGATTTTCATCTCGTGTCATGTGATGATAACGCGAAAGTAAAGAATGAAAATCTTCCATAACATGTTGACGTCGGGATGTCCCACTGGAATATTTATTTGTGCAAACCAAAGCACAGAAGATATTGGAACTAATACAAGTATCAACCAACCATTGTAATTGATCCAACTTTGCAAATGAACCGGGAGAAGCACAGTAGATCATACAGAGTGGTTTACTTTCGTTCATTATTTTTGAAAAATATGAACGAACGTGTTGTTCAGTCCACGATTCGATGCCAGGTGTATCGTAAATTGTGATTTTGTATTGAACGGAACCGGCTTCGTCATCTCGATTAATCGTATATTTCTCCATTCGATCAGTTTGTGAACATAAACTTCCACTTGTTCGGGCAACTGGACGTCCGCAAATGGCATTCACTAATGTACTTTTACCCACACGGGCAGAACCGCAAACAACGATACTAAATTCTTTCGACATCTACAATACAAATCAACAAAATTTGATTAAACGACTTTCTCCTTCAAAAATCTTTGTTTTAAATACACTAAGAAATTCTCTGCAGTTTCGGATGGCGAACTCATTACAAGATTTTTCAAGTCTGCTATTCGTAATGTAAAAAATCCCCCCACTTTCTGACTGATTCTTTCCCAATAAGTTCGTCGATAGAGAACTGCATAACACCATCCAAGTAATTTCTCTTGATCGAGTGTTTCCATAATACTATGAATGAGTTCATCTATCCCTTGAACTGGTTTTCGTAGATCGGACAATTCCGGATCGTGATATTCGATTGAATTTACCATGGTACACAGTGCGCCATCGCCAAAGAAAGTCACTTTATGGGGATGATGAGGAGAATGTATCTGATTGGAGTATTTGTCGATTTTCTCGCCGAAGAAGACCAGTTCTTTTTGAAATTCTTCGATAACAACATGCCGTTGCATTCCTGACCACATATTTGTACAAACCAACGCACAAAAGATACTTTTCGATTTACAATACTCTAAAATCGAATGAAGTTGATTAAGTTTAGCGAATGAACCAGGTGATGCACAATAAATAATACAAATGGGATCGGTTTTCTGAATAAAATCCGTCATACTCGTCACTCCACCGTTGTTATTCCAATCTTCAATGCCCGGTGTATCATAAAACGTGATTTTAATTTGTTTACTCGATGAATTTTCTCTTGGTTTTATATTCAATGCAAACGGTTGAATTTCCTTCGTACAGGAATTGAGACTTTGACTTGTCTCTGCTTTTCCATTCCCATTGGTTAACGCATTGATTAATTGACTTTTACCAACACGCGGCGAACCAATAATAAGGATATTAAACTTAAGATTCTCCACCACATGGTTCACTTCTGATTGATAATATTTTTCACTTAACTTTTCTTGCACATGTCCTGCTTTATCATATAAACAATCAAATTTTCCTTTATCTACTCCGCGACATAAATGCTCATTTCGAATTGAGAAGGATTCGCCACAACGGGAACAGAAAAATCCTTGAGACGACATCAAATCTAGACCACTGGGTTTTTTCGAGTGTGTAGCAATGCATAATCTCAGTTTTCCAACTCTGTTTATACCATCACACGGCATACTTTAAGTACTACTCCTCTATGATTATTTCATCATACGAAATAGATGTCGCGAGTGTCTCAAGGTAAAGTTGTTCGTTTTTATCTTGAGCTGATGAGAAAATTATAAACTAAGAAATCATAGTAAAATGTCAGGGAAACGGAGGGAGGAATAAACTAAGTTATTTCTTGTTTAATTGATAAACGGCATAAAATAGTTTCTGGAGATTCGAATTTCTCGGATAATCCAATTCAGCCAGGCGACGAAAACCGACATTTTCCAATTCTTCGTGCCATTTTTGTCGAGTGCGATATTGATTTGAACTTGTAATTTTAATAATTTCTGCCTTTTGCCTTTCCCAATTCGATGCGATGCCATTCGAATTATTTTCTAAATGAGCGAATTCGCCGATCTTTGCAATTCTCATAAATGCCTGAATAAAATTCAAATATTTATTTGTAATTGAATGTTCAGTTTCACAACCATGTTCACGAAGGATAAGATATCCATTTGAGCGTAAAATTCGAACAAATTCCAATAAAATCGAATGTAAAGCAGCAACGCGATGAAGCACAACGAAACAAGTTATTAAATCCACACAATTGTCGACTAAAAGAGAAAAACAATGGGACAAATTCGATGGGAAATTTTTCCATACCGAGATGAATTTTTGATTGAGCTAAATCAATATTCACATGTGTAAGACAATTATTGTGACTGTCGTAATCATTTCCACCGAAAATATCATTTTTATGTAATTGAAGGTATTCTCCAATTTTGACAGTGATGAAACCATCGCGACAAATAAAATCGAAATAACCATGAATACATTTACGATCGATGACTTTGCCCATAGGAAACGCTTTTTTTAGAATTAAATCTCGTGACCGGGGATTTTCGGGATCGAACATTGTTTGAATATCAGATAAACGTTTTTCTGATCGAGCTTGACTTTGCCATTTTTGAAGCGATTCTTTCGCACCTAAAAAAACTAGTCTGTTACTTTGAAAAACTCGCAATTTGAAATAGAAAAACCAGGTTGTTGTTCCAATTCTCGAATAATCAGATAGAGTTGATAAAGTTCATTGCTTTTGTTCGATCCAAGATTTAAAAGTTCCAAGGCAAGTTCTGTACTATTTCGTAGTCCATACAGTTTTCCCATGTATTTAAGCAATGCATTACGATAGGAAATATTATTCCATAATGAAAATTCCACTTCACTCGATTCCATCCACTCAGTAAACTCCTGAGTTTTCATTGACATTCGACAATCTATTCAACGGATAAAATAGTACTAAAATCAGCTTTATGTGTAAAATGATCTTCACACAAATGCACTCAATTTCTAAACCTTACTATTTGTGACGTTTGATGTGGTACTTCGGTTTTCTTCTACAAACAATGTACGTTCTACTTGAATCTTATTTTCGCAGTCTGCATCATCATTCGCAACGCTCTTTGTTTGTATTGATGATAAATTTTCTCTCGATAGAGTAACTATACTTTGACTTTGAAGGTCTATGCAGAACTTATTGGATAGAAAAGTCTTTCTTTCGCTAATCGATGGATTTTACCCGAAATTTTCTCTTCTAAACTTTGAATTAGATTTCGATGAAGAAGATTTTCTTTTTGCAGATCTTGAATTTTCTCGTGAAGAACGCTGATTTGAATGAATGCATCGTTTAACAAACTCCGCATCTCGTGAATTTCACTCGCATCGATCATTTTCGACATGTCACGATGATTTATCTGAAAGAAAATTGTTCGATTCGTTTAATCGAAAAGCAAAACAAAATCATTGTTTTTGATAAATTGAATAAAATAATCGTTGTGGATTGTTTCCTCGATAAAATAACGTTGCAAGAGGAGAAAACCCGAAGTTGCTCAGCTTGTCATGCCATTGTTGACACAATTGATATCGAATTGTTTTCGTATACTGAAGAATTTCGGATTTTTGTTCTTTCCAATCAAGATTTTCTTTATTTTGTTCATCGGAAATATTTGCGAATTCTCCGACACGTGAAATCATCATTATCGCATGAACAAAATGAAGATATTTCGTTGGTAATGATCGACTATTATCACAATCATGTTCACGAAGAATTAAATATCCACCTGGTCGAAGAATTCGACCAATTTCCTTCACAGTTTTATCAATTTCTGATATATGATGAAACGTGACGAATGAAGTTACCAAATCCACTCGATTATTCGCTAAATTCAGAACACAACTCAATATTCCAGGAAAGAAAAACATTAATACGAACGAAGATCAATTTTCGATTGATTTGCATCGATTTGAACAAATGAAATCTTATCGAGTTGTCCTTTGAACACATCACCACCGAGAATATTTTCTTTATTTAAATGTAAATATTCTCCAATAGCTGATGTGATCATTCCATCTCCACATCCAAGATCGAAATACGATTTAATCTTTTCACAATTGATTATTTCTGTTAAATTCAATGGAAAAACATCGAAAATACGGTTCTGCGATGAAGATTTCGGATTAAATTCGAAAATAACTTTCAAATCATTGATTCGACGAGTAATTCGAGATTTATCTTCCCATTTACCAATCGACATTCGCGCTTCTAAAACACAAATTCCATAACACACAGTCAATTCCGTTAGATTCAAACCGTCTTTGTGTTTCGTCTCTTCAATTAATCGATACAAAATATCCAAATCATCAGCTTCACCGACATTTTGTATAACTTGAGTAAATACTCGATACATATGAGCACCTTGGTCATAAATCCTTCCCAAATATGTTAATAACGCTTTTCGATATGTTTCATTTGACCAGAGCGATTCGTCTGATGACAATGAACACATCCAATCAGCAAAATCATCCTGTTTCTTCGTAGTTTTGTTCTCACGGCGATTACGACGACCTAAATTCGTCTATAAGATCATTTATTCGATGTGAATTTTCGATTTTGAAGAAAAAATACAAATGCAAGTTGTACATGACGTTGCTGGTCGGATGAAATTGTGATTTGAAGATTTTTACGATTTCTATTTGGTGAATTCACATTGTTCGTTGAAGAATTGACTGAAAATTTTACAAATTGAAGTTATTTATTGTTGAGAACAACTCACGTCTACGATTTGAATGATTGTTGGACTTCACTGGTTGTTTTTGTATTTGATTTTCTAAAATAAATTTAATCGAACTTTTTTATGATCTGAAAATGTTCACCATTCTGTTTTGAATTGATAGATGTTAATGAATAATCTATGATTTCCTAAATAAAAAGATGTTTTGTCTAATAAAATTACGATGAAAAACCATTTTCATACATAATCATTATCTGGAACTGATAATTGCATCGTCTAATATCATTCAAAATTCAAAATCATCAATCAAACAAAATCAATACTAACTGATGCATTTAATTCATCTTGATCATAATCATCCAACGCATGATTTACATTTATATTTGTACTAGAAGAAAATCAACGAAATGAAATCATATTTTCATACATATTTCCTACTTTTGATGATTATTCATAGGAAAAGAGAACTAAAATAATCAGAAAAGAATTTGTGGAAAACAAGATGAACAATATCTAATCATACAGCTAAACCTTCTTTTACAAGAAGATCATTCAAACATTGATCATCAAGATCACGAATGACAACATTTAACACTTCATGTATTTCATTATGTGGATAAATATTAAAAGGACCACCTCGACATAAATATTTCAATCGATGAAAAGTGCTTTGTGGTAATTGATAATTATGAAGTAGAAATTCAATTCCATGAAGTCGACAAGCAATCGTCAAACATGGATATTCAGCAAAGCAATTAAGTAAAGATTTCAATTGAATACAATCTTTTTGAATTTGTTTTCTTAAACCAATATCAACATAATTGATCACATATGTTGAGTCATGAATTTCATCAATAAACAATCGATGATAAATATCTTCATATTTTCCAACATATGCGTGATGAACATTTACTTGTTTAACTATGAATTGTTCAGATATCGAATGAGAATAATAAATCCTATGAAGATTTGGAAATTCAATTGCAATTTGAGAAAGAAAAGAAGATGACTTTACTGAAGATTATTTGTTAATTGTTCCATATATTCTGTGTCATTGTCCGATCGAATATAAATCAATTGATTTTGTTCATCTATGTTTGATATAAAAGCAACAAATGCTTCGTTAGTGAATGTCAGAGGATTTGGACTATAAAGGAAATCATTTGGAATAATTCCAGAGGTGGTCATTTGTTCAAGGAAAGAATTCTCATCGTTTTCGACATTTGATGGTGATGTTAATACAATTAGTTTCTTGTAAAAATCTGGAAGTGTTAATTTAATTAATTCAATCGATAAAGTTTGTTGAAATTTATTCTAAATAAACATCAATTGATGATTGATCTTCGATCAAATCTGAACAAACTTTGTAAAGTTCATCGAGTTTCGTTAGAAAATCTTCATTGGGATTTTCACTCAGCAGCTAAAAAGTGAAAATAATTATTCGTTAGAAAATAATTTCACTTACACTCGTGATGTTCTTTGTGATTTCGTTTTTCTTGTCTTCGATCTTTCCATTAGAATTCATCTAAAAAAAAAAGAATGACAAAATTTCACAAGTTGTTTATCGATTAATTCACATATTTTCTTGAGAAAAAAAAACGCATCAGCTTTCTATTATTCTATTTTCCATTAATCACAAATGACGCTTGACTTTCAGAAAAAGAAAGAAAGACACACACACGATGAAATTTATCTTTTCGAGATAAAAATTCATTTACATAAACAAAATTCTCCTTTATAGACAAACAAATTTACTAAAAGAAAGGTTTGTGAAACACATTGTGGGTATTTTTATAGAAAAATAACATCTTTTTTCATATGTTACGAAATTCACGATTGTATTTTGTTGATTAAAAGAATTGAAATGAAAAATCTTCAGTCGATTCATTTCGTATGGAAAGAACGAAGAAAAAAGCAAAGTCTTCTTTTCATAACAAATCCAATGTTTCTCTTATCGATTATTTCTGCATTTTTCGTTCGTATTTTTGACTTCAACAATGTTTAAAGGTCACAAATCAATGCAATTTCAGATCCCTTCTGTATTTTGATCATCTCTTTCGAATTCAAAACAATTGAATCATCAATAAAACAAACTGAACCTTCAAAATCAAATTATTCTCTCGGTTTGTATATCGATCTTCTTTCCATCAGACATCGCTCTGCACCTTCATATTTATAACTCTGAAGAGACTTGGAAAATGTCAAACTATCGTTATGATTTCTTTTCTTTACTTGTTTGATTGACACTTTTGGAAAAATAAACGACCTAATTTAATTAAATTGAGCGTCATGCAAATCGGGGAATGTTGGCAATGGTTTTTTCTTATAGTTAAAAAAATTCGTCATACGAAGGTAAATTTGTACGCAACATGACTTTGCGTCTTGTTCTCTTATACTGTCAAGAGTAGACAGATTAACAAGAAAATGCGTCATTTCATTATTGCGCAAGTTATTTCATCTTCATGACTCAAAAAAACCAAACGTTTTCATAATGAAAAATGGATTTGTTACACGCAGCTGAATGTGGTTGTTTATCTGTTGTCAAGACTTTTCTTACAAATGACAAATCTGTCATTCATTCTTGTCGACATCGAGATCGTCATAATCACGCGTTCAATGTTGGTGGATCAGCTATTCATTATGCCAGTCGATCAGGTCATTTAAATATCGTGAAATATCTTTTAGAACATGATGCAACAATTATTGATGATCGTGATCGTCAGAATTGGACGGCGTTACATTATGCTTGTTACAATGGACATATTCATATTGTCAAATTCTTATTGAAATATAATCCAAATGTAAATATTAAAGATAAATATTTCTCTCAAACAGCGGTACAATTTGCGATGTATCGACAATTTCATGAAATTGTCAAATTATTCAATGTGACATCGAACGAAAATGTTGAAGATGTATCCAAAGCAAAAAATATTCCTATTTTTCGAAAAAAATCGAATTTATTTCTTGGAAGATACAAATTAACTGAAAATCAAATCAAACAAATCGAATTATTTCGAGGAAATTTACATTGTGATGATATTGAATTACGACAAATCGAAGATGTCGAATTATTCAATCTTTCAGTTCGAATTCTATTTACACATAATTTTAATGAACATATTAATCGAACTATGGAAATATCAGCTAATGAAGATGAAAATGATCCATTTTTACGATCTTCATCAACATCAGCTTTTGAACACATTCTGGTTTTCAAAGAAGAAGAAAATATTTTCGAATAATTTAACATGAATTTCATCTGTGGTTAACGACACATATACATTTTAAACTCGTCTAATATTTATAATTCATTCTCTAAAGTTTATCTCGATCTTCACAGATCAATTTCATTTAAAAAACCACATATCCTCATACATAAAAAAGAAATGTCGTCGAAAATCTTTTCTCGCATCAACACGTGTCTGTTTTCTTTCTTGTTCTTCAAATATTAATCAATACAATCTTCACCGATGCATCACATAAAAACTAAACTACGCCATAAAAGTAAATATTCCCTTTTTCCAGTTTTGCGGTTCTGTCTTCCTTGGAAAAAAAACCCATTTCCTCATTGTTTATAAGAGCATCGTCTTGTTTAGAAAATCTTCAGTGAGTATTTTACTATAATTTAAATGAGTTGCCAATTTGGTCAAAGCAATCGTCCTTTGAGTACGGAAGAAGTACAAAGAAGAATCAATAGTTCGAAAATATGTGAAAAACTTCTGAAAATCTTATCTGAAGATCAAGGATATCAATTTGTATCTTTTTCTTCGAAAAATCACAAAGAATTAATGGAAAAAATCATTAAAGAATCAAACGAACAAGAAAATCAACAATATGAACAAATAAATTCCATTGAAAAAGAATTTACAAAAACTATTTTAAGAACATTTGAAGAACAAATGATAAAATATGAAATATTTTCTATTCATTCATTTAATCAAAGTAAAACAATTTATTTACCAATAACAATGAAAGTTTGTGATGCACATCGAATATTTTCAACATTATTATATAGTGTTGATAAAACAAAAATTCCTGTTGATCTTGCTGATTATGTTTTAATTTATGAAAATATTCTTATTTCATATGAAGTTCAACATAAAGAATTATTTGAAGAACTTTTAAAAATTTCATTTCGATTAAATCGAATTGGTTTATCACCATTTCGTATTTTAGTTATTCATAAATCTCAATTAATTATTCTCGAACGAAAAGAAACGAAAATATTCTCAAATGAACCAATTTCAATTTTAAAATTAATTCTTTTTCATTTATTTCCAATGAATCTTATTGAATTATCTTCAAATGAAAACGATTTCCGAAAGACATTTTCAAATAATAAAGATTATTATTGGCCATTTATGGAAATTAAAATGGGAATTATCCCATCAGCTAAATTAATTCATCCATTTAAATATGAGAAATTACGAGAATTTATCGCTGAAACTCTTCTAGTTGATAATTCATTAAATAATACACAAATAACTTTTGAGAATTGTATGAAAATATTAGAGAAGATTTTTGAAACATTTCATACGAATTCAATTTGTTTAAAATCAATGAAATCATCTCTGGAAAAACTTGTTGATGTTTATGATTATCCATTATTAATCGCATTGCCTTATGATCGGTTATTCTTATCACAATTTTCCAAAATTCAATCATCCGATCATCGATTAGCTCAAGGGATAATGACTAATGGAAAATATTATTCAATTCAAAATAATCCATTTACTTCAATGGAATCTTTGAAAATCAATCGTGGTTCATTTATTCATCTTCGATTTAATAATCAACTTGATACAATTCTTAACAGAAATCATTCAAATGAAACAATCAAATTTAATGAATCATATGAATATAAAATCGGTTCTTATTGTTCAATTGAAATTGATGGAAATTCTGTTCAATTACAATTCTCATCTGATATTATGAATTTCTTACTTTCAAATGAAACAACACCTTTTAATGGTACAAATATCAATTATTTACGATCACATATCAAAGTATCTCATAATTGGATAAATAATTCAACGAATATTAATCAATCAATTGTTGTTCCAACTGATGAAACAGAAGATTCGCTAAGAGATCATTTTCGATTCCTTACATTAACAAATAGTCCATCATTATGTTCATTATCAATCTGTGAAAAACCTGAATGTTTTAATTGTTTAACACCATTGTCTGATGAGGATTTTCAATGTCCAAAATGTACACAAGTATTTTGTCGTCAATGTATCGAATCGAATCCAAGTGAAAATCCTCAAAGTTATTTTTGTCCAAAATGTTATTCTTTGAATAAATTATTTGATTATCAAATGTCAAATACAATCGGTAAATTCGTAAAGATTGGAATAAGTGCTTTTCAATGTGTTAAATGTGGTTCAATACCTGAACAACATCGAATATGTCGTGATCCGAAATGTGCAACTTTAATTTGTTATCCATGTTGTTCAAATGAAACAACAAATGAAATAGATAAATGTCCCAAATGTCGAATCAATGACATTTATCACAATACTACTGTGTCATATTTTATTCAAAAGATTCTTCTTTACGATAGAATTAAGAATCGAGATATCGATGATCATAGTGTGATAGTTGATGATTCCATTCCGAGAACAATGTGGACGGAAGAAGATTGGAGACCAAGATTTGGAAATTTCAAAGAAAATTTCGATCGAATAATATCAGTTATTGAATTCGATGGTAATCATATTGAATTTCCTGGTGAAATTCAATCTCGTCCAAAACTTATTATCAATGAACCATATGAATATTCTTGTCCTGAAAGTCTTCAAGTTAGTTATTGGTATGATCATCCAGATAAAAATTGTTGGGAAAACGATAAAACGACTCAATTCTATACAAAAGATCAATCGACAATTTTCACATACATATCGCATTTTTCCAAATTTACTATACGCAATACACGATTAGTAGATTTTATTATGTTGGACAAAGCATTGCTTAATATCGTATATGATTATGATTTTACATTGGAAAATGGAGTAAACAGAATTGAATATCGTGGTCCAGAACGTTACTTTCGACCACGTGGATGGTATCGAATTGCCATTGATGTTCTTCGAAAATACAAAGATACTGCCTGGTTGGGTACTAATAAAAATGCTTGGCCAGTTGCTTATCATGGTACAGCAAGTGACAATGCTCGAAAGATTTTATGTAATGGATTATTAGCTGGTGGAAGTCAAGGTATTCAACAATCGAATGGTGAAGTTCATGGAAAAGGAATCTATTTATCACCTTATTCAACATATTCGGGAAGTGAAAGTTATGCTAAACCATTAACAATGGATGGAAAACGATATCAAGTGATATTTCAAGTCAGAGTTGAATCTAGTCAAATTATCAAAACAGAAGATAGATTCGTTTGGGTTTGTCGTAATCCAAGTGCAATACGACCTTATGGAATTCTCTACAGAGAAATCAACGAACAACACAATACTCATGTTTAGTATTTGGAGAAGAAATGCATTAGACAAATCAAAATCAAATATTGTATTTGTAATCTTGAAAATAAAATATTCTCAATTTAGTCTAAATATTTCACTTTTGCGTTTGAATTCTTTCTGAAAATATTTCAGTGAGTCTTAAAATATGAATAAGGAAAATATCTTCAATCATTGAGTTAATCGTAATCTGATTATATGTTGTGAGAAAAGAAATGAAATTCATGTCAAATCTTCGTCGTGTAAAGAATCTGAATGATGATAAATGATGAAGTTGAGATTTTATTGAAGAAAACGAAGAATTAATCATCAAAAAAGGAGATCAAGAAAATAAGATAACGAAACAACAAAAAAAGACATTACGAATACGTGACAATTAGCGAAAATAATACTTTCAAGAAAGTTAACGTCACCTGGTGATGATAACAGATTAAGGACATCGCTACAACAACTGATAAGAGATTTGTTGATAGAATTGGGTACAAAACAATTACATGGGTTCAACATGATCTTATACGACGAATTCTGATCTTCTATGAACCTTGGGATAATTGAAATTACCACAATAGAACACTTTATCACTATTTTGTTTTTTTTCTCTTTTCTCAAACACGCCGTATTCTCAACGCATTGGTAGTTGAGAGACACATCATAATCCTATGGTAACCTTATCAAAAATAAAAATATTGACATGTGCCACGAAGAAAAAAAAACGAGAACATATATATTTAATATTTCTCGTCATTTTCCTTTAATATGATGTTCTACATAACTTCTATCCTTCTATTCCTTCTATCGTTTTGGTCTTGTGAAGCTCTTCAATGTACAACGAATTGTTCGTATTCATATAACAGTTCAACTTCATTTATTTATCCTGAGACATGTAATCAAATCGTTTCAGCTGGGAAATGTAAAGCTAATCTTGCATTTCAATTTGATATTCAAGATTACTTTTTTTCATTAACGAGTTCATCAACAAGTACAGTTTTTGCATCGAATAATCAACGTCGTGGTCTATTACAGATAGATGGTGAATCAAGAAAAGTCTGGTTTTCACATTATGTTGATATTGAATGTAACGATAAGGATGATTGTGCACGAGATTTAGCCATTAAAATTTCAAATGAATTGTCTCAACGAAAATATGATTTCTCAAAACTTGTCAATCAATTAGAACAATATATGATAGGTCCAATGCAAATTCGTCGATTAAATTGCTATGATTCGAATGAGAAAGAACAATTATGTGCAGAACTACCAACTCGTGGATCTTGTGTTTTAGAAAATCAAATTAAATCGAATAAAATAACACGATCATGTCGAATTTCTTCAGGAAAACCGGAAATATCTATTCGAATGCATCAGGATTCAACAACTGCAACATTTGAACTTGTATGTCATCGAGATTTATGCAATACAAAAGGAACATTAAATGCTGTGAAGGAGATTCTATTGAGAAACAACATTACTCAGACACCAGATGGGCGATTAACTGGTTCAACGTTTCAAATTTCATTTTTTCTTCTTCTATCAATGATATTCATCACATTTTGTCATCAACTTTGATATTCATGTAAAAACACATATTTAAAAGAACAGTAAAATCATCTTTTCGATTCAAATAAAGAAATATTTCAATAATTCAGATGAAAATTATCGATCTTCTCTTTCTATTTTGAAAAAAAAGACGAGTTTTTAATAAACACATATCGAAAAAGTTGCATTCCAATGTGCCTTAGTTGGACATACACATGTCCCTGCAAACGTTCCATTACCATAACCACTCGAATGTTGACATATCAGACCCGCTCCAGCAGCTGATAAACATGTTGATGTGTTCACTGGATTAAATGTCCAATCTGTACAAGATTGGCCAAACAGTACTCGATCAATACAAGTGATTCCATTCTAAAAAGATACTCAACACAAATCACAATTGAATGAAATCTTTCTTTTTTTACCCAATATTTCGTTGTTGCACATTCACATGTAGCAACAGATGCTATTGAACTTGAACCAAATGGACAAGAAACTAAATTATAATCTGCACATTGATATGTCGCATTACAAACAGCACTCGCATTCGCACCCCAAGAAGGAATGCCTTTATCACGACAATATGTTCCATTCCACCATTGAATACTTGTACAATTACTAAATATAATCAATAAAATATCTTTTCAAAAATAAACATATTTCCCCTCAACATACCACCAACCAGATTTGGTTTGATTAGAATTACTATCATTTATACATTGTAAATTCTCAAGTTTCGAACATTCTTGTGTTGAACAATTTGATACTAATGTACAAGGTTCATGACGCTAAAATAAATCCATTGAATATGAATTTCTATTGAAATAAGTTTATTTACATGTTTGGCAATTAAACATGTTGCTGTACATGGTTCCCAATATGATGATATATTACAAAGACATGCTTTCAATCCTGTTGTTGTCGTTGTACAAATCAAATTCACTGGTGAGAAATCTCGACATTCATATGTATTTGTACATCCAACTGAATGATTTCGTTTATCTTGACAAACATTTCCATCCCAATACATATCATAATTACATAAACATGTCCCATTGAAACATTTTAAATATCGATAATCTTGACATTCCATGTCACCAAAACATGTTGATTGACCAAATCCCATTTTTAAAACACATGTTTTCGAATGATTCGTAACATACAATGAATCCCATACATAACTTATATTAAAACAATCACATTTTTGAAAGAGAGCACCACCTGTACCTTGACAAAACAAACCTCGATTATCATCACAAACATATGATGATGTACAACTGGTATTGAACAGTTGTTTTTGAATACAAGTATAATTCCAAAAATGATTTTTATCACAATCACATGTGCCTAGTGATTGAGAATAATTACTACAAAACAATCCATCTCCTGAACTACATTCAACAGTTGTTGTACATTTTCCACCAATAGATAATTTATTTGCACATGTTGAACCATCCCAAAACGTAAAACTTGAATTACATAAACATTGACCAACTGTTGATGATCCCCAAATCGTATAATCACAATAAAGACCTTGTGATGTACTACATAGAATAATTGATGTACAATTATCCCGATAAGTTGCTGCTGGTTTGCAATAACCTGTGACACCAGCAGAGACAGTAACTGATGGATCATAGTTTGTACTTAATGGACATGAACAGAGATTTTTTGTACATACTAAATTCTTTCGATAATCACAATTTGAAGTAGCTGCACATGATTTATTGAATGTTCGTAATGGTTCACAAAAACCATTACCTAATGAAGGTGTACCATTATAGAACTGTGTTGATCCACATTGACAAACACCTGAAATATAAAATCATGTGAAGAGATGTAAAAACAATGAAAATTTTCTCTCACCATATTCACTTCCATATGGATTGGAATACTTGGCACATGTTAGACCTTGACCCATTGGAGCAGAATAATCACACCAACTATCATCATATGGATAACAATATTGATTTACCGTTCTTTTATATTCACATGTGCCTGAACCTTTTTTTCCATTCCAAAACATCGATGCATTACATTGACATATTTTTCCCAATGATAAATCACAATATAAATATCGTGTCGTATCACAATTTGCATCGGTTAAACATGAATCATTGTATAGACCTTGATCTTTGCACTAAAATATATTCGATATTAATTTTCGATTAAAATTTTTCATTCAAATAATTACAATAACACCATCCCAATTCAATGACGCTTTACATTGACATTGAAGTTGAATATCACCATTACTACAAATTGATCATATAAAACAAACACATTCCGATATTTATTTGTTCAATTACCTTAATGTAACATTGAAACATTGAAGACTTGCTAAAATATCACATTCGGAATCATTGACACACGTTCGATTGATCATTCGTCGTCGTTCACATGTTAAATATGTTTCACTCCAAAAATGTGAATAGGCACATCCACAACGATAATTGTTACACATTAAACCAAGATCTTGTCGACAATTACTGTTCGTTTTACACGGTCCTCCATTTCCTGACTTTTGCAAAGTAACAATCAATGTAAAGATCAGAAATGCAGCGATGGCGAGAATACCCAATGTAACTAATGTTAACAACAACCATCGAGGGATGATTAAATCACGTTTCCAACATGATATTGGTCTTTCTTTATGAATGACATCATACTCAGCAACTAAAACATTGGCCGCATTGGTATTTTTCATAACATGATTCTGAATAATTGTATTTGGATTCTAAATATGACGAGAAATTATTATTTAAATATCGAATGAACGATGGGTTGAAAGAAACCTTTTGTTCAATTGGTTTTACCGTTTTTCGATTCTTTGCCGAATACATTTTGAAGTAAATTGTGTCTTAGAAAATGTTTAATGGAGGAAAACAACATCAGAAGCTTTTATGTTGAGACATTTGCTAAATCAATAGAAGAATTTGAAAATAGAAAAACAAATTTTCATCTTAAGGTAATTTGGTACGAGCTAAAACACAGTCAAAATAGTTTACACTTCTCTAAATCAACAATACTGTCTATCCCCCTCAAATACTTTCTTTTTCTTCTTAGATGCTACTCGCCCTACACAAATACATTTTGCTTTTTAAAATATGTCGATTATTTATGTTTTTTTTCCTTAAAGTGATTTCATGACATTTTGGCCACTTAGACTGAAAATTGTTGTTTGTTATGTGAAAGTTCTTTAAATCGTTTGTCAGGAATCGAAAAAAATAACATCATGTTTCAGTTAAATGTACTGATCGCGTGATCAGTGCATATAGATGGCTCATTTGTATTAGTTGAATTTAGACAATCAAGTGAATAAACATTGGCTGAAAAACAAATTATCGGAAGAATGGCATTTTACTGTCCAATTAGGAATATTTTGAGAAACGATCGTATCAAATGAAACTTTTCAAACCGATAATTATGTATGTTATAGAAAACGGCTGAAGTTTCAGAGAGATGTATTGGAACGTGTTAAAACAAATTCCGCGGTCTGTATATGCGATAGAGAAGTTAACACAGATCATGTGACATTCCAAATTTCGTTCAAAACTTATGTCTATTTTAGTTGGAGTCTGAAGCGTTGTCTACACACGTCTTCGTCGTCCGTAACACATCATAATCGAGCAAGTACTTTGCGAAGATAAGCATCGCCTTTCTTACTATCGTATAAGACATTTAGATCAATCCAAAAGCATTTTGAGGCTGAGGATTCAATTCTTATTGACTATATTCACATATCAACAGACATCTATGATCTGTTTACTTCACACATTTTTTATACCGGTACCATAACAGAATGAATATTCCAAGCGGATAACGCTTAAACAAGATACATAACTATCGTAGAAAGAGAATTATGTTTCTATAAAAATGCCGTTTTTCTTTGCACTGTTAGACATTATACGATCTGTTCAATCACAAACAGTGCGCGTAAATGTAAACTGAATGATGTGTTTTCATTTATATTCGATAGAGGGCAATCCAATACAGTAGAATTTACTACGTCATATAGATCTATTTATAAATCCATCGATTCACCTTTCTTATTTGTTATTTTCGTTCTTTCATACTCACTTGTAACCGATCGTACTATTCGTTCGCTTTCTCTTCATCTATAAGCATTGAATTATTCTTGTTTTTACATTCATTCAATATAAAACATGTCTGAAAAACGACTAGTTACAGTTGTTGGTGCTACAGGCGCACAAGGTGGAGCCGTGGTTCGATCATTGATCCAAACTGGAAAATATCAAATTCGTGGGTTAACTCGTGATGCCAAAAGTGAAAAAGCGCTGAGTGTGGCAAAGTTGAGTGATCAAATTGAAATGGTGACATGTGATATTAACAAAAGAGAAGATTTGGAACGTGCATTTAAAGATTCGTGGGCTGTTTATGCTTTGACTGATTTCTGGGCACAACCTGATAAACCTGAAATCGAAATTCAACAAGGAAAGCTGATGGCGGATGTGGCTGATTCATTGCAAATACCATATTTTATATTTAGTACGGTGGAGAATGTTGACAAGTTAAGTGGAGGAACAATGTGAGTATAGAAGTGAAGTTTTACTTTCGCAAAATTCGCTCTCTTGTAGAAACGTTCCGCATTTTACGCAAAAAGCTCTGCTCCGTGATTATATCAAAGAGAAGCATCCGAATCTGAAAACAATCTATGTTGAGCCAGCGTGTTACATTCAAAATTGGCAAGGCCTTTCGAAGCCACACAAACTACCTGACGGGACAATTGTATTTGCAAGTCCATTAGATCAAAAAGCGACACTACACCTCGTTGATATCGAAGACACAGGTCCAATTGTTCGGGAAATTTTAGAAAATCCTGAGAAACTCGTCGGACAAGATATTTGCATTTGTGGCGAAGAAATTCGTTTTGAAGATGTGTCGAAAATCTTTACAAAAGTCACAGGTATTCCATCAATATCAAAAACATTAACAGAAGAAGAATATCGAGGGGCAACGAGTTTCTTGCCAAAATCTGCTCAAGACGATCTTTTTAATATGTTTAAATGGTTTGAACAATATGGTTATTACGGAAAGGAGAAAGACTGGACAACGGGAAAACAATTAACCCATATGAACACATTTGAAGATTGGCTGAAGAAAACTGGATGGAAAGGCGAATAACAAAGGCATACATCATTTTTATTCTTTTTTTTCTATTAGTGAGAGAAATAAAATGACTCGATAAATATCTTGTGCATTTGAATCAGAATGTATTTCTCGTATTTTAAAGGTTCTTTCGACCTACTGAGAATCGCCTTTTGGCCGTACCTCTCTTTTTCAAACGTAACTAAGTACGTTCTTCTATTCAGAGTACGCGTGATGCATTCATTGTATGATCGAATCGTATTATTCTTTCGCATCACTGCGCATACATTTGTATATAAACATCACGACGAGTTATTTTATTAAGTAGAAAATGGCTAACAAACGATTAGTTACAGTTATTGGTGCTACAGGCGCACAAGGCGGAGCTGTGGTTCAATCATTGATCCAAACTGGAAAATATCAAATTCGTGGGTTAACTCGTGATGCCAAAAGTGAAAAAGCGCTGAGTGTGGCAAAGTTAAGTGATCAAGTTGAAATGGCGACATGTGATATTAACAAAAGAGAAGATTTGGAACGTGCATTTAAAGATTCGTGGGCTGTTTATGCTTTGACTAATTTTTCGATTCAACCAGAAGTCGAAATTCAACAAGGAAAGCTGATGGCGGATGTAACTGATTCACTTAAAATACCTTATCTAATATTTAGTACATTAGAAAATGTAGACAAATTGAGTAATGGTCAATTGTGAGTATCTGTTGAACTGTTGTTCTTCTCTTTATGATTAATGTCATTTAATCTTTTACAGAAATGTTCCCCATTTCACACAAAAGGCTCTAATTCGTGATTATATCAAAGAAAAGCATCCGAATCTGAAAGTAATCTATGTCCAATCGGCATTTTATATGCAAAATTGGCAAAATCGTTCCAAACCACAGAAGTTACCCGATGGAACAATTGTATTTGCGAGTCCATTGGATCAAAAAGCTACATTGCATATAGGTGATGCTGATGATACAGGTCCAATTGTTCGTGAGATTTTAGAAAATCCTGAGAAACTCGTCGGACAAGATATTTGCATTTGTAGCGAAGAAATCTGTTTTGAAGATATCTCAAAAGTCTTTACAAAAGTCACGGGTATTCCATCAATATCTAAAACGTTAACAGAAGAAGAATTTCGGGGCACAACGAGTTTCTTACCAAAATTGATTCAAGATGATCTTTTCTATATGTACAAATGGTTCGAACAATATGGTTGTTTCGGAAAACATAAAGATTGGACGACAGGAAAGCAACTAACGCATTTGAACACATTTGAAGATTGGCTGAAGAAAACTGGATGGAAAGGTCAATAAAGCCAATCTATTGCTTTGTTGGATGGAATTAAACGTGTCACCTTTTCATTTTTAACGATGAACGATGCCTGATTTTTTAAGGAAAACTCCGAATATCCCTTGCAAAATAAAATCAATGGTAAAATGAAAGAAACATGTGTTGGAGTTTCCTCAATCTATTTGTTCGATCAAACCAATAAATATGCTTTCCAAAAAAAAAACGTTCTCATACAGATAATTTCAAGAGTTAAACTCACATGTGGATTGCAGTGTCAATGAGAAATAATGAAAGAAAGTTTTGATCTGCGAACACTGTCAGACGGGAGCACATATAGAAACTTAGATCTTTCATCAAACTATGACAAATAGGACTATAATCATTGTATTAGAAGAGTTATACCTGGATAAGTAATGAGTCTCACGTGCATTCCTAGATATCACTATTAAAGTCATTGGAAAATTTTTCGAAAATACCTTAAGACTTCTCAAAGCAAACAAAATAATGATATTTCAAATTATTAATAAACAAATTGATCGAGAAAAAAGTATTCATGAATTTGATTGGTCATGAAAATGTTGATCCGAATTGTACCATTAAACTATCTTATTCTTTTAATCACACATTTATTAAAGATGATCCCACCGATATTGACTTCATCTACTCCTTATCATCTTCTTTCCTATGCTTCTGTCACAGGTTTGACACTTTGGCATTCATTTATTGGTGGTCCTGTAGCATTTAAAGTTTTGCCTCGTCAACAATTTGGTCTTTTGCAAAGTAAACTTTTCCCAGTTTATTTTCTCTCACAAAGTGTTCTCAATGGAATTTGTCTGTTGACAACATCAAATCGAAAGTCTCGTCAAATTTTCTTGATTGGTGTTGTTGGAGGTTTATTGAATTTAATCGTTGTTGGACCATGGACATCAAAGTAAAACACGATTTGTATTTGTTGAGATAATTTTCATGATTTCATGTAGAGTTATGCAAGAAAGACATAAAGTTGAAAGAGAAGAAGGTAAAGCATATAATGAAACTGGTATTAGTGATCGAATGAAAGCTTTGAACAAACAATTCGGCATAGCACATGCTTGTAGTTCATTAATCAACATGGTTATTGTTGTTTCGCTTCTTAGTTATCCATTTATTTCAACTCTAATTGTTGGTTAAAACGGATTGATGAAGAATTATTTTTATTATTAACAAATAAAGGCAACATCTGATTGAGATTTTAAAGTCGAAATCAATTTATTTTGCAAAGAAAAATCTTTACTCATTTCGAGCTCTAATCCAAACAATAATTGAACGAAAAGGCGAATAAAATGAACATATAATTGTTTCATCATTTGTTTTCTTAAAAATGAACAATATTTGATTCTTTGAGAAAACTTCGAATTTCTCTCGTAAAATAAATAAGTAAAATATTCTCGACGACAATACCCAATTGAACACTTAACCAAGTGATTTCATAGATCAATGGTTCAATAAGATTTCCTTTGATAAGATAAATCATCCATAAGATCATCGATGGTAATCCAGCACAAATTAATCCATTTACTATGAAAACAATTCGTTTAATCACAATCAAATCACGTTGATTTCTTCGTTGTTGATGAAATGTAATTACACGTTGAGAACGTTTCAAAAACCAAATAACATATCCGTATATTCCAATAAGAACTATTAAAGGGAAAATATAAATTACTAATGAACCATAGATCGATGCAAATAAATTTCGATAAGTTGTTACACAATAGGATTGGTCAAAGGGAATATAAGAAATAAATCCTTCAATAAGTAAAAATGGTAAACAAAAACAGAACGAAAGAAACCATTGAATGATAATAAAACTTATCCAAATATATTTCGAACGAATTGAAGAAGAAAAAGCAATTCGAACAAGACGATAAAATGCTTGGAGAATATAAGATAATACAACAGATAATGAACTTGTTGATATGAAATATCCATGACGAATTTTACAGGAAGATGTTAAAGATGAAGATGGAATAAGAAGAGTTTCGAGAGAAATAATCGAATAAATTGTTAAGACAATCGAAGTATTCATCACCAATAGCAATGAAATATGAAATTTTCGTTTGAAAATTTGTATTAAAATGAAAATAATAAAACTTGTGAGAAGAATTGTAATCAAAGAGAAAATAGAAGTAACAATATTCAACCAAGATAAACTCATCGTTCAACAAGAATGAAAATTGATGATTTCAATTTGTAATTTTAAAATTTCAACATTTTTCTAGTTGAAATGAAGTTTCTGCTACTTGAACTGAAAGTTGTTTCCTTTATTAAGGAAAATACAAAAGAAAGAAGTACGTGTCAAGAAAAAAATCATTTTTCAATCGTGTCACGCGAATCAGATTTCTGTATGTGTCGATATAAATAATTGATACTGAAAATGAGTTTCTATATCGTCCTAATTTAATGGAAACTACAGGTGATTGGAAAAAGGAAAACATCGTATTATCTATGATGTACACAATTTTGTCAATTAAATCGAAACTTTTATTAACGAAAAGAAATCACAAATACGTTCATTATTTTCTTTGACTAAAAAAAGTTCAAAATATGAATGAATCTTTAAAACACAAATTGTTTAAGAGTTAATAAAGCAGTGAGCACTACGAAAAAGATTGAATTGATTTCAGTGGATAAACGCGCACCGTTCTTTCGAATAGCATCACCATTACAAATAGGAGCTATTGCGTTAACAAAAGTGATTCTTTGACTATCATCACTAAGTCGAACAGTCACTGGTTCTTGTAAAAAGGATATAATTGTAGTGAAAGTCGTTGGCATATCAACCGTTGAATCAACAAAAAGTGGTTTTTGTGGACAAGTACCATCGAAGTTTGCTTGAACACGTAATTTAGTTGTTTGAACAGGACTAAGATTGATAGTACCAGTTGGACAACAACATATGGTTTGATCGCATCCGTTTGTTGCATCGAAAACACCAATCCAATTTGGTGTTGCACGATTGAATAAAGATTCTTAGAAGATAAAAAGACAAAGAAATAGGGAAACACAAGTTTTCAAAATGAATTTACCACCAAAAATCAATGTTGATGAAATACATAAGAGAAATAATTGTGTAGAGAGCTTTGATGAAAACATGTTGAATAGAAGATTCTCAAGAAAATCTTTACAAAATATGTAAATTGTCACTCTTTTTAAATATGCGGATACTTGATAACGATTTCGTACTTTTCTATTTACTCTTTCCACTATTTCGAGGTGTAAAAAGAAGTTTATTATTATCTATTGATGAATAACACAACAATTGATAATAAATTTCCAAGGATAAAATCTCGATAAGGATCACGCATTCTCTTACCCCCGTCTATAAACATTAAATTTCCAAGTTTATGAATGTATCTCCTTTTGGATTTTCTCCTCTCCGTATCGAGATAATGATATGAATAGACGCGGCATCTATCTTTAATCAGATTTGAAAATATATAGAGGTAATTGACATTAATAATGAAACAAACGTAAGGTTGACTCGATTACCATTTGACTTTTTGACAAGTTCACAGTTCATTTTCTCGAATTGAATTTTCGGATAAAATGAACAAGAAAATGTATTTCGAACAGTTACCAAATGAATTGATCTATGAAATCTTCAATTATCTCGATATATTTAGTCTCTATCGAATATTTTCTCATTTGAATATTCGTTTGAATAGAATATTAAATCATTTAACAAATATTTCTTTTCAAATCAATTCTTGTGAAGATACAAATAATCCATTGGTTCATCGATTTGCTCAACAAGTAATATCATTACATATTTCTCAATCTAATTGTGTCGATTTAATCTTATTTTCTCATATTCGATCATTAAACATTCGAGATTATTTAACCGAACGACAATTAACACAAATTCGATATGAAAATTTTCCAAATTTAGTTTATCTAAATATGCCATTCATTGACGAATCCGATGAGTCTTACGAATTCTTTCACAGAATTTTCTCCAATGAATTTCCAAATCTACGTAAATGTATCTTTGGTGATATTTCATCACCTAATTCCAAATCTTCTTGGTCAATTTCCCCATCAATACGATCGTTAATCTCAACAGGATTTTGTCTTTCGACTTATATTCATATTCTTAATTCTTGTCCAAATTTAACGTATTTACATTGGTCAATTGTTCGATACTCAGATGATGAACATTTTCCTCGAAAACATTTTCATCTTCGACATCTTTATCTTCGCACAATCAATCTGGAAACCATTCGTTTCGTTCTCGATTGTGTTCCTAATCTGAAACGACTCTTTCTTGTCTCTGATTGGTCACGTGGGAATAATTGTTCACCATTGAATTTCCAAAAATTAGCAGAAATCTTTGAACAATATGTTCCCAATTTATGTCATTTTGATTGTAATACAATGGAACGAAATCCAATGGAAACTAAAATTATCCGTAGTTTTCATCGTTCTTTTCAACGAATTCAATCCGAAGTGATTCTCGATGGTCGAACGAGATTTTTCACATTTTTATCCAATGAGAAATAGTCGATAGTTCACTATGATTGAAAATAAAATGCACGTGAGAAAAGAAATTCGAATCGAACACAACTAATTCCGTATTATTCTTATCTATTAAATCATTTGTCGATTGAATTTCGAAAGATACAAATACACCGAAGTTTTCAACGATAAGATCTTCTCCTTTTACATACAAAACACTTTTCTTCTTGTGATACGAAAATGGTTTCACTAATAAACATTGTTGTGTTTCTTCTACTTCCATTATATTCATTCGAATATTTCTTATGGAGAAATATTCCGAGATCGATCGAAGAAAACATAAAACACAGATTAACAACTGATTTGAGACAATGTGCGGAAAATGCCTTCACATTTTCTCATTTCGGATATCCAATCAATCATCAACTGACCGTGCGTATGATAATCCTACCGAACTATATCAAATCTTATCGTATACTTCGTCAAGATCTCGTTGAACATTTACTAAATTTCGATGTGAACAATCCAATAGATCTCGCTGTACTTCGTTCAGCGATTTCATCTTTGACTTCCACATTCCTTCAGATTATTCCGCCATTAAAACCGTCGGTAAATGCCGATCAGTCGATTATTGCTTCACTTGAGAAATGTTTGACCGATTTGCGAGATTATCTCGCCGTTCTTCAAAATAAATTAGCCACAAGTTTCGAAAACAGCAAAACGATTAACAGTGCTCTTTGGGAACACTTACAAGTGTTCAAGAAAACAGAGGAATCGCATTCCAAATGTTGGTTTTCGTGTAAGAAACTTCGAGCGACTATGGAACAACAATCAGCGCATCTATTTGCTCTACAATTAAACGCTACTAATGCAGATACAGAAATGAAAGAATGGAAAGGATTAATTGGGAATGTTGATCATCTTATTCTTCGTCATCAACAAAATCTTCATTTGATCAAAGACAGATTTCAGAAACAAACGCTTTTTGAGAACTTTTTTGTCAATTTTCAATCGATGTTCGACTCTTTTAATGCAACATCAGATAACCTAATTGATCAATTATTCAATCTGAAACCGATTATTAAACAAATGAATATTTTCTATGTTGTTCTTAGACAAAATTATTCGATTATTCCATTCTTAGAACCACTAATTCTAAATAAAGATTTACAACGGTTGAATGAAAAGATCACTGAAATGAAACTTTATTTGGAACATTTACAAACAATTATCACATCGACAATTGAAGATCAATCGACTTCGGAGGATGAGTACGATGATTCTAATCCCTCTGTGCCCGATGACACATCTGTCGATACAACAACTATTCAATTAACCACAGAACAAGAAGTTGATACAAATTATTCATCTGAAGAAACTTCGACGATGATCCAAGGTGAAAATAATGATGATCAAAAGATTTCACCACAGAATTCAGCAGCAACAACAACTCAAGATACATTCTTTGATGGACAAGGATCTGCTTCTTATGATACATCTCTTGAAACATCGACGATGGTCAAAGATGAATCTAGTTCGACAATAAATGATGATGAATACGATGATAAGAATTCATTTGTGCCCGAAAACACATCTATTGATACAACAACAACTCGTCTATCGACAGAGAACGAAATTGATTCCAGTAGTTCGTCTTCTGCAACATCGATATTAATCTCGAATGAATACAACGACGATGATCAACAGATTACACTATCGGACACAACAACAGTAATTCAAGACGAATATGATTCGGATGTTCCAGTTACTATTCTGCAAACGAACGAAAATGAACATGATAATGATAGTTCATTTATACTGGAAGACACATCTATCGATACAACAACTATTCATCCCACAACAAAAGAAGAAGAAGAACCCGATTCAAGTTATTTATTTCCTGAAACATCGACGATAGTTCAAGATGAATCAGATTCAACAGTTACAGTGACCATACCACCAACAGAGATTGCCATGTATGATGAAGAATTAACAACGCCTGATGTTAAACATGATCAATATCGTGTAATCGAACGTTGTGAAGTTATGACAATATCAAACGATGAAAATTCAACGAAATTAAATTGCACATGGGTTCTTGTTCCGACAGATGAAGATGAACCAATTCCAACAACTACTTCTCTGATGACCACAGACACCACAACCAAATCTATCTCAAACATCTTCAATAATGAAACTATCGTAGCAGAAGTTGAGAATTCAACTACATCTTATGATGAAAATAATTTCGACGAAAATATCACTACAACTATTTTACCTGAACATTCCTCATCGACTGAGATTATCAAAACAAATTCCGAGGAAAATAAAGAAGAAGAGTACAAAGATTATCCAATCGATGAATCAACAACTGTTGAAATTGAAACGACAAGTTCAACTTTCCGACCGTTTGATCGGAAATATTTATTCAATATAATTCGTCCTGAAACCCTTACGATTGTTCAGAATGAAGCAAATTCACAAAATAAGGATGCGGATGAGCACAACGCCTTTTCAAAAACAATTGATGAAAATGAAGATGAATAACGATTGAAACAATCATCATTTTCAAATGATTTTCTTTGATTTTTTTTCTTAATCATTTCAAATAATTTGACTCGGTGATTTTCACATTGATAAGTCTTGGATATGAAATCGTTTTCAAGAAAAAAGCTTAATTGGCGATTTGTAAACTATCGAGACTGGGTACGAGATCCATTTCACCATCCGAAGTTGAACGATTCGTATCGCACGAGAAATTCAATGTAAAGAAAAAGCAAAAACATTTTGTTGTAGAGATTCACCATATTGAAAGATTTATCAATATCGGTTCAGAGATAAAATAAGAGATATGTCGATCTTTGTCATTGATAAATTAACACTGAAGAACAAAGAAAATCACTTTTAGTCAACAAATGATTGAAGAAAATGATCGGTTATTTCCATAAGCGAAGCATTTCGTGTATTCAACTCTTTTCTCCACAAAGAAATCATAAATAATGAACATTATGATGTTCTCATTGAATCTTTGACAGATATTCATTATTATGACGTTGTGAAAAGAGTCACAGGCCAGTTTCATTGAAATTCTCCTTTGAATCATCAGTTTTTCTATTGGATTTTTCTAATAGAATATCAAATGAACAGAAAAATCAACAAGCAACATCAATTTCAAATGAAAAGAAAAAAGATTTTCATTCATTTCCTTCAAGAAATCGAATATTCAAAAGATCAATGAACATTCGTCAATGGATTTCCATCATTATGATCAGTTTTGGGGTTTTCATTTCTCCATTTGAGATTTTCCGATTAACGAAGTTTATTCAACGAACTTCGAAACTTCAACAAAGTCAGATTTTCTCACATTATTTAACTAAAGAGATGAAATCAGTATGAAACTCTCATCAAATTCTTCTTCTTTTGATCATTTAGATTCAACGCAATTATCTTCATTCCTTTACACATTATCACAGAAGAATAATCAACTCTCTGAATCTCAGAGATGATCTTCATTTCATCGGGATGAACTGTATTTCTTCTTATGTTATATCTCAAACCAATTTCATTGATTTCTTTTTCTTCATATGAATTTAGTTACGAAATTCATCAACATCGGTCAGAATCACTATATGTCTGGAGAATATTCAAAAGCTCTTGAAAGCTACAACAAACCTCTTGACATTCTACGCAAACTGCCAGTTCATCCAAATTTGGCCAGAAGCTGTAACAACATAGGTTTAGTATACTCTTATACAGTGGAGCAATCACGAGCTTTGGAAAATTACAACAAAACGTTCGAGATTTACGCCCAATCTATATCACCTATTCATCTCAATGTCACGATGACCTATAGCAGTGTGGATTGAGAATACCTGAGAGTTCTCGAAAACTACAATAAAGTACTTTAAATCCAACAGTAATCTGTACCATCGAATGATTTTCATATATGTGAAACCTACGGCAAGATCGGCTTAGCATACAACAAAAAAATGGGTGACAAATCAAAAGCACAGGAATATTTCAACAAGGCACTCGAAATAAGGCAAAGTTTCAAATCTTGGTATCGATTGTTCCTTAGATGATTTGGACATCGTAAAATAGCAGAGAAAGTTGTAAGATATTGACTAACTTCGCGTTGTATACGAATCCTTTAATTCCAAAGCATAAAATAGATATCAATATTGAATACTGTGCCATTTATCATCGAAATGTTTGTTTTTGCAGATAAATATCTTAAGTGACATTATTATAAAATCATCTTGGCGTTAAACCAAATGATTAAAAGAGTACCGATTTGTCCAGCCTCGTATTTTTCTTGTTTTCATTCAAATTATCATGAACAGATTACAAAAATAATCTTTGAAGGCGTTTGTTTACTTACATACGCGTAGTTGTGAGATGAATCAATCAATATTTTCTTATTCTTTATAAGCATTTTATCATAAAATATCCAATAGGTGATATGAAACGTGGAAAGCCCTATGTCAATGTGTTTCAATCTGATTTTTCGTAGGTATTATTGAGTAAAGGATGTAGATCAACAATTGTATTTATACAGAATGATTTTATCAGGTCATCTTTATCTTAATTTAATTGTGAAGCTTTTTACAATGAAACAAATGAATGACGTCGAATGAGGTTTTCTTTACAAATCGATAAAGATAGAATAGATTTTCTACGTCGTTCATTTTTCTTTGTTTTATCGATATATAAATAATCGAACGATTTTATACAGGTAAAACAAGAAAAACATAAGGATATTTGAAGAGAGACATTGTTGGTTGAAACAATGGGAAATCATCAAACATCAAAAGAAACTTTATTAATTCCAGAACATGATGAAATTCATCAAAAGAAGAAACTTTCATTTTCACGAGTAATCGAACGTAAGAAATCACTTTTTATAATGTTTTTAATTCATTAAATTCACTTTATTTAGATTTAACTGTAAAAACTGAAGATTTCGAAATGAATCCAGAAGGTAAAACTAAAGATTCATTTTCTTCTTTTGAATTCGAAATTTTATTTTTGTATTTAGAATATGAAAAAATGAAAAACGTAAATATAAAAATATTTTCATCGGTCAATTGATTTTTATGTATTTTTGAAGGTATCACATCGAGTCTCATCAACTATTCTTCATCCTCCATTTTGTTTTGTATATTAATTTGTATTTCAATCAGATTAGTTCATAAATAAAACTATTTTCTTATTAAAAGAACCTATTGAATCGATAAATGTGAAAGAATATTGGGTCAAAATGTTCCTTTTATCCAAAATCTATTGTTGAGATATTTCACAACGAAATAAATTTATCTTCGAACGTAAAAAAGAGGTTTGGATTGATCTATTATGTGTCTTTTTGTCTTCGTTAATGTAAACAGATAAACATGTTTACAGGTGAAATATTTATCACATAACAAACATCGTCTCGATTGTTTGAAAAACACAAAAGATATTCAGTATTTTCACTGTTTCGAAATGAAATATTTTGTAAAATTTCAAATCAATTATCAATACAAAGTGAACAACACGAGTTGAAATGTTGTTTATTGTATGGAATAATATATGATGCAATTTCCGATGATGAGTATAATTACGATGTTGATATTAACTTTCTAATGAAAAATATATTCGAATTGAATTTCGTCGGTAAGATTTTAGTCAATTACTTTGAAATTGGATGATTTTAAATGCGTCAATCAGATTGCTGGATCTGATAATGTCAAAAATTCTAATGGTGAATAAAAAAAACACATTTATTCTATTTTTGTTGGAAGAGTACCGAGTGGAGAAAGTATTTTTAACTCGACGATTATTTTTCGACTGCGTAATAAAAAGAAGTATAATGACGTAGAAGGAGGTTTTATTTACCTTCGATATCTTTTAATTAATCAATTTATCGACGCAGGTGATATTTTTCTCCTTTGGAGAATCGACGATATATAAACTGTGTTGAACAGGTGAAAAAACATATAGAAGAATAAATTTCATTTGAGATAAACATTACAATTGTTGAAGAAATGGGTAATCATCATTCATCAAGATCTAGTCTATCAAGTTTGGATAAAGATGAACTTCCAAAGAGAAGACATTCATTTTCACGAGCAATACATCGTAAGAATTCACTTTTCAAAATTTCATTTTATTTCTTGGATTTTTTAGATTTGAAAGAAAAACATCCGCATAAAGATTTCGACATTACCCCAGAAGGTAAAATAAAATATTCATTTTCTTCTTTCGAATCATAAATTTTGTTTTTATATATTTAGAATATGAAAAACTTAAAAATGTAAGTATCGAACGTGTATATTCTCATATCTTTTTGTTTCTAATGAAATATTCTTCTATTTAGGCAACTCGTCGAGCATCAACTTCGATATATTATCCTTCATTATGTTATCCGTGATCGAAGAACAGACTGAATTTGTCTTGTTTTATATTTTTGTTAATAAATCTAAAATGTCAATTTTGAGATAATTTCAATTCATTAAAATATTCTTAATCGCTTCACCTAATATTTGATATTGTTCAATTGAATTATAAATATGTGTTGATATTCGAACATATAATTGTTCATTGATACATTTAATTGGAACTTCAATGGAAAACTCATGATAAAGTTTATTTTGTATCATTTCCGCGTGAACATATTGACAATTCTTGTCATTGATCGGTAATTTCACACATCGCATTGGTCCTGATATTTCATCCGAAGTTAATTTCGATGTTTTCCACATATTAACTAATAAATCAGAAGCATCTTTTGCTAATTGAATATTTCTCTTAATAATTTTCTTGAAATCATAAAAAGACCAAAATCTTAAACATTCATTTAACGCTAAAAAACTCGAATAATCTTTTAATCCAGTCCAAAGGAATTCGGAATGCATTCCTGAATTAATTCCATGTGATTGTACACACGGACGAATATTCAATTGACTATCGGATTTTCGATACAAAAGACCAACACCTTTCGGTGCACAAAACCATTTATGACAATTGATTAAATAAATATCAGGTAAATAATCATTTTCATAATCGAAATGAAGATCAATTGAGCCTAATGAATGTGCTCCATCGATGATACATCGAATATTCAATTGATTACAATAATGACAAAGATCATCAATAGGAAAAATCAATGGAGAATTACTTGGAATGTGATCGAAGAATGCATAAGTAAATCGTTGAGATTTCAAAACAATTTTCATTTGATTGATCGTCTCATCGAGATCATTTAAAGGAAATTTAATGGAAAATTCATAGAGTTCTGCACCAGTTTGAGAACAAAGACTTTTGAGAAACTTTTTATAAGCACCATACATTGTATTTGTGATAAATATTGACGTTTTTTCATTGATGTTCAATGAATTGACAACGGAATTCCACGCAAATGTAACATTTTCGACTAAAATTAAATTCTTTACTGATGAACAACGTAAAAATGTTGTCATTTGTCTAATAATTTGAATTAATCTCGGAAATAATTCACGATCAAAGAAACGTAATGGTTGTTTTTCAATATAATATTGAAATGCATGTGAATATTCCAAAACTGGTCTTAACACACAACCAAAGGCACCGTGATTGAGAAAAACATATTGATTATCCAACAGAAAATATTTCTCTTTCATCGAATATCCAAATTGAACTTCACCATCTGCTGTATAATCGTGTAAAACGAATGGAATGGGTAATAAAGGGAAATCTTCATCGGATAATTCTAATAATTCTTCGACATTTGAACTGTGAAACGAACCGAAATCACGTCGAATAAGTGATGACATGAGGAGACAGGTGAAGCACGTGTGTATCGATTGAAATCAATCGGAAAAAGAGAGAATGTCGTTTTAGTGTATCGTTTGAAAAGGATGTGCGAATGTTTATTCGAAAAGAAAAAACAAGTTACTGTTCGAATGATTTTATAAACAGATTTTGTGAGAATTTCTTTCATTTTCTCAAAAGATTATAAGGATTAAAGTATTAGACCTTCTTTTATGAGATATTTAGTCATGTGATCATGAAAATCAATGTTGTCAACATCGATAAATGAGTTTTGTTTTAATAATTTGTGTCAATTCCTTTCGAAATATGTCTGATGTGAGAATAAAATTGAAAAATGTCAATGCATAACCGAAATAAATCAAATCATAGAGAAGATTGTTGATAAATGTATCGGTTAACGCACGTGATCCTGACAATGTTCCAACGCGAATATACGATCGATAAACCGTGTAAATTGGATATGGAACATTCAAAATCAAATAAAGAATAACTTGATTCGCCAACATTCGATGCAATTGCATTTCTTTTCTCGTAATTCGACTATTTGTAATTGATTGACTTCGATTGGGTCGTTCCGATCCTCTCACTCGTCGTCTACTTTGACGAATATTCTGAATTGTCAGTATTCCGAAGAGCAGCATTGGAACAATCGGAAAGAATCCATTTTCAACGGTGATGTAAAAACTAAAGTAGGTCATCAATTGGACAACGTGAATCCGACATTTGTCATTGTCAACATCAAAGATAATGAGAACTTGAATGTAAAAGAGAAGCCAAATGACACAATTCATCGTGATGACGCGAACAGCGATCTTTGATGAACTCAATCGACGACGAAGAAGATTCGGCGAACTGCAAAAATAACGATCAACTGATGCGAAAATGAGGTTATAACGAGCATTGGCTGCAGCGACGTAAAATATATAATAACGAATCTTACAAAACCATGGAGAAACGGAGTTTACAGGAACGCCGTAACCATATTGGATCATTCGAATAAAAACAGCGAATTGAAAAACAAACATCTGTGAAATACTTAAAGCAATGAAATACATCGCACAGGAATTTTTGCCAAATGCCGGTTGTGAAAAGACAAGACAAATACAAATCGCTCCGATAGTTCCAATAATCCAAGCAAAACCATCAAGACATTGAGAAAAAATTTTGATGAGGAATGTAAACAGAGAAATCAAACGAGTTTCGTTGTCAATATCAACAATTGTTGTGTTACTCATCTCTAAAACAAACTCTCAATGATATTTGGATTGTCTTTTCAATCTTACTTTAAATGTGAGAAGATCTGAAATAGTGTCGTGACAAAATGAAATCTTTTTATAGGAATTAAATGAAGAATAACTTCGCAATAAACTATAATTAAAAGAGAAACATTCACATCAAAGTGATCGAAGAAGAATGTGTGAAATATCTCGGTAAAATATCAAAAGTTAAAACAACTTTTTCCATGAAAATTTACGTGATAATCGTCACTATACAATGCACAAGTGACAACTATACGACTCAGTTATCAAAGAAAATGAAATGTGGATAATTGAGTTCGTCAGATTTTGTTGACTTCGTTTATTTATTAGAAAATCAGCTAAAAAAAGGTCTTTATAAATCTTTTTTGATTAAATCTGCGAATAGTTTCAAACTATGTACACCTTCTGTTTGATTATTAATAAAATATGTTGAATTATTTTGTCCATTTGCAATTGCTTGTAATTCTTCAAATCTTTTTCTTGCTAATAAATATTGAACAGTTAAATGAGGATCATTATTCAATTGTTTACTAATTATTTCTAATTGTTGACAAAGTGCTTGTGTTTCTTGTTCAATTGAATATCTTTGTCCTTCGGCTTGTTTTTGCATAGTAAGAAAATTGGCATCTGCTAAGTTTTTTGCTGCGATCAAACTTCCTTCACTTTGAAGAATTGTCGATTGTTTTTCTCCTTCACTAATATTGATTTTCGCTCGTGTATTTAATTCCTGTTGACGTCGATCTCGTTCAGCATCCATTTGTTTTTCTAAAGTTTTCGCTACTGACGCATCCAGAGGACCGAACGATTGAATTTCTGCTTTGGTTGTTTGAATTCCCCAATGTTCGATCGAATCTCCAACAACAATTAACCATTCTTTATTGATTTTATTACGATCTCCAATGATTTGATCGTATTCGAATTGACCAACAATCGACCGAAGTGATGAGGTGCCAACTGAACGAATACCAGATCGATAATCTGACACTTCAAAGCAAGCTTTGTACGCATTTTTCACCTGATAAAACAAAACGGCAGACAATTGAACAGGAACGTTGTCTTTTGTATAAGCATCGATTTTGTCAACTGTCATTCCCGCTTCGCGTACATCAACTTTTTGAACATCGTGAAGAATTGGGATCGCCAAACGAAGACCGGGTTTTAAATGAACTAAAGGAAAGCGAATGAGTTTGAGAAGAGAATTAAAGGAGAACCGAACCTGGATTTCGACCGAATGTCGTTCGATAACCTTCGAAACCTTGATTGATGATTGTCAAAAATGAACGTTTTTGCTCATTTTGAATTGGACGAAGAACAGGTGAGAAACGAAGAAGGTTTTTTAACATTTTCCTTTTCTTTTCTTTTGCTAAGCAAAGACCTTCGTATTTATTAGGAGAAAAGAAAATGATGCAATGACATGATGCATGGAAAATGAGTCAAAATTATGTTGTTCTTATTGTTTTGCCCTACCAATCGTAATGACAACGTGGGGTTTTTATTAATGGGAGACATGAAATTTGATTCATCGTTTTAGAAAGAGAGACGCATAATATTTTTAGTTTTCAATACATTTTTTATGAATTAGCTTTATTTTATCAGAAGAGAAAATGTTAATCGTTGGTTTATTTACAACAATCACGTGTGTATTGTTCGACAATTTAAACACGAACTACTTTTGTCACTGTCACATGTGAATTCGTCTTATTAGAAGATGATAATTCCGATTGTGTACTTCTCTGCAATCGTTTTGATTTTATCGAATTGTTCGATATTCGATGAGTCGGAACTAAATTAATTAATTACTTAGAAATTTTTAGTAAATTGATTTGAACTTCTCTTACCCCCATTGAATGATGTTGAAACATCATTTGATGATATTGATACTCGACTGACTTTAACAGAATAACTTTTTTCTGTCGACGGTAACAATTCGTTGTCGCTCTTTTGGGTCGATGATTTGATTTTCTCTAAATTTATTTTCGATATTTCATTGTTATTATCAATGGGAGATTTGTTTTTGTTCTGTAAATCAGTAAATGAAGGTTCTGGTTGTCGTTTGACATAAGAAACGCTAACACAATTGGCACTTTTCTTTTCAGATGGTTCTTCATTGATGTTTTCGATAGGAGACGGGGCTGTGGGCGTTGATGTGACTCTACTTTCAAATGAAGAACGATCGGAAATTTCTGTGAGAGAAATTCTCGTTGGTTGTCGAAAATATCTGAGAAGTGATGAAGGGAATGTCTTGAAATGATGATTTTTAGTGATTAAATAATCATCCGTTGCTCTTTCCCATTGTTTAGTACGTCGACGACGGCGACCACCTCCACAACTTAAGAAAATACAAGATGTTTAAAGAACTTTGATCAGAATTTCGACATACAGAAACCAACACCACCAACAGCAACAACACAAAGTGCATAAGGCTAAGAAACCCAAAACAGCTCCGATAATTGGCCATAGATTGATCGATGTCTTCGTTGATTTTTCTTTAAAATCAAGAAAAGATGCATTAGATCGATACATGATAAGATTTCTCATGAAACATACGTGTGCTCGTTATTGTTGTAGCAGTAGTTCTAAGAAGTCAATGAATGGTCAAACGTAATATCAGGGGAAATCAGAAAACCTACGTTGTTGTACTTGTAGTCCAAACGCTCGATGTACTTGTTCTAAAAGAAGATTTTCATTCATACATTAACATAAAACCAAAAGAGGAATCTCTCAAATCCATCTCGATTAGATTATTCTTACGTAGTTGTAGTCTTCGATGTAGTCGAGGTTGAAGAAGTGGAACTTGTACTCGACAAAGTACTGGTAAATGTTAATAAGATGAAAAGATAAATTGTAATATGGAGAAGACATTGTTTCTTACGTTGCGGTTGTTGTTGTACGCTCAGTAGGACCTAAACATGATCGATCGGATGATAAATGGAAGAAAAAGGAGGAAAGCTTCTTTTACATGAAAGACCAGACCCAGCAGGAACAACAAAGAACGTCAAACAATATTGATCAGATGGTATATTTGCACTAAAATGACATTATTAATGATGAAATTAGAATATATCTGAGATCAAATTCGTTTGACATACCTATCAGTAGCGATAGCACAATAAACTTGAGATCCCAATTGATCTGATGTTGGAATCCATGTCTGACTTATTGTCCAAACAGTAGTTGATCCAATTCTTGTTAAAGTTCCTTTGTACATATACAAAGGAGGATTCGTATTGACATCAGTTATTGTAGTTCCCGAACATCCAATAGTAACATTCAAAGCAAAATTAAATTGAATACCAACTTCAACAGCTGTACAATTGGCTAAATTCATCTCGATCGTTGGTTTTAATGGACAAATAGGTGTACTAACAATCTGAATAAGAAATTGTATTGGAACACTACTAAATGGTGTTGTTGAAGATGAATCGCTAAAATCTTCGACCATCATTGCAGCAGCATAATACGTTCCTATTACTTTGCCAGTACTATTGAATGTCAAAATACAATTATTGGCATCTATTGTGCCACCTGGTAATGAATCACAAATTGACCCGCATTCATTAATTGTTGATGTATTTTTGCCCCAACGACATCTACGAGATAATGAGAAAAAACATCAGTTAAAAATAACTTTATTTGATTAGACTTATATACCTTAAATAATCCCCGTCGGCATCAATAATTGGTATCTTGATGTTTGTTATGGTATTAATAGGTACTTTGACCGCTAAAAAGAAATCGGAATACGAAAGATTCTCTGAATATATTATCAATATACGTGAAATAACTGTTGCAACCGGTGGTGTATTTATAAATCCATCTGTTCTCATTGTTAAATTCAAACATGTTACAATTGACCAACCGCCGGAATAATTAGAGAAACAACCACCGGGACACAATGTCGACGAGTACACACTTACCCAAGAAAAATCTTGAAATCCAACACAAAAACTTGATCCAGCTGTAATATTCTCAATCGTTGAAATTTGTCCTGAACTTGAATCACGAACTGAACTGAAATCTGTACAATATTCATTAATTGATATTGGAACATAATTCGCACAATTAGTTACAACACACGCAAGTGTTTGACCAGAATTGGGAATTTTAGGAGATTGATTCAAAATGATACTTTGATTACAATAATCATATGAATTAGCCGAATTAGCTGATCGACGAAATTGATACGATTGAGTAAACATTATTGGAATTGTTGAACCTGTTGCTGTGTTATCCATTGGTTTCCATGTTACAGTTCCACCGTAGAAATGAGTTGATTTCGAGAGGAAAATACTTAAAAGCAATTGAATAATAACAATAAGCCTCATCACTATTGAATTTGATTGAAAATACTTGTGTTAATCGAACGCAATACACTTTGTAACGTGAAATCCTCCTTGACAAAGTAAATATCTGATTTCTGAATCAATTCTTTTGTACACATAAGTTCGATGAGAAAAGAAAGACTCCAAGGACTCATTAATGAAATTGGTTTTTTTAATTATATTTGGAAAAAGTACGTGATTGTTTGAAAATTCAGTATTCTGTATTAAGAAAAAAGAAATGGACGATGCATTGATGAAACTTGACGCCTCACCTTTTTTTCCTCGTGCTATTCGTGATTATTTGTTTTTCTTTATTTTTATGTTTTCTTCGTAAAAAAATAATCAAATTAGATTAGACTTCTAAAATTTCCAGAACTCGATTTGAATTTGATGCTAAACGTATTTGATCTCTGATAGATTTCGATAAATTACATCCAGACATATGAATTCGCCTCAGAGATCGGTTATTTCTCACCATATCGATAATCGATTGTGCAGATTTATCCGTAATTGATTTGTTATAACACAAATCTAACACCTGAAGACTCTGATTATGATCCGCGAGCACATCCGCTAATAAAACCATTCCAGAATCTCCGATCTTATTCGTATGTAATTCTAACCATTTTAAATTCCGTGTTACTTTTAATAAATCAGCAAGATATTGTACACCTGTACTCGTAATGTTATTTTCATTGAGATCAAGTCGTTGTACAGTGGAATTTTTTGTCAATAAAACATTACTTAGATACTGAACACCTTGATCTTCGATGGAATTCTTTTCTAAATTGAGTGTTTCTAATGTTGTGTTATCTTTTAACCCATCGGTGATAATCGCGATTCCTTGAGATGTGATTTGATTTTCATCCAATAATAATCGTTTACAGAGCTTGAGTCTCATTGCTTTGTCAACAACGATTTCCATGTCTCGATCTTTTAGTCTTCGTCTTCGTAAATCGATCGTCATTCGACATGAACATTTCTCAATGAAATCTTCGAGTTCAATGTTGCGATATGGACCGGTTCCTTGTTGTTCATTGATTAATTCCTCAATACGTTCTTCATATTCACGACAACGTTCTTCCAAATGTTCAATCTTTTTCTCTGCTTCTAATGCTTCGCTTTCTAATTTTAGAATTCGATCTTTATATTGACTGATTTGCATTGTAAGATGTTCATTTTGAGAAAGAATTTCATGAACTCGTCCCTTCTGTAGTTTGTATCGACAGGTTTGAAGGTGTTCCGTACGTTCATCACGATAACCTGACCAAGGACATCGATTAGAGGCGGCTGGACATGTTACTTCAGTCTTTGGACACCAGCGAAGGATATGATCTTCAACATCTTTTTCTTTGAGTTTTGTAAGCCCACATTGTTTGCATGTGATTCTGGGCGGTTTAGAAGCGGATCTATGCAGTTTTTTAAGTTTTTTCAATGGTAGAGATTTGTTGCATGAAGAACACGAAGCACCACCTTTGTTGATGGACTCTGTGATACATTCGATACATAAGATATGATTACATTCGGTATAGTTTGGTTTTTCGATGAATTCCTCACACATAACACATTTGAATGTCGAATCATCCGGTGTTGCCTCGGCCATTTCAACGCGATACAAATATTTTCAAGTAAACAAACGTTCTACACTCCACAAGATAACTACAGACGTCGCTAATGATGGCCGATAGAAAGAGAGAACGACATCTTTCAACACATTGTTCGGTATCCAGCAATCAATCGATTAGTAGTCAGACAAATATCTTAATCTTCAAAATGAAAAGATGATTGATATCGGATATTTCTCTCGTCAATTTTGAATATTTTGTCGATATAAATTGAGAAAGACTTGTAGAAATGTATTCGGCGATGTGGATTAGATGATCTTGATCTCTATTGACATATGAACAATTCCCGATTTATTCGTCACTATGATTTCGCTCGATATGCTTATCTCTACTCGAAACTGGTCTCCGGGATATTTGTTTCAAAACAACAAAAAATCAGGAATTTTCTATGCTTATTTAGTTGTACGTGCATTTCAAGGTTAATATCGACAAAATATTCGACTAGATGATCGATTTCAAATCGTCTCGCGTTTACACGGTTGGGATGAAGACGCTTTTTATATGGAACAATTGATTATTCTCGAGAAAAACCAGCAAATTGCTTTTTCATTATTAGGAAGATGTACTTCTGTCTCACTTCGTCTTACACCGCAAATGATTCAATCACGAAAACTTTCGTCAACTGTTGAAAATTCCAAAGGAAATTATCAATTAAAGTTTTCAAAAAGCCAATCTCATTATGAATAAATTTCTGTTTTGAAAAAACGAAAGAATATAATAGCGTTGGGAGGAATCGAACCTCCATCACATCCTTATGAGGGAGAGAACAATGATTATTCGGACCGAAAAGGAACTTCAGTCATGTTATTAATCATCGAAATATGTGCATTACCATTATGCTACAACGCTGTTAAATCTCAGTTTTATTCGATGTATTAAATTTGTGAAGAAAAGATATGATGTAATTACCAATGAAACATAGGCAGATAAAACCATATTGTTGTCTTGCGAACTGATGATGCAATGACGAGAATCGATATGCAAATGTCAAAAAAATCTCGAAATGAGACTATTTGTGATCATTTAACAGGTTAATTTCATATGACTGGGTGATGATTTCATCGTTTCCAGAGAGATTTGATGGTTTGATAAAATGTCATTTAGTTATTTCGAGGTTTCAAATGACCTTTTTCATTAGAAAAACTATCTGATTGACCTACGGGTTTGTCTTAATTGAGTTGTCCATTAGAAGAAAATGGTTTTTGATGTTGTGCATATAAATATCATTGAATTGGAGACAAAAATAAAATGGGTAACAAGGGAAGTACAGGAAATATAAGTGATGCAGGTTTGTTCGACTTATTTTGAAAACAAAGATTAGGGGAAATTTTTGATTTTGATCGTAGAACTTGCTGCACTTAAAGCCAATTCAAATCTTAGTGAACAAGGTAAATAGAAAACTTCAATATTGTTGTGGAAAAACATTTCATTATTTTGATTTGTAGAAATTCGTGAAATGTATTTGGTAAAAAAATCTCTTAAAAGATTCGATGAGAAAAAGATTTTCTTCAGGAATTTCAAAAAGGAGGTGGAGGTGATGGAAAAATAACAAAACAAGAATTTAGTAAATATTATAAAAAATCTGTTGGAATTGATGATAAAAATGGAATCTTAGCTGAGTAAGTTCGTTTTTCAATTGATTTCTTTTTCGATTATCTTCATTGATTTAGTAATACATTTGCAGCATTTGATTCGAATCATGATGGATCGATCAGTTTTACTGAATTCACTTTTGCAATTCTTGCACAGAATAAAACTGATTTAGATAGTATTTTGAACTTCTCATTTGAAGTGTAAGGATTTTCTCAGAAGAAAGATTTGTTCGAAAGAAAGATTTTCATGTTCAGATTGGATACATCGGGAGATGGACACGTCAGTTTTGATGAATTGAAAAATTATATGGAAAAGGCGGTAAGATTTCGATTTTCATTAGGAAAATAGAAGAAATTCATTTATTCGTTTGAAGATGATTTTGGCTGTTGGACAGGAAGAAGCGGCAACAGTTGATTCAAATGAATCGACTCAAGCGCTTTTCAAAGAATTCGGTCTTAATCAAACACAAAAATTAAACAAACAACAATTTATCGAAGGGTAAATACAACGAATAACAGTTTCCTCTATTTTATACGAACTTGTCTTTTTCAGATGTAAAAAGAACAAAGAACTTGCAAATATGTTCACTGGAAATGAATAAATCATCAGAATTTTTCATTCTACTGATCAATTTTCTTTACCAATAAATTAGTTTTACTTTCCATTCATCTTTTAATGAAAATTTTTCTTCAATAATTCATTATTTTTTCATTTTGTTCCAATCGTTAAAAAATACTTGATACGCTGACAACATATCATTGATCACCATTAAAATATTTGACAAAAGTCAACTGAAATCTTCTCGTTTAAACATTGATATTTGATTTTTCTATTGATCATCTTTCGCATTTAATAATCGCAAAATTTTCTCGTCTTCAAGTAACTATTGAACTTACGAAGTTATTGGAACAATAATTGTTTTTTTTCGATTGAATTGATGAAATGAGATGTGTATAGAAAAACAAGTCTATACGTCGAGTTTCGAATTAATATTCGATTGTGAATTGAGAAAAAAAATAGAAACTCGTACTGAAATTCATCTATATGCACATGATCATATAGTAAAGACAATGTTCATCACATATCCATAATAACTGTAGCAGATATTCGATGAAAATTCATCATCAGAAATATCTCTGTAAGATAGTCTGACGAGTTTAAATGCACTTCAACTTCTATGAACGATATCTTATCGAAAGAGACAAATATCGATTCTTTGACTTGAAATTGTGTATCTTATCTAAGAAAAACTGTATTTTTTCTTCATTTTTATTTCGTATCTATCAACTATAATAGTTTTGTTTGAGAATTCATCGCATAGTCTTTGATTAAAGTGTTGATAATATTGTATGAGCGATTTGTGATGAATTTGTCATTCGCTCGAAATATCCGTGAACGTATCTCGATGACGCTTCTTGATTAAGTGCATCTATATAATCTCCTCCATTATAATAAAAATATTGTGATAAATTGTACAAAAACGGTATTAAATGTGGTGACCATCGTACGGCGAAACGAATAATCAATCGTCGTTTGTAATAATATTTCTTAACTGCCACTTGGATTCGTGGAAGTTCATCCTTTTTATCATCAGATTTGAAGATTTTCTTTGAAATAAATGTAAATAATTTAAGGAAACACGTATAAATCGTGACGATATAAGCATAGATGACAACGATAAACGAATAGATGGCGGTCATTGGAATAACATTTGTAAAGATATATGGAAATAGCAGAGCAGCAACAAAGACAAATGTGATTGTTGATATTACCATCGAAGAATAAAATATAACCTTTACTAAAATTCTTCGCCAATTTTGTTTTCGATCAATCCATGGAATATTATGAAGTGTTTTATCATGTAAAATAATCCATTTGGAAATATATTCAAATGCAAACATCGAAAATGAATCGAATAGATAATTATAAACTCGATAACCAAACAAATTGTAGCAATTCCATGTTGTTCCATGGGCAGCGGATTTACAATCTGATGTTCCTTGAATAATACAATACCAAATTGCATGACCAATTAATGGTAAACAAATGAAAAGAATATCAAATAGATCAAATGTTGGTTTCTTTTTATGTTCTTCAAGATCCTCTTTAGTTTTCAATAAAATCGCTTTTTGGCTATCAAAGGGAGAGAAGATTCGAATAGGAGATACCTTTTTGCGTACAGATGGACGAGATGATGATGGAATTATTCGAATACTAATGAAATCACTGGCTAATAACCATGTTCCATAAAGAATTCGATTCCAAAGACGAAAGCAAATTTCAAAAAAGAGAAATTGAGCAACAACAATAAAATATGGTTGAATTGCTGTATCTTGACTTCGAAATGTATAAAGTAATGGGTTGGAACTTGTATTAGTTGTATTTGAAGTATATGATGGAGTGCCATAGGTAGTTGTACTCATGTTTGAAGTTTTTACTTTAATTTCTTTCTTCACACTCGTATTTATAGAGAAGGGTAAATCTGTTTACTCGGTAGTGGGCCAACGGACGGAAGAAGGAAGAGATAAAAATATGTGTCTTGATGAGTAAGACACGGTTATTAATAAAAAAAAAGTATCATTAATTAACGATCAACGTATTTTCATTAGTTACTTTTATCTAAGAACGAAATATTTATACATGGCTATTCTTCATCAAAGCAAATGTAACCTGCTCGGATTCGATATGCTCCACTGAAAGTACGTTGGTTTTTAGTAAATAAGAATCGTCAATATGAATCAAGGATAGCAAAAAACGGAAGTAATTAAATTCTGTTTTTTCAAATTTAATTATTTCAAATTATTTAACACAGATAAGAACAATTTATTATTAACCAACCGGTTTTTCTTATCTTTTTTCAAAATCAAATATGTTATACTCATTATTAAAGGACTAGGAAGTAGTAAAATCCATCACTCCTCTGGACATGTTCACTCCCATCGTTTCAATTAATTAACAAAAGAAATGCTCGTAAAAAGAAGAAACGATTGTTACTTTTATGATAATAAACATATGGTGTTGTATTCTTTGAGCGCTTTTCGAAAATTTCCATCGATCTGACAATGTTTATTTATACGAAGAGATTTCTTATTAGAAAATGAAAGAAAAACGACTAATAAATTGTGAACTGAGAATAAAACAATTGATAAAAGTCAAAATTGGAGATAATATACGAGAAAAACATATGTAAATTCAAACATATCTGTCAAATGTTTATGAAGAAATTTTAGATTTTTTTTTTGTTTTGTTTATTTGAAAATGTTTGTGTTTGGTTGAAATATTAGTTTTGAAAAGATTTCAAATGATTTGAATAGTTGACAGAGATTTGAAATATCTCTAAGACATTTTAATCTGAATTTATAGAAAGAAGAGCATTTTATGAAAGAAATATACAGTTTATATTGAGAATTCTATTTGATTATTAATTTTTATCATGAATATGGAACTAATGAGGAAATATTTGATGAAATGAAGAATTCATATGAACACAAGAAATAGAAACGAAAATCTTTGAAAGGAATTTGTAAGAAAAATCACAAATGAATTTGATGTTATTTTTCGTTCTTTATGGTTCATTGATATATAAGATCTCATCAGGTCTGTTTTCAACCGATTCTTCGTCTAATAATGCTTATTCCATTATAACCTTGACTTGTTCCTGACATATGACTGGTCGTTGTGAATATCAACTCCAGTACATAATAGACTAAATTAGTAAAAAATAATATTATTCGTAAAAATATCAAAATAAAACATATAATTCCAATAATGGCCAATGGATTTGCATTTCTTTGAGCAATTCTTTGATTAATTTGTATTAAATAATTTGTAGATATTTGCCAGATTTGTACAAATGCGAATAAAATAGAGAGAAATATAATCAAATAAGCAATTAAAGCAAATAGACTGTTGAAATCCGTTTTGACTGCAGCGACAGTCACAGGTGCCCATAAACCGGTCAATGAACCAAATATGTAGAATAACCTGGAACAGATTGAACCAATGAAAGAAATTAGATCCATTGAAGTTATTAACTATTGAAGAAAATAGATTTTGGAAATCTAAATATTTGAAATAATATATTTTAGAAGCGAAAAACCTTCTGAGAATTTCATACTTTTCTAAAAAGGTGAAAAATTAACATCTCTTCTTCTTCCTCCTCTGTACTGAACGGCAGATATTTAAACAACCAATGATTTTTTTTCTTTCTTAGACCAATTTAATCAACTTATACCCTTCAAAGACATGTTACTGTGTTGTCACCGGGAAAAAGCTTTACAACACAATTAAAAGATCTAAAGCCCAAATATGACTCAGTGTTTTACTAAGGAAACGAGAAAATGATGGGAACGCGTACAAAAAGAGGCAAAAAAGAAACTGGAGTAATCGATGAACAATTTCAAAAAGAAGTATTTCTTTTCTTCAGTTTACTTTTCTTTGTGAAATCATGTGAATGGAATACAATCGAATCATGAATTTTACAAAAAGATATTTTAAAACTGACACGAGCGAATCTTTTATGCTGAGAAATCATTGTCGTATTTGCCATATTCGATGTTGTTTAATATTGATGTAAATATTTCTTTCCGGGCTTCTCAATCAAATATTGTTCTAATTCGTATCTGAAGCCTTTAGATTATTTGGAATAAGTTTTATTAAGACGAATCTATCAATAAATCGAGTTTTCTTCTGTAAACACACTAGATGCGACAAAAATTAAGCATTTGATGCATTTGGACGCATTATAAACCATTTTTTATACATCAAACGCGTTTATTCTGCGTTTGAGAGTTACATGGGAGAAAACAAAGAATACAATACTTCTCTACCTTCGTGATAAAAGACGATCCTATCAATGGCTTGAAACTGAAAAAAAAATTTTTATCGTGTTTAAAGACATATGTTTACGACTCTGTTACCTAAACAAACTGTTGATCAAGATACTGACAGCAAATAATGAAGTTTACATCTTTTTATTGATAATTCAAAGATACAACGTCACTTTTTCTATTCAGTAAATCATGAGTAAAGAATCACTAACTCTAACCTCGGACTTTTTCGTTACCCAGTAAAATTTTCTTCAAGTTGTATTTCACTATTGACTGAAAAAAAGCAAAATAAACTACGCCAGTTTGAAGATCTTTTTTGAGTTTTATCGATCTTCAAGTGCTGACATGTGTCGCTTTTTTTCCTGCACAATCAACTTCTTATTCCTTTTCGCCTGTCTCCTCAGAACGAACCATCACAATTATAACTATACAATATTAATTCTATAGAACAATAGTCAGATATCAATTAGCTTTATCGTTCGAAACAAGAGTTCATTCATTCTGGAAAATCGATCGATTCTCAATGATTCCTCAAACTGCAATCAGTTTTTCTCTTCTTGTTATATCATATCTGTCTCGGTCATGTTTGAAAACCCGAATGAAGATTAAGGAACTTTTCGATAGATTTGTTGTAACTGATGGCAAAATTTCATTTCTTGAAATTGTTGGCTTTAGTGAAGAAATTACTGTGAGATATACACGCTTCAACTAGACTGATTATTTCATGACCATCTGTTGTGAGAGAAACAACAATCTTGAGTATTTTTTAAAAGCCCATAAAATTTGTAATAAATGATCGAAATGAAAGTACAAAACCAAATACAAGAAAAATGATGATTAATGTAAGTAATAAAAGAACATTTATCATAGAATGTTTTTTTAAATATAGTACGACACATGAGCGAATGATCTTAGTAGATCGCGTATTCTCATTATATTATTAACGTTCGAAAAAAATACGATGCATCCTTAGAAAAGAAGTTCTAACAATGAAACAGGATTCCGACATAATTTGCGCCATTGAGTGCATCATTGTTCGCCGTAACTATGTCAGGTTTGTTGTCATTATTCAAATCAGCAATAGCAACCGAATATGGATAATTACCAGCCGAGTAACTGATTCTAGGATTAAACGTGCCATTCCCTTTACTGAGAAAAACACCAATAGCGGGTATACCAGTCTCCCCTGTGATTATATCAGGTTTGCTGTCACTGTTTATATCGAACACAGTAATTGAGCGGGGATAAGAACCAACTGAGTAACTGAGTTGAGAATAAAATGTACCATTACCGATATTCACAAGAACACTAATAGTGCCTGTCCCATAGTTAGCCGTAATGATATCAGGTTTGTTATCATCATTTACATCGGACACAGCAATTGAGCGGGGATAAGAACCAGTTGAGTAAGTAATTTGAGAAGAAAATGTACCATTGCCTTTATTGAGAAGAATACTAACAGTATTTGCATCATTATTGGCCGTAATTATATCAGGCTTGTTGTCACTGTTCACATCGACAACCGCAACTGAATATGACCCGTTGCCAGTTGGGTAATTAATTTGAGAAGAAAAAGTAGCATTACCTGTATTGAGAAGAATACTAACAGTGTTTGAAGCATAGTTTGCTGTAATTATATCAGGTTGATTGTCATTATTTACATCAACCACAGCAACTGATCGTGGAAAGGAGTCAGTCGAATAATTATTTCGAATAGAAAATATGCCATTGCCCGTATTAATAAGAATACTAACAGTATTTGAAGCATAGTTTGCTACAATTATATCAGGCTTATTGTCATTGTTTACATCAACAACCGCTGCTGAAAACGAACCATTGCTAATTGAGTAATTATTTTGAGAATAAAATGTAGCATTGCCTGCATTGAAAAGAACACTAATAGTATTCGCATCATTGTTCGCTGTAACTATATCAGGTTTATTGTCATTGTTCACATCAATAATTACTACTGATTGTGGACTGCTTCCAGTTGCGTACATAATTTGAGACGAAAAACTTCCATTTTTTATATTAAAAAGAACATTAACAGTGGCTGTTCCATAATTAACCGTAATTATATCAGGTTGATTGTCGTTGTTTACATCAGCAATCGCAACTGATGATGGGCTGCTGCTAGTTGCATAATTAATTGGAAACGCAAATATACCATTTCCAATATTCAAAAGAACACTAACAGTGCTTACAGCATAGTTAACCGTCACTATATCAGGTTTGTTGTCGTTGTTTACATCAACAACTGCAACTGAGTATGGACGAGTACCAGTTGAGTAAGCAATTTGAGAATAGAACGTACCGTTACCCATATTGAGAAGAACACTAACAGTATTTGCACCACCATTAGCCGTAATTATATCAGGCTTGTTGTCATTGTTGACATCGACAGCCGCAACTGAGTACGTACTGGGACCAGCTGAGTAAGTAATTGGTGAAGCAAATATACCATTACCCGTATTCCGAAGAATACTAACAGTGCCTGTACCAAAGTTAGCCGTAATTATATCAGATTTGTTGTCATTGTTTACATCAACAACTGCAACTGAGTATGGAAGATTGCCAGTTGTATAATTACTTTGAGGAGAGAATGTACCATTACCATTATTGAGAAGAACGCTAATAGTGCTTGTGCCGACGTTTGTCGTAATTATATCAGGTTGATTGTCATTGTTAACGTCTGCGAGAGCCACTGAGTATGGATAATTACCGACTGGGTAAGTTATTGGAGAAGCAAATGAGCCATTTCCGATATTCAGAAGAACAGTAACTGTATTTTCACCTGAATTGGCCGTAACTATATCAGACTTATTGTCACCGTTTGTATCGGCCGTAGCAACTGTCTGAGGACTTTTACCAGTTGGATAAATAACTTGAGAAGAAAACGTACCGTTGCCGCGATTGAGAAGAACACTGGTAGTATTTGTAGTGTAACTTGCTGTAACTATATCAGGTTTGTTGTCACCATTCAGATCTGTAACTGATATTGTGAGCGGAGAGTAGCCAACAGAGTAACTAGGTCGATTGTAATACATGCTATTGCATTCTGTTAGAAACAAATGAAACGGGTTACTTATGTAGTTGAAAGTTTTTGGAATATTTCGCACTTAATCGAAGAAGGATATTAGCTGAAATAGTATAATTGATTATATTCGAGTCATATTTGACAAGACTTATTAGATTTTATTTCTTTTCAGAAGTCACAAGCATTAAGTTCGCAAATTTGTAAAATCTTCGACAAATGTCAACAAAAACTTTCATAAAGTTCTTTAAATGATATGCGAAACCATTCATATTTCTATAATACTGTAGCTTTTACTCTCAACAGAACGTGTGTAATTGTTAGAAAAAGATTATAGGTATAAAAAGTTTGAACTGGTAAATGATGAGTAAATTCAAGTGACTGCCTCGTGATACCTGATTGTGAAGATCATCAGTGTGCAAAGAAGTGTTTTCTTCGGCATTTTTATAGATTTTCAAGAAAATTTGGATAGAACTATAGAATTTATAACAAAGGTCGCTAGTACCTTTCTAATTTAGTAACACTGGTATAGCTATTTCTTCCGTAAATGTTTTTGAAGTAATGTAGTGACATATTTTTCAATATGTAGAAAGAAGCATCTATTCATTCTTTTACGTACCATCAGGTATTAGTGTTATCGACGTTGTTGTTGTTGTTGTTGTCGACGTAGTTGGTGCGACTGTTGTTGATGTAGTAATCGAGTCTATATTTTGTTCAAAAAAAAGTTCAAATGAAAGAATAGAAGTGACAGGCTTTTTTAAAACTTTTTCTTCAATCTACCAAGAGTATATCTAGTTCATCATAGTCTTTATCTTTACCTCATTATTATTCAGATACTCATATATGTAAAAGAAAGCACACGCACCACAACAGACGAATCAAACCTACAAAAACTAGACTTGTTTGGGCCTCTGACAGGAAGGATGCGTTTATAATCTTCAAAAAATCATGATTTGCAATATGTGCAAAATCGCACTCTCACGGATTTGTAAACACTGTATTCATCCTTACCGGACGGTATTCGTGTTCCAGAGACGACCATCATAGCAACAGTACCGATAGTTAATACCAAACTATTGTTTTGATTCGGCATGCTATCAAACAATTGACAACTAGAATTTGATTGGTGGAAACTAGCAGCTTTACATTGAACGTGCGCTAAACAGTTAGATTGACACTGAACAATATTTGATGCAATATCAGTAGAAAATGGTAAACAGGTTGTTGCAGCACATTGAAATTGCCATCCAGCCATAATGGACATGAAAAATGACCTTGTGTTTTGTGCGACTGATTGTACAAGAATAGAAGTCAAAAGTAAGAGAGATAATCTCATCCAAGCCATAACTCGTCAAACTTCAACTTGTTTCTTCAGATGAATTGTATGAAATTCCAAATGAAACAAAAAGTATATAGTGTTGATAAATTTCTATTTATTTCACACCTCTTTTTCTCTTTTTCTACATGGGGACTACTTTTTGTCTTGCTTGGCTAATCTTTTAAGAAAATCATACTCAAGCTTTTCTTTTCTCTTTCAATTACTAAATAGAACATGATATTGAAATCAGTTTCTTTTACTTTTTAGAGCATTCTGACGTAGTATAAATATGAAAAAAGGATTGCTTTTTCTTCATTATCCTGCAGATAGTAGTGACCTAATAGAAAAAAAAAGTGTTCATATGACCGTAGCCAATATTTCTTATTAAAACAAAAAGAGGGCGAGGGTGTGAGTGTTAAAACTCCAAACATGAACGAATTCAGAATATACGTAAACATGTTTTTCTCCCACAGCTATCAATGAATTCTAAACATGTATGAAAATTAATCCTCGTCATCTATGACTTGTTGAATCATCCACTGAATAATTCACAAAAGAAAACATTTCGAACGTTTTCTCAAACATTCACCATATCTGTATCGAATGTATTTCTATTCCTAATCCGTGAATATCAATTTGTACTATTATTATAATTGAATAATGATCACAAAACAAATGTGTTACATAGTATTCTCTCTCACTAAGAATGTATTGTGCGAAGGGGTTTTTATCATATGGAGACCGGCAGTTTCAAAAATCATCTGAATTTAGAACCGAACCGGTGATTTCGATTCCGGTTATTATAAAATTAAAAGAAGTGGTCGTACAGACGACTCCGAAAAACTTAAATGGAACCGTTATAATTTAGATATGCTATTTTAAATAGTTCATTTGGCTTTATATCATCAATATGTATTTTCTCCTTTGCAATCGATTAAATTTACTATTTTATTTAAAAGCAACCCTTTCGAATTACATGAAAACTTTCCGCCCCCCTGAAAGTCAACTTTTGGTAATTCTTTAAAAATGTTCCACTTGATAGAGCAAGTTTGCCGCTATCGAATGCACTGTACTTTGTCTATTTTACGATGGTTTTCCGCATGATATATATGTAGGTTGTTCTTAGATGGAACGCCCTAGATAATGTTTTTTTTCGAACAATTTAGCGATTATAGTGTTTCTGGTTTCGTTTTTGAGTGTAATGGATGCGAATATCAAGTGTTGTGAAGTCTAATAAACTTTGAGAGAAAAATTCAATCCTTAAAAATATGGAACCATGAATCAATGAAATCCAAAGTTTTCTACACATAACCTATTGGAACTTACTCATTCATCAAAAGTAACGTTGGCACTACTATCACAGATAAGTTTTTCCATGTTTTCTCCATTTAATATGATGTTATGCATTCATTTGTCATTCTATGTTTGAGTGTAATTTCACTTTTTTGTGTTCTTTCTATCGTGAAAACTTGTGTGAAGCGTATATTGCTCTAGAAATACTGATAGATGTGTTCTGCTGATTTCGCTATTCTCAAAATACTATTATTTTGTCGCATCTTGAGGGTGATGTTGTAGTTGGTTCTATTGAAAAACTAAACATAGATATGCTTTATTATATCTCTAAGGCCTTCATTACAAATACGATCAGATTAATAATAGTCATAGTAATAATATCATACTATGATTTGGATTTGATATATTATTAAGAAGTAATTGACAAATAGAATTCGATTGAGAAAAAATTTGCAGTTTTACAAAAAAATGCATTCATTATTGTTATTAACTACAGCTGGAAGAACAAACAAATATGTCTTTTGCGATATTAATCGTCCCCTGTACGATCCTGTAACATTAATAAATCGTTTAAACACAAGAAGCATCGCGATATTATAATAATATACAATTCCAATGCTGTAGTTATGTGAAACATACTTCGAACGAGTTTCCTGATCATATTGCTAATCTACATAAGATCAAAGATCTTCTAAAGATTTAATAATGTACTTGGATGGATTTTCTCGAAAATATAAATTGGAATTTTCATATGTCATTCAATTTCGTATTCCCTTTGGTTTATTTTTAGATTTTATCGTTGATAATAAATATTCATAAGAGAAATTTCGAAGGATAATCACAAAGAACCATCTTTCTGGTGAAAATGACCTTTTAAAAGCATTTGATTTCATACAACTTGAGTAAATTAGATGGAAAAAAGTTTGCTTTGATGGTTCATTACATGTGCGATTGTGATCCTCGACGTTTTTATTTGATTTAGAAAAAGAATAATGAAAATTAATCATATGATATCGGGCCCATTCAAAAAATTTGTTATTTAGCAAACTGAACGGATCAATATTCACTTATTCGAACAGACGAGAAAATTTATAAAGAAAAATAACCACAATTGTCTGTCAAAAGGATATGTAGACTTATAATCGTGTCTTTATTGAACATAACTTATAAAAGAATGGTCGAGAGTCAATATTTATCACGCGAGTTTATATGTAACATTGTCAATCAACATTCCTGTTCGTTAAATCTTCAAATTGTAGCCGAGCTGATATTTGAATCGAAAAAAAGGTTTGTGTTAACGATAAGAGAAACACGTGAATTTATTAAGCTGAAGTAAAATATACATATTCGATAAAATTATTTCCACCCAAATTTCGTTTTGAGATTATTAAATGCATCACTTGTCATTTTAATTGGATCAAAACCTAAAATGAAAGTTTTCAAAAGCAAATCTATTTGAAAAGTATGGAAAAAACCTTGATTGTGTGTTGGTGGAGGTAAAGGAGATGGCGCTCGAACTGGTTCAGCAGGAACTTTGTGCGATGAAGATGGTTCATCTTTTTTCTTGATATTGTACTATAAGAAACAAATCTTATGAAATGATGTCAAAAATTTGTTGATTTGTACTTTATCTCGAATCTTTTGTCGAGCTTCTTCACGTTCTTTTTCCACTTTTGCATGTCGTGCTTTTCGTTCAGCTTCTGCTTCTTTCAATCGTTTTTCTTCCGCCTAAACAAATCAAATGTGAAGAGTTCATTTAGAAATGAAATTTCAACCAGAATTTCCGAAGCGGACATTCCACTAGCGACATCTGAATTTTCATTTGAATCACTTCCAAAACCAAATTCTAAATCAAATCTTCGATCTTAGGATCATCTCCAATCGACTTTTACCTTTTGCAACTTGACTTATTTCATTTCCAACGACAGATTTAAATATATACGAAGACATTTTTTTACAACGAAATAAAACGCGAACTTGTCTTTATGTGTTAACGAAATAACAAAATGGTCTGAGTCACGTGGATTTTTTCCTTTTCGCTTTCATATACCACCACTGTTTCTATGTTGCTCTTGTGCGCAGAGGTCGTTTGATCATTATATGATTCATAATCAAATGAATATTCGTTACGAATATTATACAAGAAAAAAAAATGATTCAACGTGTTCGTTTATGATTAATGGTTTTGAACCGGTAAAATTGAGTACATAGAATATTCCCTAAAGATATTCAATAGTGCAAATAACATTTATTATTCTCAATAATGATAATCGATACTTTCTGGTAGAGTTTTGCTTGATCAATCATAATTGGTGATTTCTTTTTAAAACATTTTGTTCAGTTGATCACCAGTCTGTAAGAGAGGAAGACAATGACTGCAAATTTCTGCTACTAAACCAATTTTCGGTAGTTGGATCAAAATCTTACTCATCAATAGTCTATTAACAGTTTTTTTTCGATTTGAGAAGTTCGTCTCGAATGCAATTTGTCCTAAGCTTAAACTTCTGAATACTTGGGACATTTTTTCGCTCTGATGAACACACGAAAACGGATGACTAATTACTGTCTATAACGAATATATTCAGGGAAGAATCCAACAAAACATACGAAAATAACCTGTGACAGTTTTTGTATTCAATTGAAAACAACGATATTCAAGGGATTAACGATAAAACGGATTTTTCCAATGTCGAGATATTGTACAAAATGTAGGAAAATTTTCCTCCAAATTAAACCGTATAAAAAGGCATAGCTTCGCATATTAAATCACATTCTTTACTAAAATGAACAACGAGATGGTTAACGAACAACAAAGCGAAGAAACTACAATTACGTTTCTCTTCGAACCGATTACAAACGAAAATAATGCGAACGCAATTGACGGGCATTCAACTTCCGATGATGAATCAAATAGCTCCGATGAGGAAAGTTTGCCTTCTTCTACATCTAACTTTCAACTTCCAATCAGCGAAGATTTCGTTGAAGAATCGATTGATTCAACCACTGAAGATCATTCAACATCTTCTTTAAGCTTCACGGCAAATCGTGATGACGTTCTCAAGCGAACTCAAATGTCAGTCGAACACGCCATGATTAACAATGCCTATGAAAATGAAATTCAATATGTAAAAGACACTTTGGAGTTCAATATTCTTCTTATGGGCGCACCACGAATCGGTAAGAGTCAATTGACCAATGCTCTGACCGGAAATAAAATACATAAAGCACAAACGAGCTCAAGCTTGGAATCGTGTACCCAAAGACTCCAGAGATACGAAGTGACATGTGGATCATCGAATGATTCTTCAAATGAACAATCGAAAGTTTTTATCTGGGATACTAAAGGCATTGAAAATTGGTCAGACGATAACGTTGTACGAGAATTGATTCATGTTATTGAAACAATTCATCCGATTGCTGTGATTTACTGTGCTGCACCAGGTACTTTCGCAAAATTACATCAAGTGGAAATTATTCTTAACTATTGTATGTACAAAAGCATCTTCTGTGCAGCAGTCATAACAAATATGTGGTCAGGTAAGTTGTGAAACTTTCTTCGAACAAATTTAGAATATTTTATGCGATTAGGTACACGAGAAGCTCGATTGTCTGTTCAAAATGATTTAGAAAAGATTCTCGAACGATTTGGTCCTCGGAAAATTCTCGAATTTGATACAAATGATCCCATTCTTCGTAAACATGAAGTGATTATGTATGGCGATAAAGCTCTATGTACCATGGTGAACAGCACACCATTTGTTAATTTGGATTTATCATCAGTTGAAAAACCCGTTCGTGGAATTGATGAATTAACATATTGCATCATGCAATCATTAGCAGAAGACAAAGTGCGAGGCTGGTGTCAGGCTGTTCTGGGTAATCGAAGCTTTTGGCAAAAGATTCGACATCAGACATATGGCTTTGTATTGGAAAAATATTCGCAATTACCTATAATTGCAGAGAAACTTCAACACGGTTTAGAGACCATGTTTTCGGATGTTTTAAATACTTTGAACACTTTATTTCTTTGAGTTGAAGTTTTTTTTCATATAACATATACGAGTTTTCATTGTAGATGGAAAGATGTTTTACAATAACCGTATGTGGAGCAAGTCGAGTAGGAAAAAGTACATTAATCAATGCAATCGTTGGTAAAGAAGTGGCACAAACCAGTGATAGTTTGAATTCAAACACGACAACACTCAAAGAATACGTTATAGAAAAACAAAGAGATGAAAATGATCCTCGTTCGAATTATACATTGAAATTTTGGGATACACCAGGAATTGAATCATGGACAGAAGAAGGTGTTCAAGAGTATTTTGCGGCATTGATGCAAAGAACAATGCCAGTTTGTATTATCTATTGTATTTCACCTTCATCGTTTGCTGATTTGGGACGAGTCAAATGGTTTGTCGAACAATGTATGACAAGAAATATATTCGTTGCATTGGTTTGTACGAATATGTATTCGGGAAATCGACGTTCACAGATTATGGAACAATTTACTAAATTGTTAATCAGTATTAATCCAAATTTTGTACGATGGAAACAAGAAAATATTGAATATTTCGAAAACAAAGCTTTATGTACAATGGTAAATAGTAAACAATACATTGATGAAGATTTCGGAATTAGTAAAGATCCATCAGGCGTTAATGAACTGATTGTTGGAATTGCACAATGTTTAAGTGGTGAACAACAATTGTTTTGGCTCCAAGCAGTTGCAGGAAATCAAAACTTTTGGTCAAGAATGGGTTCATATGTCAATTCAGCTTTTCGAATACCTTCCGACACTTTATCGAGTGTTACTAATCGAGCATCAACTGTTGCCAGATACTTTCTCTCATGGTGTCCATCAACAAATAGTGTAGTTGAAGTTTGTTCATTTTGTAGAAGATTTTAATTATCATTAATATTTGCTTTTTCTTCAATTTTAGAATGAATCTCGATCGAATCGCAAGAGGAAATTGTAGATGATTTGAAACTTTCTTCTTTTTAAATAAATTCTTATTTTAATCAATAACTCAACAACGAATTCTACCGATAAAATGACAAATTTGATGAGTATTATTTTGTGTAATTAACAAGAAGAAGACACATTTCTTATCGATGTATTTATTCTTCACTATTATCTATTCTCACTTTAATCATTCAAAAAGAAAATATATCAAAAGTCGATGAAATATCAAAATAAAAGCTGAACGACCCATGAACTTTAAACTACATTTGTTTTCACATGGCGATTCAGCAAACAGAAACAAAAATATTTGTTTGATCGATTTCGAAGAGAGAGACACTAACAATTAGTGAACAGATCAATCAAAAATGTATGTCTTTGTTCTGAATGACATATGATTTTCATCTGCCGGAAACTGTGAAATCTGATATAACACCTTCATTTTGTGTCATATCACTTCAATAATCTGACGTCGCGTCTTTGAATAGAAATTTTATATTTCTTCTGAATTTACCTGTGTTATGAATGACATTCGATAGTTCTACTCTGTTATTTTAAGAGAGAACACAAAAAATTACTTCCATATCGTTTTTCATATTGGATCCAAATAAAATCCATGCGTGTGTATATTTCATGTCTGTTTCGAATATTAATTCTTCTTTTTTTAATCATTTTTTATCTTTATCTTAATTCTTTGAAACAACCTGATAAATCTTCTATTCGAATAATGTATGTCGTTCGAACAATATCGAAATATTATTCATCTCGTTTGTCTTATCTTCTTGAAACTTGGATTAAATCAGTTGCAACTGATGTTTATTTCATAACTGATAATCATCTTCCTCATATTGATCCTAATCATTTCATAACAACTCAAAACACATGTGGAAATACTTCACATTCAGTTCGATCTCTTTGTTGTCAAACAAGTCATGATTTTCTTCTCTATCGTAAACATCTCGATAAATATCAATGGTTTTGTCATTTTGATGATGATCAATATGTTCATACTGAGAATCTTTATCGATATTTATCAACATTAGATCATCAAAAAGCGTATTACATTGGAAGAAATTCTTGGAATAAGACATTTAAACGGAAAAAATCGCCTCATCCACGTCATTTTTGGTTCGCTACACTTGGTGCTGGTGTTTGTTTCTCTCGTCGAACAATTGATTTACTTGAATCTTATACAAAAACGGTTTCCCAATTTGTTAATGGATGTTTAAAAGAATTTTATCCTGATGATATTTATCTTGGATTTGTTTTGAATAATCATTTGAATATTTCATTGACAAAAAATACGGAATTTCATTCGCATTTAGAACGTTCGTTATTCAATGACAAACGAGATTTAATTGATAATTTTCATCGACAAATTACTTTCGGTTTTCCTCTTTCACGAACATTTTTTCGATTTCTTCCAAATTTATTTCCAAACGAACAAGATCCAATGAAAATTCGAACAATTCATTGTCTTTTCTATAACCACTTTCAAGATTGTTCAACTCGATTACAAAAATTCATTTTTAACACGAAATAATCGATTTTTTCTCTCATTCATCGAAAGAATATTGATTTCGCCGATTTTCTCTGTTCTTCTCAAAGATTATATTAAACTCTCTTCTATAATAAAACACCCGGGGGTCTTCTTTTATGTTTCTCAAATCTCCTCGAAATGTTCGTGAACCTTCATACAAGCTGCACATTATTTACATAGAACATTTTTTTTCAGAGGAGTCTTCTATTATTGGCGGGTGTTTTATTATAGAGAAGAATTTACACAAGATTTTATTAATCTATATTTACCGATCAAATTTCTTCTGATGTACAGTAATTCTATCAGCTGTGAGCGTGAGAGAGAAATTCGATTGTTGTCATAACTAAGATATTCATACTGATTGATTTAATTTCTACAAAACTGTTTTGGGTTGAACGAACAAGTGAGGAAGGTCATTGGTAAGGAGAAAGTTGTCTTTGACAAGTGTGACTCTTCGTGAATGAATCCGTTCAAATTCGAATATTGGCAAACAAAATGTGTGATTTTCAAGGTGCTGAATTTCTATTGGTATTGGGAATAGTGTTAAACACTTGATGGTGATTTCGAACACAATATCTTATTCTAGATACAATGCGTATTTTATCTTCGTTAAGACATTTTTTTCGTAAATGTCAACGTCTTTCATCTCGGAGACATTTCATTTGTCTATTTTTCTTTCTCTCTTGTTTCGTACTCTTCTTTTCATTATTCGTTAGTCCTGTTTATCCATCTTCGTCGTTAAATTACCTCGATGAATGTATGTACGATGTTACTCCATGTTATCCAGATATTGATCAATCATTGGATCGTTATTTTAAGAAATATAAAAACAAATATTCGATGTTGTTGAATTATCATCCGAAAATCGATTGTAATCACGGTCGATATCTATTGATAAACAATGCTCGATCATCACGTGTTTATCACGGTACAGGATCAATTTTAATGTGGTATTTAGGTGTGTTGAATATCGCGTATCAACTGAATTTAACTTTAATCCAATTCGATTGGATCGCTGAACATTCTGATGACGAAAATAACGTTGAAAGAGAAAAATATTGGTTATTTTCCGAATGGCAAATTCCCTATTCAGCATATCAATCATGTCCACAGAATTCTTCGATAAAAAAGAATATTTTCTCTTACAATTTAATACCAAATCAAACATTAGATCAACATCATCAAGGTAAACAATCTTTTACAATCAAATCTCATCTACACGAGTCTTTCTCGGCATTTTTAACAAATTTAACCAATGAAAATGATGGTTTCACATTCTATTCAAGTCAAACAATCACTATAACTTCGTCATTGATGGAATTAGGAATTGTTATGGAAATCCGCTGGTGGTTACAACATCGTAAATCGTTTCGATATCCTTATGGAGTTTGGGCAGGAATTTCCATTCCTTTGCACAATCAACCAATCGATTATTTTTCTCATTTAAACCAAAAATCGCCAATAAAATGTCGTTCAATTGATTTGAAGAAAAGTTTCTTAATCGGTGTTCATATTCGTCATGGTGATGTTGTTAAACGTGATGCACAAGGTCGAATTCTCTCGGGTAATCTTTATCGTTATATTTCTCATTCTGCTTATGCACCACTTTTAACATTTCTAATCCAATCTTTACCTAATGAAATTCGAAAGAAATATTTTCTCACGATTTACAGCGAAGGTCATGAAAGTGATTTTAATGATATTCTGAATGAATTGAAAGAAATTCTTCCGGAATTACAATGTCGAATGTTATTGATTTTAAATGGTCGAACTTCGGAGACATTTAATCGTTTGTTACGTGATGATATTTTAATTCATGCATTCAGTACATTTAGTTTGGCTTCGGGAATCTTCAATAGTCGACAATTAAAAATTGGACCAAAACATAATCAAGGACGAGTTCATGGAATGAGAAATTTTCTTCAATTAAATTTAGATTTTAATCACACAAAGTTTCAATTAACGAATGAGAAACAAATTTTGATTCGAAAAAGAATTCGTTACGTTTGGAATGAAAAACAAAAGCAAAAAGAAACATTTGTTCCCTTGTGGGTAAAGAATTACCTCGATGATTATCCTGAAGAGTTCATGTTGATTTGATGCTTTCTTAGACAAAAAGTATTCAACAAAAAGGATTTATTTTATTTAAATCATATTGTTTTAGGTGGACTTTGTGGATTAATTCTTAATGCGATTATTGGACTTTTTCATCGAAGAAAATAGTGTTGGAATATTCTATTTAACAACAATTTCTATTGTCAATTTAATTCAATGTCTAACTGAATTTATTTCTGTTGAATTTTCTCGTTTTAAGTTTTCTCAGTTCATTAGCGTATTCTTGTTTATAAATAATTCATCAATATTCTTCTCAAATTTCTCATCAACATGTTCAAAATTATTTTTCTATACAAAATTAATTCGTTCATTGGCAACAATTTTTTATTTTCTTTGGCTTTGTAATGGAATTGTTTATTTATTAGTCTATAATTTGTTAAACGATAAACATTTCGTCCATTTGGATCAAAATTCATCAAAGTTTAATAATCTTCGTCTACGGTGTAATAATTCCAAGCATCCAGAATAAGTAACGATAAGTTTAAATCAGCAACAGCTGCGTAATCCTTGATTGACTTCAAACAAAGATAAATATTAACGATCGTTGGTAACCAGATTAATAAAATTGTATAGAAATTGGCAAAAGATTTTAAAAGTCGATCGAATCGTTTCATTATGACGAGTAAATGGAGATATTTTTCCTCGTACCAACTCTATTCTCAACCTCAATAGGAAGTACAGAGGAAAATGTAATTAACGCAATAGAAATATCAAACGAGTAAAGAAAGATCATTCGAATCTTTTCTATTCATTAATATTTCCGCTCAGGAAACATATTAATTACATTTAGACTTGATTCCTCAATAAAAATTCAATCTGTGTCTTTTTCGTAAATAAACCGTGTGATTTCTCTTTGAAGATATTCTTAGTTGTAAATGATTCTATAACATACTGAATTAGTTCGAATACTTGATCGATGTACAAAATCCTAATAAAGGATTCAAAAACGCATAAATGATAATATAAGACAAACAAAGGAATGAAAGCATCACTCCCAATGCTCAAATATTTTTATATTTCAACTCTAAATGACTTTAACGATGATTGAATAGACGAATTTCATACAATATCGTCAATCGATGAATCGAATCCAATTGAAGTAAAATGTCACAGCAAGGATCCAAACATACATGACATTATTCGCTGAAGGATAAAAAATTTCCAACACAAAATACGAAGATATCGTTGAGTTAAATTAGATGCGTAATGACATTTTCAAGGCAACGATGTGCGTCGAGTGTTAATGCATAACAAGAACATAACCAAGTGAACTTTCGATTAGTACAGACGATCTTTCCACTAATGAAAAATGATTTTGCAAAAAGAACAAATTTTTTTAAAGCCGATTGAAAATAATTTGAATTTTCACTTTGATTCATTAAAGTTTCATCGTGTCTTGTTGATTGACCTTCTAAGCAACCGATTGAATGAATAACTAAACAATTTCTGGGCTCGTAAATAAAATTGGTGTAACAATAAACTCATAATTATTTCCACAACGTGGAATTAGTCCGAGACCCGTCGCAAAATAGCAACACAGACAAAAGTAACAAATATTCACATCAATTTATTATTTTCGATTACACATCCTCTATGAAGCAATTTAAATTTGTTCTGACACTATAGAAACGCAGTAAAAAAATCAAAGATGTTGTTGAATTGTGAAGTTCATTGAATGGCAGAATTCGATCTTTGTTTTGCTTGAAGCGCCTTATTGAAATATTTCTGTGCTTCTGACTTGTCACCCATTTTTTCGTACACTAAACTGATCTTATTGTAGATTTCACCTATATGAAAATCATTCGGTGACACAGATTTTTCTTCGATTTCAAGTGCTTTATTGTAGTTTTCCAGAGCTCTTGAATGTTCACCCATTTTCATATAGACTTCACCAATGTTTTTATAAGTTGTGGGGAAATTCGGATGAATAGACGGTGAATTCTTGCGTAGAACTTCCAGTGCCTTATCGAAGTATTCAAGTGCGCTGGAATACTCACCCATATGAGAATATACAGCAGCGATGTTGTTATAACTCGTGGCCAGATTGACGTGACTGAATGGTAAAGATTTGCGAAAAATTTCAAGAACTTTATTATAATTTTCCAAAGCTCTTGAATATTCACCCATATGAGTACAAGCTAAACCCATGTTGTTGTACACTGCGGCTAGATGGGGATGAGCTACGTGTAGCGTCTTCGCGTAAATCTCAAGTGCTCTGGCGTAGTTTTCGACAGCGCTTGAGTATTCACCCATGTCGTAATATACTAAACCGATGTTGTTGTAACTCGTGGCGAACTCGATATGAGTCGACGGCAGTGTTTTCCGATGAATTTCGAGAGCTTTGTTGTAATTTTCCAGAGCATCATCGTGTTTTCCCATATCATAATATACTGCACCTATATTGTTGTAGTTAATCGCTAAACTTGGATGTGTAGATGGCAGAACTTTGCGTTGAATTTCAAGCGCTTTGTTGTAACTTTCGAGAGCCTGTATGTGCTGACCCATTTCAGAATATACTGAACCTATACTATTGTAACTTCTAGCTAAATCTGGATGGGTCGGCGGCAACACCTTTTGGTAAATTTTCAGCGCCTTGTTGTGATTCTCCAGAGCTCTGAGATGATTCCCCATACGAGAATACACTACACCTATTCTGTCGTAACTTCCAGCTAAATCTGGATGAGTCGATGGAAAGGCTTTCTTTTGTATTTCAAGTGCTTTCTTGTGATTTTCAAGAGCTCTTGATTGATCGCCCATGTCAGAATACAGTGAACCTATGTTGTGGAAGCTCGTTGCGAAATTCGGATGACCCAATGGTAATACCTTTCGATAAATTTCAAGCGCCTTGTTGTAGTTCTTAAGAGCTCTGGAATACTCGCCCATATCAGAGTACACTGAACCTATATTGTTCCTGCTGGTGGCTAAAGCGGAATGAATGGACGGAAAAGTTTTCTGAATAATTTCAAGTGCCTTATAATAGTTTTTGAGAGCTCTTGAATGATCACCCATGCGAAGATATATAGAAGCGATATTGTTATAGCTCGCTGATATATCAGAATGAGTCGGTGGCAAAGTCTTCCGATATATTTGAAGTGCTTTGTTATAAGTTTGAAGAGCTCTTGAATAATTTCCCATATAAGAATAAACACCTGCGATGTTATTAAGAGTCCTTCCTAAGTCGGGATGATTGGGAGATAAATATCGTTGTTGAATTTCTAATGCTTTGTTGCAATTTTCAAGAGCCTTCGAGTATTCGCCCATATCTAAATACGATAAACCCATACTACTGTAAGTTAAGGCAAGATTAGGTTGACTAAACGATATCGATTTGGCATAAATCTCAAGTGTTTTGTTGTAGTTCTCGAGAGCTCTTGAATTGTGACCCATATGCGAATATACAGAACCTATATTTGTATAAATCATGGCTAAATGGGGATGAATTGGCGACAACGTCTCTTGATAGATTTTCAGTGCTTTGTTATAGTTTTCAAGAGCTCGTGATTCTTCTCCCATATAGAAATACGCTAAACCAATGTTATTATAGCTTTTGGCTAAATCTGAGTGAACCGGTAACTTTTGCAGAATATGAAGAGCCTTGTTAAAGTTTTCAAGAGCTCTTGAATATTCACCAATATCGATATACACTGAACCAAAGTCATTATAAGTTGTAGATAAATCTGGATGAATTGATGATAATGTTTTTTGTTGAATATCAAATGCAATGTTATGATAATGAAGAGCATTTGAGTATTGACCCATATCACGATATATTGATCCGATATCGTTATATGTTTTGGCTAAATCTGGATGATTTTGGGAGAAGAGTTTTGTTTGAATGACAATCGCTTTTTCATAATTTTCAAGAGCTTTTGAATATTCCGTAGCCATGTGATGATTTTGACCAATATTGATAAGTTTTGTAACTAAATTTACGTAGAAAAAAAAAGAAATGATATCGATGTGAAATTATACACTGTTTAGTTAAAATCAGAGAATGAAAAGTTATTCAAAACTTTATGTTCAAATGAAATGATTTTCTACTATTTTTGTATTTGATTTGATTTCTTTGTTGATTAAAAGTGAGAAAATCTGACCTTGTTGAAATTTAGAATTTCTTTGAATAAAATTCCATAATCGAATAAGAACAAATGGAAAAGTAAGAACAGTAAAAATAATGAAAATGAATAGACAAATATTTAATGATCTTTTAGTTTTGAAATAAAATAAATGAAAATTGTTTTTCTTCTCATTTGACATTAATATTGATCAAAGTTGATTTTCTAAAGTATAAAATTGAGAAAAAGCATTTGAAAAGATTATTTTTAATTGTTAAAAACTCTTCTCAATAATTTCATCTTTTTAGTTTTATCCGAATAGAATTTGTTGATTTGATATTCCATTAAAAGAAAGAATTTGAATAAAATTGATGTTCGAATGTTTTAAGAGAATCATAACAAGATGAATATCTGTTAAAACTTCGATAAGAATGTCAAAATCATCATTATTCTTTTTTGAGAACAGAATTGAAAACACTAATGAATTGATTTTAACATAAAACCAAATGAAAAAAGATTCGAATTGATTAAGAAGAAATCGAAAACATTGAAATAAATGTCAAATGATATGAAAAGGGTAAAGTATCAAATAACTTCATTTTCGAAATAAATCTTTGTCTTTCTCAATTCCTAAATTATATAAAAAACAGGATCTGATGAATTGATAACATTTCAAAAAGAAACAAATGAAGATTTTGAGAATTTCATGTGAAATTCATCATTAACAACTATTTTCTTTATTTTTTATCAATGAATTAGAAAATTCTTTGTTATTCTATTTGATTTCCATAAATATTGAGAAGATCTCATCGAAAATTTGTCAATATTATTTTCTTGTTTTTGATTAAAAGTAATTTCAGCAAATGAACAGATATTTGTCTATTAGTCGATGAAGATAATAAACAAAAATCGATTTTGTTATGTGAAAATCAACACAAGACTCCTGATGGAAATATTTCCATGTGACTTTGTTTATCATCGACAAATATTTGTCTCTCTTTGATTTCACCAGTAAATTGACATTGATAAGACTTGACTGATGAATCTTAAGAGATATGTGAAACAATGAGAAATTCACCATATTTATTAATCGGGTTTTTTCCAATATTTCTGTTAGATTTTCTCGTATAAAATCTCTTTTGTATGTAACTAATGAAAGTAATTCAAATCGATTTTCGAAAATAACAAAATGAAGATTTTCTTCTTTGCTTTTCTTTTCTTGGCAATTTTCTTCACAATGAATTTCTCTTGTGAAATTAATCAAACAACGTCGAATGTGTTCCAAACAAGAGGAGAAACAATTCGACAAGTTTTACAAGTTCAATTGTTACCTGATCTCAATAGTTTACACAGTTGCAAACGTTGTGGTCGATGTAATTCCCAATAAAAAAAAACTTTTAAACGAAGTTTTATTTAAATAAACTATAACAAAACAAGAAGAACAGTTGAACCAACAACTTGTGAATCATTGGAATTTGAATAATTTGTTGACTCTTTTCCTCGACTTCTATCAATTGAGATTGATTTCCAATCATTTCAGATGTTTTTAACATTCAAAAAAGTGTAATTTCTTTTGATAAAATATTATAATTTATTTATTCACTGTAATTACATGTGAAGTGAAAGAAATTCTCGAGAAAATTGTTTTTAATTTCTCAATGAAGTCAGTCGATTGATATTGATGAGTTTAAATTTAATTTGCTTCATCAAAATCATCTTTTATTTCATCATCAATTCCAAATTGATCACCTGGAATGAGAATTTGATCTAAACATGACAATTGTTCAAGTTGATCGAGAAATTCTTTTCGTTGTTCATAACTCGTATTTTCTTCATTATTCGATAAAAACAATGCGAATTGATTTTGAAATTGTTCTGATGAAATCAATTGAAGAAAATCTGACGAAAAGAAGTCCGTTAATTTGTCATAGAATTCATTAATATGTTCTCCAATATATTTCGCTCGTTTCAATCGTTTCATAATTCGATCGGTTTTCAATTGTCTCATTGTATATTCATATTGTAATGTTCGAATGCGACATGATGAAAAGTTTTCTACTTGTCGACGATATTCTTTTAAATGAAAAGAAAAGAAAAGTAAGGAGAGAAGAATTTCTCCAATGAAACTTTTGTTTTTATTTACCATCCCAAAATTCTCGATTTTTCTGTAATTGTGCGTCTCTCCATTGATCTAATTCTCTTTCAGTATTTTCAATCGCTTTTAATCTTTGTTCAACTTCCAATGCTAAAGATTCTAAATCTTGTAAAACTTTTTGTGCATCCAAATGACGTTTTTCTTCACAATTATCACATAAATACAAAATCACAGTCGAATCAGTTGTTTGTTGAGATTTTCTTTGTCGTTTCACAGATTCATCAATGATTGAACAATCATCACATTGATGAATTGTATCGATTTCTTCAATTAATTCATCGAGAAGTTTCGAAACGACTTCTTCGACCATTTCCATCTAAAAGGAAATGAAAAGGAATATTTTATTATTAGGGAAAACTATTCATCTAAGATTTGATTAAAGAAAATGTGATAGATAAGGAAAGAATTAGCATTTATGTTGATGTTGCTTGGCGCGTTCATATAAAACATCAGGTTTAATCATTTTCGGTGCCCAGGAAAAGATATTTATCGATTGAGGATCAATTAATAAATTATCCGAATCGATATGAGTTGTATTCGATCGAGGAAGAGTATATTTTGGCCATTGATATTCATTATGAATACTTAATGGAACATCTTCATCGGTTAGACGATTCAATGCTATATGAGCAAAGTCCTTCGTGTTCTCATTTAGATTTAATAAAACCTTTGAAAGAAAAGAAGAGAGAGAAGAATTTATGAATTGAAAAAGTCCATCTTACGATAAAACCTCGATGACCAGGTGCTTCACGAATGAACCAAAAGAGATTTGATTGTTGATCACAACCTGTTTGAACAATTCCATGTTGAAATGATTCACTCAAACGTATTTGAGCTAAATGACGAAATACATTCAGCAAAGAATCTTTGGATTCACCACCCAACGCTTCTTGTCGCTGGAAAAATGAGATAAATTCATTTCTTTCTTTAATCTCACAACAAAAGATTCTTTACTTTAACACTCGTTTTCGATGGATCGATCGAATAATTTAAAAATCGATCAAGACATTTCTTTGTCGAACAATTCGAAAATCCTCGAGATTTGTCATCCGGTGACCAAGACATAATTGGATAAACTTTCTAAACAAATTCATTTCTCAACAAAAAAAAACTTCTTTCAATGAAAAAAACTACAAACTTGATCGAGACCGATTTCTTCTCCATAAAGAACAATCGGTGTTCCACCTAAGAGCATTGTTATCGTTAAAAGCATTTCTTTCTTCAATTGATTTTCGGTTAAAATTCCAATTTCATCACTTCGTCGTTTTGATCCCAACTTTATCGAAATGAATGTTTAAAACAATGAAAATCAAACATATTCGAACACAAACCTGCCAAAATTTCGGTTTCGAAAGAGTTTTTTCTTTGAACGAATCGATTCTTCGATATAATTTCGATGCATCGATCTTTTGTCGCTGATAACCATTGGATAAATACAACGAATGCGCTGTTTTACTGTTAAGATCGTCATCAGTAATGAAATTTTGTAAACCAAATGGAATATCGTAGATTAATAATCTTCGACAAACGAGAAAATTCCGATATTTTCCAATAAAAGAAATCTTTTACTTTGATTTTGATTTCTTCTCAATATCATTTTTGAGATCATTCCATTTTTGAATCGTTGAATAGGAAATATTATAAGAACCAGTTGATGAAACATATTCAAGTGGAAGATTCACACGAATTCCATCAACTTTCTTCGTTGTTAACCAATATTTTATACGAATCTGAAACTCTTCAAATAATTTTAATGAAAAAATCTTTTCTTTTTTACTTCAGATTCTTCGTAAATTTGTGCATCATTGAAATCCAATGGTAATCGACCATAAAATTCTAAAAACCGACAAGCGAGATCATTTCGGCTTCTTGAACATGGATTCTAAAAGAAAAGAAAGAAGAAAATCACTTGAGAAGATAAATCTTCTTTAAACGAACGGCGATTGAAGAACGAAGAGGTTTTGATCCATACCATAATTGACCATTTGGATCAAGAGTTGATGATAAGGGTAAATCAATAATTAAACGCATATCTACATACAAATCAATGATCAGTTTTGACGGAAAATTCCAAAGAAAATTTGAACCTTTTCGATTGAGAATTTTAATAAAATTTTCGAAATCATTTTCACTTCCGATTGATGAATCCAATGTGATTAAATCGATATTTTTATCATGAGGTATTCGTCCATCCAATTGAAGAGAAATTCCACCTGTTGCATTAAATATCGAAGATTGAAAGAGAAGTGATTTGATTCGATTCTTTTCAAAATATTTTAATTTCTCTTCAACACCTAAATTCTCAAAATAAATTATTCACAATATTCGATTTTCTCATATTTACCTTTAATATCTCCAATTCCATCTTGATTCGAATCTCGAAAGAATGGAACATCAATTTCATAGATAATTTCTTTTTCAAACCAATGAAGATGAGGTTTCGGTGGACAACGTTGTGATGTTACAATTAAAACAATCGAACCAATTAAAAGTAGAAGAAGAATAAGAATATATAAGAAAGCAATGATCCAACGAATTCGTTTCCATTTCGGATTATTTATATATTCTTTTAATTCTTCTTTTGTTAAACCAACAAATTCTTTATTAATCTTCGCTTTTTTATATCCAACTAATTCATCAATGGTCTCAAGGTCACGTTCTTCTCCATCTCGATGAAACTTTGCAACTGGACCTACTTTTGTTTGAACATCACTTCCATCGGTTAATAATGATTGATGAACATCATCAGGAACAACAACTGAACTAGTTGTTTCAGCTTTTTCAGACATTTTCTTTACTGTTCAAAGTGCCTTTCTCGTTAATCACAAAAAAAGGTTATGCAAAAATATATGTCCTTCGGATAAAAAATAACAAATTGATATGAAACAACCAATGATTCTTATTGTCAAGAAACATCTACAGGACATTAACGACATCTTTGTCAATGTGATTTTATATACAAAATAGAATCACTCAATGCACATTGGAAGAAAACGCAAATGATTTATGGTGTTGTTTGAAAATAAAAGAGAGAAATATAAATTCATCGATGTGAACATTTCTTGTGTCGATAGATATGATGGACATTCACTTTTTTTTTGTATATTTCTTTTAATAATATGTCATTTATTTTTTCATCTACTCTTCTTTCTCTCGTTCCTTCCGGTTATTACACAGAGAGAAAGAAAGAAAGAGTCGAGACAAGTAGAAAAGGTGTATACTTATAATGACGTTTTAATAACAAAAACCTGAGAGACGTGTCTGGTCATGACAATTAGAGTCACATGGAAAATTGTGTCTTGTTATACACGGTTGCGAAGAAAATACCTGAAATTCGGAATAAAAAAGTGAAATATTATTGAAAGATTTCCATGTGTGTGTGTGTACAAACACAACTTAGTGAATATTTTATGATTTATAAACGTTTTATTATTCTTAAATCTTTTTGAATCATTAACTTTCGACGTTACTCGAACGCTTAAATTCATCTATTAGAAAATGATCTCCGATTATTTCGAATTTATTAAATGAAAAGCAATGTGATGTTTTGAAAATATTTCTTAAAATATCAATGATCACATTGACAGACATGCCGAATAAAGCTGTCAATGTGATTGTTTTGAAGACATATGATATGTTCATCATCATTCTCCTCGTTAATATCAACGAGATCTTCAGTACATGTCGCATGTGGATAAACATACCAACGATGACGATGGAGAATATTTTGAGATTTATGACGCAATAATTGGTCATAATCTTCGCAAATATTTCCATTATAATGCCAATCTGTACATTTTCCACAATAAGAACATGCTGGACCTCCACAACTTCTCGTGGATTTCTGTCCACGTTGGAGGAAACTGTTCAACATATCAGTTGTGATCATATCTAAATGAAAAGAAAAAAAGAAATTAGTTTTCTTTTTGTGTAAATTAATCTTACTTGATTGTTTTGGTCGAGTTGGAATAAACTAAAAGAGAAATATTTGATTTGATTTGAATATTGTAATCGAAGAAAAACAAAGGCACATACAAATTGATTTATAGTTGTCATAAATCGTTTGAGAAATCGTTGAACAGTATTTGTTCTTTGTTGTTGAGGAACTAAAGTTTCGAAGAGTTTTTCATTCTCCTACAAATTTGTTTTTCTTTAGTAAAATCAATTGAAAATATTCCAACATACTATTTGTTCATTCTTTTCAGCTTCTTCATCACTTGGCATTCGATTTTTACTTTTATCTAAAAGTAAAGATTTACATTTGATAAAATATCAAGAAGAAGATTTTCTCAAAATTTACCCAAAATCAATTGTTTTAATTCATTCGGGAAGATTCGTAAATGTAAATAACGACCAAGTGGTTCAACCTCTTCCAACAGAATTAGTCGGAGGTCGCGTTCTACGTATATTTCTGAAAGTACTTTAAAATATGTCCCAGGAAAGATGAGAACTTCGTTCTCATGTGGATAATTCGAATAATTTCGAATGTTTTTTCCCCAAATATTTCTAATAGCAAATAATGTTCGTTCACCATTAGTTCCCAGAAATGTCTCTGAACATGAAACATCAACTGAATACGTAGTTGACGAAAATGCCCACCAAGCGATCACTTCATCCTTCTTATAATTTCCATTGAAGTTCATTTTCACACCACGAAAAAGAACTTGACGATTATCTGAAGGAATACGACAAAGTCCAAGAAGAAAAAGTTTTAAATATGCGAACCATGGTCTAAGATGTTCGCGACTCTTTGTTCGAAGTGTTTTATTAAGAAGATAATATAAACAAGTGTTTGTGGGATTCCATGACATCGTATATAAATATATCGATGCCGATTCATCCTTTGTAAGTCCATCATTCGGGAAATTTAAGCACATTTCTTTGGCAAAATGTGCTCGATCGATAATATTCGGGATGAAACGAACGAGAGGTTCAACAGCAATTTCTAATGAAACTACTGGAATATGTTCAAATTCTTCTCCATTGAGAAGAGGAAGACGAATCGCTAAAGATCCATTGTTCGTATTCTCAATTTCTGCATTATAATTCGCAGAAAGTCTTTCATTTCCATTAGCCATTTTGTATTTACACTTTTCAAGTCAATTTATATTCAAAAATGTTCAAAAAAACCTACTAGAATAAAAAGGAAACATACCTTGTTGATAATAATCAAAGAAGAGAAAAAAAAGATGCAACACACGTCTATTCGGTAGTTTTGATAAATGAGTGATGTCTGTACAGGTAAAAGCTTCGAATAATTTTTCTTTTCTTTACATTCCCGATGATTATTGAAGTGTGACTCGAGAGAAAAAATGTATTTTTACACGTGATAAAGGTAAATGAATACATTTATAGGTGATTTATCATCGTCTGAAAGAGAACAAACCATCGATATAATTTTTATTTAAAACTAAATTTCTCTCTTGAACTCCACACATTATGTTGAAATCGATGATTCAATTTCTTCAAGGCTTTGAAAAATATGTGAAATTCTATTCTTAACGGAAATGACAATGAAGCTCCTCGATTTGAAAATGATTTTTCAAAGTACAAAAATCGTCCGGATGTTTCTTTTTTCCCCTGTGTCGAAATTAGTTTGATCTGAATGACTTAGAAAAGATAAAGAATATGAAGATCATTTCTCTTCCGATGACGAACACGCAAGTGTAAATTTTCAATAAAAGTTCCAAAAGATATCTGATCTAATTGAAATAATGAAAGAGAAAAAGTGAATTTCTCTCGTTGATTTTGTTTTGTTTGAAACACAACAAAAAAATCCAAGTTCACAAGTTAAGCAAATTCATCATGGAAAATGAAAATAAAAAAGACAAATTACATTTAACATTATTTGAATACGCTGAACGACAACGTTTGATTTATATTGAAGACGAAGAATTTGTTCCATTGTCTCGATATATTCAATTGAAATCAATAAAATCCGAATGGATACAAATGGATCAAACATTTTCTTCATCAATTGAATCTGATGAAGAATTTGTAACAAAATTAAATTTCGCTGCAAATAAATATCATAATCGAGTTACTCAAAGATTTCAACAAAATTCAATAGAAAAATCCATTTCAAATACGAAATTATTAACTTTAGAAGAATATGCACAAAGAAAGAAAATTTCTCGAGAAAAATATCAATGTTTAGATAATCAACGATTAAACAAATTAATTGAAAATATTAAACAAACATTTTCATCGAAACAATTCATTCAAACGGAAACTTTTCATTCGATTAACAAATCATTCGTTGGACAAATCGATTTAATTGAACTTTGACATCAATGATAAGAAAATTGATTTATTTTAGAAAATAAAAAACAAGAAGCAAATATTCTGATTTCGTTAGTCACTGCTGATCGTTGTTCCAATAATAAAGTCGAAAATGTCACGGATAATCATAGAAATCTCAATAAATGAAAAGATTTTCATTTTGATGAAGATGGCAGAGAATTCTATTAGTTTGAGTTGGATAATTTGAAATCGCTGGATCTTTGAATAAATCGAAGAAATATTTGTCAATGAAACCTTGAAAATCCATTTGGATTGAAAGAGTTAAACATGCTGATGTTTAACATTTCTCATCTGATTCGTTTGAAAAAGAAAAGTAAAGATCATTGATGTGTAAAGGTCATACGTGTCGTATTCTTTTCTCTTTATTTCTCTTTCGTTTAGAAAAGAGAAAGAATAAACGAAACCAAATGAACAATAAACATGTGAAAGAAATGAATAAGAAGACAAAAGCAACAAGTTTTAATGTCAACCATTGATAATCATTTTGGAAAAAAATTGAATTTAATGAAATGAAAAACATCCAGAGAAGAAAAATTGAAAGAAGAATTAAACAAATATATTGACGAAAATATGAATGAATTTGAAAATGAAGAAGAATTTCATTTAAATAAGAAATTATTAAAAAGATTAAGAAAACAAATAAGAGAAGAAAAACAAACCAAAAGAAAAGATTTTGTTTCAATAAAATCGAAGATTTCTGCAAATGAAGATGAAATTCCTTTTCAAAATCATTTAAAAATCTTAATGAAGAATTTTCCAATTTATTGATTGTTGGATTTATTTCAAATAGAATTTGTTTCACTCCATTTTCCACACTTCCTAACACATTCGATATCGATGAACCCATTCGCTTCACTTTTTCTTCTGAACTTTCATGAGAAAACATCTGTGAACTTTTCTTTTCTCTCTCGGTCAATGTTTTATCTCATAGAAAGGAAAATTCAGCGATTGGCTTCTTTTATTTTAAACATCAATGTGGACTTGAATGAAGAAAAATGAGAAGAAATAAAACGGATAAAACGATAAAAACTCGTCGAAAATAAATATGATTTGATTTCATATCGATTTCCGATTTTTCAATTAATAAATCCTAAAAGAAAAATGAAGATTTTTTAAATAAAGAAGAAAAGTATTGAATATTTTACATAATATGTACGAAATCGTTGAACATTCGATACAGTTTTTTTGTTCTTCATCGTGTGTGTTCTTTCCTTGATGATCAAATTCAATTGTAAATGAATGTCACTCAGAGAAAAAGTTATTTCATTTCTTTTTCTTCTTTTCAAATGTAAATTTAATGACTAAGAGAAAGAAAGCAAAATCTGTTTCACATTGATTATACAATCGATTCACATTCTCACTTTTCATTGTTATGATATTTAACAATTTCAATTGACTTATGAAAAAAGAAAGAATAACAATGATCAAGTCAAAACAAATATTACGCAGAAAATCTTCAAAAGACAAACTGTTGTCAATTTGTTATGAATTTCGATAAAAGAGAATAGAAATGAATTGTAGAAAGATCAAAAAAAAGTGAAAATGGAATTGTGTCAATTTCTGATAAATAAAGACGAGAGATACAAAAGTCTTTTCGAGTATTTCGATGAATTATTTTAAATTTTTCTTAAAATGACATATGTTTGACAACATTTAAGTTGAAATCGTTCCGGATTTAATTTAACTTGATCATAATAATAATTCCAAAATCGATCCGTTAACTGAATAATTTCGTCATTTGATCGTTTTTTAGTAAATTGCAAAGTTTGTTGTAAAATCGATTGAGTTGCACTTCGCATAACACCCATTTGAACTTTCGCAAACGTATCTAAAGTTAATTCTTTCTTCATTAATTGATCGTAAAACTTAAAATCTACACACGATGTTGTCGAATCAATTAATTCAAATGAATATTTCGTAAATAATTTCGTATCAACACATTCATCATATGAACGAATGTAAACAGGAATTGTATATTCATCTAATTCTTCTTTTGTCAATGAACAATGTCGTGCGCATTCATATAGAAGTTCGTAAACACTTTCAGTCATCGTTAAATTATTTTCATTAAGACAATTAATGACTAAAATAAGAATTCCATTTTTCATTAATTCAATTGAGCGATGTTTTAAAAAGTTTTCATAATCAATTTTCGATTGATTTCGAAAAAGCTCAAGTTCTTTGCCTTGTGCGTATACCGATATACAATGATTTGATATATTACAAGGTTTTCGTGAAAGCCAATGGATTGAAGCGGATGAAAACCCGATTGTTAATGAATTTGGTTGAAGACAAGCTTCGTAAAACGAACGACCATTTGCCAATGCATGATATGGTTGATCTTGTTGATTAATTAAATCAAACAATTGTTTCCAATCGTTCGTTGGTAAATCATTATGAATAAAAAGAAAAGATTTGTTCCAATTTTGAATTTCCTTAATGAAATTCGCAATGATTTTCATTATATGAATGGAATTTGCTCCATGTGAAGATCCAAAATCTGCTAAAACTAAGGAAGACAATGAGAAATCGATTTGCAATTTCTCAATTGCCTTTTTAATCAATGGAATTGCTGATTCGATCAATGCTAGTTGAGGTGAAGAATTGTTATTATAAGAACCAATCATACCTAACGTTGCACCGGTGTTCGTCGTCATTTTTTCTATGGATGTGAATCAAATCAGTTTTCGACACGTATTTATATGAAAACCTGTTTGTACTTATTGGATCGAACTCGGTTTTTCGATGAGGGTGAATGATTATCAATAAGGACGACTGTAGACGAGTCCTGGTTTTCGAAAAACGACTCAATATTTATTTTATCGTCATTGATAAGTCAGGTTTTTTTCTTTTTTTTTCTCATTAACAAGGTAAGGAGAAAAGTATTTGATTTGATCTTCAATGAATAGAAATATTTGTCTCTTTCTCTTCTTCTTCTTCTTTCCTTTAGATAAAATAAATGCACGTCAAGAGCAAATTAGGAAATATAGTTCGGACGTTTATTGATGAATAAAATGAAATAGATTGACGAGGTGAATAAATAAGTACTTCATGCGAGAGCATTTGTATTTGTAAATGGATGCTTCTGAATCCACTGCAATGATGGACGACTATTGGGATTTTTGATCAAACATGATTCAAGAATATTTTTAATTAAAAGTGAAGACGTTTGTGAACGACTTGATGGAGGTTGATGACTTTCATAGATAGGTGGCATACCATATGTTAAATAATAAAGAATCGCCCCTAATGACCAGATATCTGTCTTCAACGTGACTAAATACTGACCTGTAATGCATTCTGGACCACTATAAAAACGTGTTCCGACGGTAATACGTCGTCGACCTGTGTTACAAGATGTTAATCTGAATAAAACGAAAGAAGAAAAAAAAACATCGAAGAAGAGACTTTTTCGAGATTTTTTTACACGGAAAGATCGTTTGTTGTGATTCCCAAGTCGGTTAATTTCAATTTATTTCCAATATAAACGAAACTATCGGGTTTTAAGTCTCGATGAACCTATTTCAAACGAAAGTTGTCTCTGAGAAAAGAAATTGTGAGAAAATGTGACTTACAATATTATATTGATAAAGAATCTGACAGATGTCAACCAGTTGGATCCAAATTTCCTTTCTATTCTTCGGCGGAATGAAATTATCGCTCAGTTTGGAATTTGATTCATGAAGTGTTCGAACATATTCTGTTAATGATTGATCACCTAATTCCATCGCGATTAAAGCAATATTTCGATGTGCATCGTAGTCGAAACCAAAAATATTGATGACAGAATCATTCGTTTCGCGAATACGACAAATCAAATCGATTTCTGTTTGAAATGATTTTATAATTTCTGTTGTTGTTAACTGTTGTTGTAAACGATTTAAATGAAAAATCTTTACCGCCGCGTAGTTTCCTAATGAAGATTTGTTTCTTCAATAAAGCATCAAGAAAAACTGTTGAACGACTCACCTGTTCCATCTGCACATGACCAAATCGAGCCAAATTTTCCTCCTCCACGACGTTGAAGTAGCGTATACAAATGATTTCGCAAACGAAATGTATGATACGCAAGCCAAAGATCTTCCTGGGGAATCGGAGGACGTCGATAAGCTCCTATTTCATTCGAATAACATCTCACATGAAATCTCGGATAAAAGAACTCACTTCGTCGTCTCTTTGCTTGTTGATTTCCCATTGAAAATTCGAATTGGTACTTTTTCTTTACTGATGAGAAAACTCAACACTAATTTCTGCTGTATATAATCACTTACTTTGTAAATTTTGTGGAAATAAAATGAACTTTTATGAGAGACATCGCGTGTTTTATATCTCTACTCTCCTCCCGAAGACATTTCGGCAAATATAACAGTTTTATTAAATTGAAAATTAATTAAAAAAATCAAAATCATGACTTTACTTTCTTAATCTTTACATAATATTAAAAAAGCCAGAAAGAGAATTACAAAGTACACTAAAACCATTTATCTTCTCAATCGATTCAGACTGCGAATATTCAATTTGTATTTCATAAAACAAAAGCCTTCGTTTAACATTGAGATTTCTATCGGAAAACGTTTTTTTCTTTGAACACAATGTGATTCTGCATTGAAATTCATCTCGATTTAAAAAGCGTCATTTTATAAAAACGAGTTGATGATTTTCATATTCTATTTGACGTTAAAGATCGACTTGATTCGAATCTTTCCGATGGCAAAGAAAGGTTTGACGATGAAGACAAATTTATTTTTCACGAAACACAAACGAATGAACAACATCGAACATAAAATTTGTCGTTTTTTTTGTTTTTAAAAGAAAAATTCATCCGATAAGAATTGATCATTTGAGAACAACGAAAACGGATCATTTAAAGGATGAACATTGTTGGATTGTTGAGTATTTGGTGGTGTTGGTGTGATGAAGAGATATGAATTTAATGAATCATCATCAAAACTATCGTGAGAAACATTTTCAGGTAAAAGAATAAATTCATCTGGAAAACTTTCCGTTATTGATATTTCATCGAAATACAAAATATCTAAAGAAAAAGAAGAAAATATCGAGATGAACAAGAAGATTTTCAAAAGAACTTTGTGTAGTCGAAGTATTGTTTTGTTCAATTGAACGTTGTTGAATAAGATATAAAAGATCATCAATGATTTCGATTTCCTCTTGACAGACTTCGATTTCTTCTTGTTTCTTCTGTCTTCTTTCTAATAAAGTTTCAAACGCATGTTTTCGATATTCTTCATTCTGAAGATTCGAAAAGAAAACCTGACAAAGAAAACATTTGTCTCTTCGATTATTTGTCGCGAACAAACTTACAGCAATTTCATCTGTTTCGTGAGCGATTGCGATGGGAATTTCATCGGTTGTCGTGTTTAAAATCGGATCTTTTTCGAGTGATTTCAAAAAATATTCCAATTCGTCAGATGGATCATCAAATTGCAATGGACCCATTTCACAATTGTAAATTTATGTTACACAAGACAAGTTTGACTTAACTTTTTATTTAGGAAAGTAGAGAAACGATACGACGAGAAAGAATTTCATTGGATAAACACAAATTGTCTATGCGTAATAATTAATAAAAATATTCATTTATCTTTTACTTAAATATGATGAAAAAAGAAGCATTTGTGCTCTTGTCTTCGTCTTTGATATTCTTTTTCCTTCAAGATCGATTAGAATAAGCTTGAATGACTTTATTTGCCTTTAATCGATAATAAAAGATAACTTTGACTTGAACAAATATGTTTAGGGCAAATTCATTTTATTCGTAAAAGAAATCTTCATCAGAAGCGTCATTGAATATTTTAAAAGAATCTTCTCGTCGTTTATTTGGATGAAGAAAGTTTTGTGCAAAAAATTCATCTCAGAATGAAATCCTGTTGTTCATCTTGTCGATTGAACAAGAGAAACGAAGGTGTTCGAAATGATTTTCCGTGTCAGAATTAGTAGATAGTTATTCATTTCGTTATTGACTTTTGTTGAGAAAATTTATGAACAAGAATCAATAAGAAACGAATATCTCGTTACTAAAAAAAGACTTTGATAAGAAATTTCAATAAAACAATGACGAAATAAAGTCTGTAGACGTACAAATTCATTTAAATTAATTATCGCCGAAAAGAGACAAAGGTATGTAATTATTTTTCTACTGTCTGAATCAAAAGATTGATAATGAAGAACAAAAGTCAGTTTTTGACATAATGTAATTTTTAAAAACCATTTTACTCGATGTTTTTCTAAACTCTTGATTAATCCTTTTCGAATTTGCGGATCTTATTGACATGGGATTTAATTGACTAAATCAAATAAAAGTAAATGTTTCATTATTTAATATGAAAATTCCCACGGATACAAATTTATATCGTTACGTCAAAGCATTTAATGATATCCGGGACAAAGAATAGTTTTCTATACTGAATAACTTTATTTTTATCCTTGTAAATCGATGTTTTTTTTTGTTTTAATCATTCGGGATTCGTTTGTTAATTTAAACAAAATGTATCTTAGAAAAAAAAAGAGTTCAGACATCACATAAAATGTGTGAATAGTAATTAACATAAAAATCGTTTATTTGAAAATTTTTATTGATTTCCTTTTTCCCCGAACTTTCTCTGTTTGAGTAATCGATTCTTTTAAATAAACAAACGAGTCTCGAGAAAATCTGACCTTAGATAAAAAGCAAAAGTTCTGGAATTGAAGTGTCGAATCTCTTCAATTCGATGCATCAAATACTTTTGTCGTTGAAGTTACTTTAAAAACACTTCTAACAAAAATATCTTTTAAATGATGCACTGAAAACAACTTTAGTGTATATAATATTATGACATTTTCTAATCATTCTGAATGCAACGAACAAATAATTTGCCTTTTCTTATTGTATATGATTCCGATGTCAAAAGAATATAAAACTCGTTTTTCTGATATTTTTATAAATCTTAATTGAAGATCTCACTTAAACATGAATATTTTCTTTTAAAAATAACGGAACAAACATGTGATATTTATTGTAAATTATTCATAGGAAATCTTTCGATAATCTTGGAATATAAATTGACGATGATAATGATGAACATTGTTCAGGTAATGTAATGACTTTTAACAATTTTATATTCGGTGAATCTTTCAAAATCAAACTTGTATTTCGTTTGGTTTCATTGAAACTTTTCAGATTTCGATGTTCGATCGTTAAATATTTGGAAAACATTTCATAATGATGTAAACCCAACATTTGTATTGCTGATGAACGATAATGACTCACACCCAAAATATAAAGAAAAAAATTGATTCCCAACGCACCGATATTCAACAATTCACTTAAACGTCTTAAAATACGAAATGTTAAAATCAAACGAATATTACAATGAATTGGATAATAACGAATGAGTATCGTCGATATTGTTTGAACAATCGCATAAGGAAAGTATAAGGATAAAAATATTAAAGAAACTAAGGTCAAAGTGCCTGTTAAACGAGATCTTAAATGTTCATTTTGATTACTAACAATTTGTCTTGGAGTATGAAGACGTTTTAAAATAGCTGAAAGAAATACAAATGATGTTGATGAGAAAAAGAAGAAAGAGTCAATACAGAAGATTTCTAAACTAACCTGCATTGCTCGCAATTAAAATAATTGCTGGGAGAATTGTATAAGATAATAAATGAAAAATATAATTATGCCAAAGAAGAAAAAAATCCTTTTTATGATTTTCTAACGACGGAGAAATTCGACAGACACACATTTGTTTGTCAAGAATGCGTTTTGTTTGATTGAATGTACCTTTGGACTTGTAAATCGCACTGTGTTCGTAGTTATTTGGTCGACAATTCCATTCTTTATACATTAAATGTGGAATGTTAATTAATAGAGAAAGACAAATTAAAAAAGCAAGGACACGTCTGGCACATGTCGAATTACACAATCGACGAGATAAATTTGGCCATTTTTTCGAATAGGGAGTACAAACAAGAATATAACGATCGAATGTTAAAATAACAATTGTCCAACACGATAATAAAATAATCGAATGTTTGATATAATCATGAAATTTACAAACAATTGAAGAACGAAAATTTAAAAGAGTTGTGGAAAATAAATACACAGATAAATCATTTGATGAATGAAGAACTTCATAGAATAAAGTAAAAAAATCAAAAAATGATAAAGCACGAAGATATTCAACGAACGAATGTTGAGATAATGGAAAACGACAAACAACGAAAAAACATATGAAATTACCAATTAAACCAGTTAAACCAAACACAAGTGTTCCTGAAAATAATTCACATTCAGATTCCAAAAAAAAAAGAGTTTGAATCATTTCATACCAATGACATTGATCCACCACCACCATGAACCTGAATCATCACTAAATGCTTGATTTAACATTGAATATGAATAATTTTTTTGTCGAAAAATGTCAATACAATCCATTATTTCATAATCTGAAACTATCGATTGTGTTAAAGGAGAAGCGAAGAGAAATGATGAAGATGTTCTTTCTGTTTCTTTTGTGAGAGAAAAGAAAGTAAATGATAACAAACATGGTTTTTTCCCTCTCTCTTCATTTCAAGTAAATGATTCGATAAATATTCAATTGAAACACAGACGGTTCAATGTCAACTCAACAAGATGATCTCATATAATTCTCTTTTTAATCGATTCAATCAATATCGTTGTTGTTGTTTTGTTTTAAAGAACTAATCGTCATTCTGCCTTTCATCATAATACATATAAATGAGAAAATCTGCATATATAACTTCGAGTTAATAATCAGTTTTCTTACATGTTTAGGCGATGTCATTTAATGATTTTCTAGTGGAAATGTCAACAAATGTCAGGCTATACTGGAAAACAAGTTATCTCCAAATATAAAAAGAATCATTAGAATTGACATGAATAAAACATCAAATGTAATACGAAGTCTACATTTGTTTCTATCTCTGATGATTATTAAAACATCATCCGGAAGAAATTGTCTATGATCGTCGACTACGTAAATAATACCTCGTGTTCTCTTCTCGAGCACTTGAGATCTGACGCATTTACTATTATGAGAAAAGAAGAAAAAAAAAGGCAGAGCGATTTTGTACTCATGATTTTTCTTTTTATAAGTCAATTGAAATGAACACCTGTTGGAGTAGAGAATTTCGAGTAAAGAAAAAGTAATTCACTCGGCTTGGAATGAGTAGAAGAAAAAACGTTCGTGTCAAAGTATTAATCAATTATTTCTCGTTCAGAAGTTTAATAGAAGAAATATCTTCTCGAAAAGAAACAAAAAACGCCTCTCCGTATTCGAAAGAATTTGAGTTTTGACTCAAATAACGACAGTTATGCATATTTAAATAACAAATTCCGCAACATGTGCGAAAGATTAAAAAACCACTTGTTTCCCTGGAAAATATTTTAAATTAACGTTGCATAAGTTCGAGTGGGCGAAAATATTAATTTCACGCAATTGATCAAAAGGTGAAAAGAGTAGAAAATAGTTAAGCCCTGTACTTTTAACAGTCTTTAATTGTGCATACGCACGAGTTAACTACTTTAGCTAAGATCAAGATTATTGAAAATGTAAAGAGGTAAAAGTACTTAACAGGAAAGAAGAACATTTGTTTTCTTGTCGAGTTTAATTGGAAATATGTCATAGAAATGTCTTCAAAGAGCTCGCTTCGTTAGAATTTTGTTTCGTGATAATTAACACGAAGCAACACGCGGCTCTTATTCGAACAATCTCAACATGTGGGAATGACAAAATGACTATGGAATCTACTGTCGAATAGAATTATAGAGACAGAAAATCGAAAAGCAAAAACGGTTTTTATGTAAACATTTCCGATGCTTCTACACGATGTGTAGACTTTTTTGACTAAATTTAAATTTTTCCGATTGATTGATATTTTTTGTGCTGAGATTATTTTGACCCGAATGAATGATATACGAGATGAAAACAAAGGAAATGACGATTTCTTTTTTGTTAATTTTTGAGATTTGACTATGTCAATGTCAACTTCAGTCAATGGTGCCATTTGGTATTTTTATCAATAAACATTTGTGTTTCTAAATTGATCTCGGAGTTTTGTTTGAAAGGAATTCATTGAAGAAAAGATCAACCAATGGAAATGAATGAAGATGATTCATTTATTCTTTACTCATTTATGATGATGAAGCTGTTCAAGTTATTCAAAAAACAAAAAATTCAAGGAAATGGTTCGCTATTTGAGGATTTAACCAATGAAATTTACTATGAAATCTTTGATTATTTATCTTACAATGAAATAACTTCCTCATTTTTCAATTTAAATATTCGTTTCAACAATTTAATTTCAAATTATCCACAACATTTTCATCTGAGGAATCATCAAGTCATTCCGAGATATATTCGTTCGTTTAAAATTACATTAACATCTCAAATTTCATTGTTCGATTCAATTGAATCGTCACACTTTTGTTCCCTTCGTTCAATTTCACTTGCAAATTTACGGTGTGACCAAATTCTTGGAATTTTAAATACAATTCCTTCGAAACAATTGGAACATATTTATCTTGGAATTTGTATTGATGATCGAAAAGCTAATTTCTCCAAAGTTTTATCTACAATTCAAATTCAAGTTCTCAGTTTAACCCACTATCGACTGAAATCCTGTCAAATCAAAGATCAATTTTCTCTTGCAATTTCTGATTTATTCTCTCAATACGATCAATTAGAATATTTACAGATCAAATCCTGTGAGAACTTTTCTTTTCTTTCCGAAATTCTTCTGCGAACGCCAAAATTAAATTCACTCGATGTGTCCCTTCGAGAATCGAATCAATCGATATTGACACCTAATCAATGTTATTTAACAACGCTTAATTTGCGTCCGCATTCGACTTGTTCAATTGCTGAATTGAAAGACTTTCTTGGTCAATGTTGTTCGCATCTACACAACTTGTCTGTTTATTTATATGTTCACCGACATACGCCACCGGAATTACTTGTTGATAAAGATCAGTGGAAGAATATTTTACCTATACAACTGAAATATTTTCGTTTGAAATCGATTCCCAATTCCTCGATTCATTTCTATCAATTTGGTATCGACAATGAACAGTGTCACAAACCTTTCCACGATCAAATCTATTTTCTGTCAGAACAACATCATGTTTGTCGAGTCCGTATCGATGCGGTTTTCGTCAAATATTGGAATAGATGACATTTGATGAATATTTTGTATTGAGAAAAAAATCTGCAACGAAAAAGTTTAAATAAATAATTAAGGAACAAAGATTAATCCATGTGGAAAAAGTGATGTTTGAATATTTCCAATCAGTTCCATTTGATCTAAATCAACAATGTCAATTCGATGACTCAATCCACACGAAATAAAAGCTAATTTGCCATTTTTTGTTACGATGATGTTTACAGGATTTTTGCCGACTTGAACTTTTCTTCCGAGATGCTTCGTTTCGAAATTGATTTCTTGTAAAAATCCGTCATCAGCGGAATAAAAACCGTTTTCGTAGCCAACGTTCATGTGTCGAACATAAATCAATGATGGATTGACTGGTGAAATGATAAAACCGCTAGGTGGGTATTCTAGATTGATATGATAAACAATTTCATCTGTTTTTGTATCGACAATCGCCATATCAGTGGATGTTGACAATGTACTTAAGAATATAAACTGACCATCGGATGAACAACAAAGATTTTCACTTCCAAATGGTGCGTCAATTTTATGTAAATACTTATTTGCTTTCAAATCAAGAACGGAGATATATGCAAGTTCTTTGTTTGCTGTATATGCTTTGGTTTCAGATGGAAGTATTGTAAACCAATGTGGGCCGTGAGCGTGAGTTGGAATCGAACAGATTATCTATATGGAAAAAATAGATTTTAACGGACCAGAAAAGAAACGCAGTGTGATTTACCTCCAGATCATTGTTTGTATCCATTTTTAAGATTTCTCCGTTGTTCGATTCACAAGAAACGTATAAATAACCCGTTTTGTGTCCAATTTGCATTCCGTGTGGTTTGAAATGGTTCGGACGGAGATTGTAAATATCTTTGACTTTATTTTCATAAACATCAACGGTAACTATCTCATGTCCTTCTCCATGATGATCGTTATAAGTTCCTTCTCGGTAAGGAATACTAACATACGCTAGATTTTCACGGAAACAATCAGCGATAATTTCATGTGGACATGCTGGAACTTGAATTTCACCAGTTTTCGTCAATGTGTTCAAATCAAATATTTGAATGACACTTTTGCCAACACTGACGACGAATAAACGAGTCATTTTATCAAATGACTACACCTACTGAATGAATGAATGAACGATTATACATATAGCATGACCGTTCATATGTCTTTTTCATTTATCTATTCATTTCATCTTTTCCGTTCTGTACGAGTGATCTATTCTCTTTCTTTTCTCTTTCCTCGAATTTTTCTTTTGGCAACTTATCTTTGAGGAAGATACGCGGACTCGTTCAACTATTGACCGCATATTGTCTAATACTCGAAAAGATTTTTGTTAATAGATATTTCATTAGCTGAGCGTTGACAAGATTTGTTCACGAATTACTTCATCGTTTATTTTTATTTTCAATGAAACAAGTCTATTAGTACATAAGGGAGATTTTGATTGCTTTGGTATAAATGAGTTGAGTAGGACTAAAGCTTTTCAGTATGAATTTGTCGAATTCTACCTGCGATCGTCGAAAGCCGTATCCAATGTAATACAACTAATCTATTTTTGGATTCTTCGTGATTTACTCCTTTTCGCAGAGGTACTTTAACTAATGACGCCTTGTTTCACTTTTAATGTCAGCAGATACATTACACATAATAAATCGATCGTAAGCAGCAGCTTTATTGCTTGTATAAACTAAATCAATATTAAAGACTGGTTGCGACATCTGGGCTTCGCCCGGCTAGAATAATACGACTTCAAGTTTATTTTAATCAGCACCAGGCTTGAATTTAGAACAATTTCTGTTGAACTTAATTTTTTACACGTTTCAATGCCAATAACGTTGATAAAAATAAATACATTTACCGTTATTCCACCGCGTTTATTGAATAGGCTGTGTAATTAATTCAATAAACTAGGACACCCTTTTGCACAATATTCCGTATTTTATAAGAAACTATTACTATTAAAATAAAATCGTCATTAATACGCTTATCGCTGTCTATGTACATCTACAAAAATCATAAAAAAGAATGTATCGGAGGCGACTAAAAACATATCGCGTATAAGTATATTATTATGTTAATTACCCAAGAAGAAGATTTTTCTGCACCACTTATGAATTCGAATCTCTGAACGCTGGCTTTAATTGACTGTATTACTCTCATCCGAATGACCAGATGAAGGGAGCATCCCGTTAGACAAATGCAAAAGCCGCCTTCCAAAATATGCATGCGTGCAATCTACAGGGAAGTTTTGTTACGTTAGATCATTTTGGCTTTTCAAATTATAGTAATACTTCGCGTATTTCACTGCAATTGAAAGAAAACCTCGTAATATGGATCGTCTCCGCCACCCAAATGATATGAACGAAAGCAACAAACATCTCGAATGATTAATTGCTCCAGTATAAGGGAAATACTACACGGTCGAAATATGCTGTTCACCCTCCGTATATATCTACAACATCGTGAAGAGATTTCACTGCCGAAGACATACTGACCCTTGGTATCGAAGAACTCAATGCAAACGTTGTTGTTAGTTGTTCAGTCATTTTTCTTGTTGTGAAATTGTAGTTTAGATCTGATTATTTATAGAAAAGAAATTCTGAATCGTGTCATTTGTGAATGATGTCGAGTTGTGATCACCGATTTTTTATAACTTCGTCTAGAGCAATGTATTAAGAACTGACGATATCCTATATTAATGTTTTGTATTTGTATGATTGAATGAAAATTTTACAAAAAGAACTCAATCGTAAATTTTGAACTACATCAAAAATAAATTATATTATATAATAAAAACAGTTTAATGAAAACTTTATCTTCTTTCTTTTTTATTCGTATTGAATATCGAATTTTTGTACTCGATGATTATCTTTATCAGCGACAAACAGATTCCCATGCCGATCGAATGTAATTCCTTTGAGACTATTAAATTGATCAGCATCATTTCCTTTTCCACTGCCTCCAACAACGATTGTACCTTGACGTGCATCTTTTAGCCAACGTACGACGCGATCATTGCCTGAATCAGCAATATAAATATTACCTAAATGATCCCCAATAATTCCACGTGGAAAAGACAACTGTTGCAGATGATTTCCCGGCCCACGCCCGCCTGCAACAACAATTCCGGCAGTAGAATTTTTAAACCATTTCACTACCCGATGGTTCAACGTATCGGAAATATAAATTGAATAATCTTGATCGACAAAAATATAAGTTGGAAAATGCAATTGATCATGACTACTACCTTCTCCGTTTCCTCCCGCAACAATGACTCCTTCTAAGTTGCCTTGTTTCCATTTTCTAACTTCATTATTTTTCCAATCTGAAACGTAAAGATCACCATTATTATCCATTGTTATTCCCCAACAATTAATATTCGAAATAATTGTCTCGAAATTTCTTTCGTCTCCACGAAACCATCGAACAACGCGACAATTTCGATAGTCACAAATAATTAATGAATCATTTCTTTTATCAAGAATAACATCCGTTGGATAATTTAATTGATCCATTCGATTTCCCTCGCCATTGCCTCCCACAATCACTTCACCATTAATTCCACATTTATATTCAATGATTCGATGATTTCCACAATCAGCGATATAAACTGTTCCATAATTATCATCAATACAGAGTCCATAAGGAGAATGTAATTCATTATTGTCTTCAATGTCACCAGCGACCGTTGCCCCAAATTCTTTCCATCGACTATTATTTGCGATTCTCAATGATGGAACAAATTTTCCTACAAAGACATAAATGATTTAGTCATTTAATACAAACTTTTCTTCTTACCAAAAGAAGCTAAAACAGAAATTTGACTGATAAATTCGGTCGGATGTTGTTGAATGTAAATATTTGGTGAACGATCGAATTGTTGTTGTAATTTTTTAAGTTTATCTTTGAAATAATTCAAATCGATTTCGTTAAAATCATTTTGTTGTCGAAGTTTCCTCAACTGTTCAGTTAGTTTCATAAAACAAATATCGATTTGATGAAAATATTCATTGGTATGTTTAAACAGAATCTCTTTACATTGATTTGCTGTTTCATGAATTAACTCGATTGATTTTTCTTCCCATTGTTCAATTTGCTTAATTAAAGAATATTTATCCGGTAAATTAATTTCGTCGTTAAACGTTTCTTGAAAAAGGTCACGTTTCAATTCTAAATGATCCAGTTGACGATTCAATTCTTGCTGATGCATTGTCAAATGATCGAAACAAAAATCTTGTAAACAACCAGAACACGTCGACGTGAATCTTTCTTTTCCGCATTTAACACAGTGAGATTTTTGTATTTCTGCTGGCATTTTCGACTTTATTCTTTATGGGAAAAAGAACAAAATGAATAGAATATCGATAGACATGCATTCTTTTGTTCAAGGATTATCTTCATATCTGAGACGATTGATATTTTGTCGCATTGAAGAACGTTGCACATCAATAGAATAACAAAAATAAGTGGCAAGGACACATTCTTTTGAGAGATTGGTTTCATATTGAATTGAATTGAATTCGATTCGATTGTTTTGTTGTTCACACAGAGAATATTTCAGCAAGTCTAACTGAAAAAAAAACTTGAGAGTAAAGGAAAAAATTTAATTAAGAACAACGTGTTTGAATGAGTCAATGATGATATCAAGGTATACTTTTGTTTTCATAATCAGGGCCTTGGGACGTTGAAAGAAAAGAAAAGAAAAGAAGAGATTATTTCACAAAGCCGCATCATATCTTTTCGTTACTCTATGGATTTTGTTGAACATTTTCCAGCTTCTTCAAAAGCCTTTCGATTAACAATACTGGTTGAATTGACTAAGTGATTTTATTTGAAGATGAACAGACAGAAGAAAAAAAAATTCGATGTGTAAAATGTTCATTAAGAAATCGAATATCGTTTTACAAAGTGTGTAAAAACTTGAGCATTGTTTGATATGCATCACCAATAGTTAAAACAATTTCGAGAATGAGTTTCAACACTCGAATATGAATCTTCACAAAAATCTTTCGTTGTTGTCGTCGTGCTAATCGTATTTGACATGTTTGACTTTCTTTCTTCATGGCGAAGATGTTTAAAGAAGACCGTTGACGATTTCAAAGAGAAAACCTTATCCACAAATGACTTCAACCTCTTTTTCTCCTTAATTAAAAAACATTTTACTATGCTCGAGTTTCTTTTGGCAAAAAGCATTTAGTTCTACTTCGATTCACACGCCGTTTTTTTTTCCTTGTAAAAACTTCGACAATTATAAGTTCAGAGAGATGAACTCAACATCGACTCAATAACGAAGGTGCAAATCTCATGAGAGAGACGCGTCTAAATTAAGGATTGACGTCATCGAGCAAACCTTGAACTGTGAATAAGCGAAAGAATCATTCCGGATATTGTTCATTTTCAATATCTCGTTTGCGTGAAGATTTGCTTTGTCGATATTCAACCTGGAATAAAATAAATAAATCTTTCATGTCTCAACTGTTCTCTTCTATATTTGATTTTTAATAACAAGACAAATCTTTCCAAGCAGATTCACATTGGTGGTGGAGGTAAAATTTGGAAGATTTCTTTTTGCCCCGCGAATGCGACATCTGTTTCTTGAACATTTTTGTGTCCTGGCTGAAGATTATTACCAGACGAGAGGATTAGAAGAAACATGACTCTTTTGTTGAAACAAGAAAAATGATTATGAATAATTAATAAAACTCATCATGTAACAGGAATTTGATTAGTGTCTTTTGCTTCTTCACCATAACGTTATTGATCAACCGGTTGATGTGAGTATGAAGTTTTTTAATTGCTCAGTGCTCGCTGGATTTGATCAATGAAACGTCGTGATTTTATATTTGTTGAAAGGATATTTTTAGAATACGCTTGTAGAAATTCTCTTATTTGCAATTTTATTAATTAACATTCTCATTGTGATGAGCTTTTACCTTCTGGTATTCATCAAATGAATTAAAAATACTTTACAGAAGAAAAAGAAAAGAGTTTTTCTCATATTGACAAAGTTCAAATATTGTTTATTTGAAGATCTTGTCAACAAAAACATTTTGCAATGAATTTTCCGTTGTTTACTTCGCTTTCATCTGAAACTCACAGTGCGATTTCATCTGTCATGACAAATATGATTTGTATGCCAAATTCTCCATCAGTCGGATCTGTTATTCCATTGTTAAAACCATTCGATGAAGATGAACATCAATTCGTTAGTACAAAAAGACGAGCATCACCAAAAACGATCCTTATGGCAGAAATAAGTCGAAGATTAATGAGAAGAAAACTTTTATACAATCGACTGTAATACAAATATCATCTTGATTCTATTTCAAACACTCTTTTGATGTTCTAGACACGTTATCAGTATAATCATGTGTAGTCTTGGTCTTCTCGGTGTACTTTTAATGATAATTAATAATGAAATTATTTTTTCGAATCTCTTTCCTCGAAGTATTTATATCTGTTGGTTTATTAAATTATTTATCACAATTACAACTTTGATTCTCATTGGATTTATCTTTTATTATCGTCGTTTAGATTTAGATTTGTATGCAATTAATAATTCGTTTAAACATTGGCGAATTGGATTGAACACGTCGAAAATACTTTTAACTTTTATCGAAGTTTTTGTTTGTTTAATTCATCCAGTTCCATTGCCAATACCTTTCTTATCGAAAATTCCATATGAAAATTCGACAATCTACAATTCAACTTCACCCGATTATATAACTTTGGATGTTGCACTTGGTTTACCAAGTATGTTGAACTTTTTTTGTGATAGAAAATAAAATACTTTTTCGTTGATTTTTCAGTGTTCGGTCGTTTGTATTTATTGTGTCGTTTTATGATGTTTAATTCTCATTTAGTTCGTGATGCATTTTCTCAATCATTAGGTTCACTTAATCAAGTATCAGTGAATTTTTATTTTCTTATCAAAACTTATCTTCAACAATGGCCAGCACGATGTTTGTGTGTTTTTTGTATTTTACTCTTTTTGATTAGCAGTTGGTCTCTACGAGCATGTAATTATAAATCAACTATTGTGCATATTTCAATGCTCGATGCTATGTGGTTATTTATTGTAACATTCACAACAGTTGGTAATGTGTCGAGATTTTAGTTAAGAAAAAGTTTTTTTTAATTAAGAGAAAATTTTCTTTTAGGTTATGGAGATGTGACACCGACGACGTATTGTGGACGAAGTAAGATGAAATTATAGTTGATCGAATGAATTCTATGTTATGTGAATAGGTGTAGCAGCGATAACTGCGATGATTGGTGTGTTATCTACTGCTTTGTTAATATCTGTTCTTGCTCGGAAACTTGAATTGAGTCGTGCAGAGAAATATGTTCATAATTTTGTTTTAAATATGAAATTGGTGAAAGATCGAAAACATCAAGCATCGAATGTGATTAAATTTGTTTTGAAACTTTGGATTTTACGACGCAAAAATCAAGCTTCATCCAATGAATTTCTCAAAGCACAAAGAGGTTTAGTTCGTTCGATGCATTTCAATCAACAAATTAAACAAGAACAAAAGAAATTAGTTGACAATTGTGTTGGAATGCCGGAATTAATCATTATGCAACGAGATACAAATGATAAAACATGTGAAAATACTGCGACATTAATCATTACCAAGGAAAAAATCGAGAAAATTGAAGAAAAACTTTGTCAAATCGATCAAACGATGATTGATATACAAAATTCGCTTCGAATCTTAGCAAATCAATTAGCAAAATAACCTTTTTTTTAGAACATTTGTTTTCAGTGAATAAAACATTCAGGTTGAAAGATTTCACATTTCATTTTTTAATCAATGAGAAAAACAAGTCGACTCAGATCAGCAAAGTTTCTCAATCTTTGTTATTTCTTTCCAATGAAAAGATATCTCGGTCGAATTCGAAAAGTTTTGTCATAGATCTTTTGTATAGTGCATTTAACTGCCAAGTTTTACCGAATTTTTTATTTCGGAATTGGAATATTTAGTGGAGAAACTCGATTGGTTTGCTGGTGAAAAGAAAAGATGTCCATAAATTTTTTATGAATATCAGGTAAAGAGAAAGTTGAAACGAGAGGAAGGAGAAGTGTGATGAGATATGATAAGTATAAACTTGCGGAATAAAATTCTGCTCCGATTGAAGAAGATAAACCAGATGAGTAAAAACAAAGTAAAATCATCGGAGGAAAAAGAAGAACGAGATAAATTGAAGAGATCGACAATAATTGAAATATCATCTTTCGATACTTTTTCCATCGAAATCGTTGATTGATTCGAAATTTTTGAAACCAAACACGAATTATCAACAAAAGACTAAAGAAAATCAGACTAAATATCGGTAAAATGCTGTTGATAATTCCATCCCACAAGGCAGTGGAACCATTTTCATATGCACAATTGGTGATTCCACATCGAGTCTTAAGATTTGTAATTGATAATGAACAAGGCAACATGAAAAATATGATGAAATAATAAATAAATGGATAAAGACAAAAGAAAAGCATCGGAAAATAATGAAAACAAAGTTTTTTCATTTTCGTTGAATAAATATTTTGATGAAAAATCAACAAATGTCTTTCGATTGATGTCCACGCGACGAGATATGAAATTGAAACAAAAACAGCGAAATCAATATAAACCCAGAGAAAACAAAAGAAATGAGAAGTCGAAATTGTTGTTCCTCGTCGATAGAAGTCAATTAACCAAATGATATCCGTTAAATTATATAATAAACAAAGAATTAAAATCAAAATCAGAACATGATTACTTAGAGTTTTACGAAATATTCGATCAGTTAAATAAGAATACAATGTAAATAATGAACAAAACAATGAAGGAATAAGAAATATTAAATAGAACCAAAAACGAATCAACGGAATGATTGTCATCGAAAATATTACCTTTCCAGCGATATCACCCTAAGTTAGAAACGTTTGTGTGATGTTTTCAATGAAAATGAATCTGAAAAGTATATCCGTAAGGAAACACTTTATCTTTTTCTAATGAAAATGTCATGACATTAATAACCGATGAAATGACAAACTTACGACGTAATAAAACTATGTCAAAAGCTTTTCCAAGGTATATAAAAAATAGAGTAGACACATTAAAAGCATTTTTCATTGTAAAGTCAAAGTACAAACGGTAGATTCTGATAGATATTTATACCACCACGGAGGTTGATCCAGAAAAATGATGACGTTAATGGTAAATAATGCGGATTTGAAAGCTTTTTGTACAGAGTAAAACTCTTGGTTTAACGAACGTTTTTCGCGTGAGTTTTCTTCAATTGGATCTTGAAACAGTAATGAAAACATATGTGTGAAACGTAAGAAATTATCGTAAATATGGTTTCTATCGCCTATAACACGAGAAGAATGTCTGAGATAGAATCAGAGTCGTCGAAGAGCTGATTAATTGAAGAATTTTATTAATTAAGGAATAAGAAATATCAAAGAGACCTCTGTAATCAGAAGATCTTTCCAGAACGTGATGTTCAAATGTCTCTTTGCATCCGAAATTGCGAAGTTTTGTTTATCAATCGATTTCTCGACGTCTGTAGAGATAATTTTTGTCTTTGAAATATTTTATTTGCCGAACTGATGGATACACAACGAACAAACATCGAAATAGAAATCGAGTTATTTTCTTAATATAAATTTGTAAAGTTTCTTAAACGATTCTCTCACGTCATGTCGAAAGGATTTGGAAACGACGAAATAAATATAAAATGGTGCTGATGTGTTCAAATAAATAAGAAATAATGATAAAAATGAAATAAAATTTTCAATTTGACTTCTTTGAGGAGACTTTTGAATATTCATCGAATTTGTCAAAGAGATTTCCAAAAGGATAATTGGATAAAGACTCATCGTTACAACATAAACTGACACTTCTGACAGCAACATTTTCAATAAACTTCGATCTTTTTGTTGAATTGCATTTCCTTGATGATTTGTAATTGTTGTTCCAGATGGTTGAATTCGTGTTCGCATCTGACTCACATTTCGAAAGGATAAATATCCAAAAATAACCATCAAGATCGGAGGAAGAAAACCAACAAATATGAGAGTATAAACGCTATTCAATATGTAATAAAGACCAAAGTAACCGCAACGACCATTTTGAATTGTCGTCATAATGAAGATATGAATGGGAAAAACATGCCAAAAGATGATTGAAATCACGATGAGAATTCGAGTTTTGTTTATGTGACTGAAATTTCGGATCGTTGCATTTCGATGTGTCAAAAGGAAACGATCAACACACGCGAGAATAACAAAATATCTCGATACTTGTCCCCAAACATGAAAAAAGAAGAAACGTGATTTACAAACATAGAGAGATGAACTTGATGGATCAAAATTATCCAAAACATATAATCCATACGGAATACTAACAGATAAATAAATAATATTAAACAATGCTGCGCATAATAAATAAAGTGCACAACCATTTTTATGATGATGACTGAATAAATACACAACACCGATATTACCAACAAAACCAAATATTAAGACAACTAATGTTCCATAACGTATTAAATTCGTTTGAATTAACGAGAGAATCGGGATAGATGACATTTGGTTTGAATAGATAAGGATGAACTTCAGAATCGCAAGTTGGTTTTGTTTTTTATAAGGACAAAAACAGCGAAGAGGATGTCTGTAGACTCAGCTAGTAAAAGGAATGAACGATGAATGAATTCTGTCAATGTATTTTTAACAGAAAGAGAAGTACGGAAATGAACCAAATAGTAAAGTTGGTTTTAATTAAAGATAAGATGTTTCTATTTTACAAGTTTCTTTCATATTTAATTATTACACGCTGATTTTCTTTGAAAAGAATATCTAATTAATGAAGAAAATCACGTTCGGAGAAGGTAAGGAAGTCTATGGCACTTATTAATCTTTCCAATGATGATTAAAGATCAATGTGAAAAAGAAAACAGATAATTAAATATTACCGAGGAAATAATCGATCATCTTTATTCTTTTCACAAAGATTTGGTTCTTATTACGATGTTTCGGTTAAGTAGTACACGAACTCAAAATTCCTCCAGGCATTATTATTACTTTATACAAACAATCAGTTCGAAAAGATCACAACGGATGCAAAAATATGAATTCTATGCTTATCTACACAAACAAAATACTATCTGGTGGAAAAGTTTTCTCTGTGAACATCCGTCCGGTTAATACAAATCACTTTTCTTGAAAAAAACATCATTGAATAACAAGGTCGCATGTAATTTCATTCTCTGTACAAAACCAATAACTCTCTTAAATATATAGTAAGAGATATTTTGTTCAGCGTCATCTGTGTATAACTGAATTTAGTTTCTTGATTAAAGAATAAGCGAGTTTATTGAAGAAAGAAAAAAACCAGTGTATTTCTATTTTTGAAATCAAATCGAAAGATTTATTTTCGACATCGTTTCCCTTCTTTACACGATGTACAAACACCACCAAAGAAACATTTGTTTCCAACAGTTGCACAAGGTAATCCCGAACATGAAGGTAAAATTGAACAATCACATTTATGATTTGTACATATTCCACCATTTAAACATCGATTTCCATTGGTCAAACACGGAAGATTACATGTTGAAAGAAAACGTTTTTCACGATGATCCATCGACGTTGATTTCTCATCACATCGAATCATTGTTGAACAAAATATAAGAAAGACGAAGAAGAGGATGAGTTGTTTGAGCATTGTTTTGTTAATCGAATAAAATTGGAGGTTGTGTATTTATAGTGTGTGATGGGATGATCGAAGTATCGATATATCATGAAGAAGATTCAACTGAGTGGTTTTAGTCGGAAGAAAAATATCAGTAGAGAAAATGTGTCATGAATAAGATACGAAAGAGTACAGGTGAGTAAATCATACATCGATGGATAATTTGTTTCAGTTTGAAGATAAAGCTTCAAGATCTCCGCATCCTCATATGAACTAAATCTTTATATATCGAAGTATCAAATTATGAATAACTATAAAATTCTTGCACAAATTTACGTTTGAATTCTACTTTTTGTTTCTTTTGCATTGAAGTGCGATAATCAACGAAGAGTTGACCTTCGAGTGAAATTTTTATTTGAAAATTTTTTGTTTAACAATTAACCGACCAATAAAAAAGTGCGAGTGAATCTTGTCTATGGGAAAAAGACAAGTCGATGAAATTTTCTCACATATCTCATCTTGTTAATCTCCTGAAGATTCACAAATTTGATATTGTTAACGTGAACTCTTTCAACATGATGTTAATTTACATTACTTTTGCTGATTTCTTCTCCTGTTTAAATGCGAACAAATCCAAAATGTCCTTTATTATTGTATTTAATTTTCATCCGAGATCACGAAAATTCTCCAAATCAAGGAAATACGATATCAATAAGGAAAAAAATCGAAGATTAATCTCACATATCGAATATCTGCACCAGATTTTTCTCAAGAAATGCAATCCATTTGGATGAAATTCACTTTCAAAACGTTGTTATTGTATCTTCTCTTTAAATGAATAAATCTTGTAAATCTTATGAAAATCAATTCAGATTGTTCGTTGAATTTATTAAACATCAGTACGGAATAAAGAATCTTGAAATAACGAGTTGACATAAAAAATAGACTCGTTTCACATTGATTCGTGAAAGTATCTCGAAGGTTTAATAAAAGTTTCTTCATGACTTTACAACTGAGAGAATAATCGTTGTTTAAAGATATGGAAAGTAGAAAATACTGAAAATTTAATTAATTATCCAACGGCTTTTTAGAAATGAAAAGAAAAACGAGAGATCATTGTTTAGAATTTACAGATAATCTTCAACAGCAAAGTTTTATCGATGGTTTCATTAAACAACAATTGATCAAATTCTACATTTGTTTTGTGGAATGTCGGAAAAGTTATTCAAAATGAAATTCTCTGATTAATACCAGATCATTTTCTGTAAAATCAACTTAAAAGACAATTTTACACAAAATGGTCGGGTATTATACTGAGAAATACACAAATCGATATAGATTTTACATTCTTTTTATTGTAGGAAAAGTTGCACATGTTAAAGAAGATGATGAAAGTCGGATGAAACATCGATTAGTTTTGAAAAAAAATCAAATGTTGCATCCCACTTTTATCGCCTTTCTCTACATGTTTTACTCGAAAGTTGAACTCAACAATATTCACATTGCTCTATTTTCTCTCTTTCAATAAACTTTTCTACAATTCATGTTATCGTTAAAACCTCATCTCTTCTTATAAATATGATGTTCTTTTGTAAAGAGGATGAAACAACAAGTGACCAATATCAATGAAGACATTTAAGGTGGCAAAACAATCGTGAAGAATATCTCTGCAGAAGCACCGATCTCCTCTTCATTAACATTGGTTCAACGAAGATGAAATTTTATTTGTCAAAAGTTATACACACACGTTTTCTTTTCTGTGACAAAAAAATGTAATTGAGAATAATGAATCTCGTGTAAAAACTATAGTTCGACGATCGAATTTTATACTGGTTCTGTGTACTCGGTGGATCTTTTCTTTAAAATTGTCAAATTAATAAAACCTTCATTTCGTTCTGCTGTAAATCTCTCTTCAATTGCTTGTTGAAATGAAATATTTAATTTAAATGATCCAGTCGGAATATCCGATTGATGAATAATCGGATTATTCATTGATGTATTCAAATCACGTCGTATATTTTCAATTGTAATCGAATTTCCTGAAATTCTTGGCTTTAAAACTCCTTTTTCAAATCCAGGTAGTTCAAGAACTAAAAGATATTTCGTCTCATCTTCATATAAATTATATCTCGGTTGCCAATATTCACTTTCATTACGAATGAAATATCCAGCATCATCATATATAAGTTGTTCAGATAATTTTAATTCATATGGTCTTTGAGAAAGATCTTCATAATCTCGTCGATTACTAAGAACGATAAATGGTTTCGAATTGTGTTGTACTAATTGTAAATTCGGTGTTTGTTCAGTTGAATTTTGAACAAATAATTTTGATAATTTATGATTTATGAAAGTAATCATGTCATTGATAAGATCCAAATTACGTTTATTATCCGTATTTTGGAGGAAATTCATGATGCCATCAATAGTTTGCATATTCCATAGTTTATCAGCTTCGGAACCTGATCTTCCTAAAATGTAATGTCGAATATCAGTTCCACCGAATTGTTTTGAAGTAAAATAGATAATATCTTTCATACATCCGTTGATGGATAGTTGTGTTTTTTGTTGAACTGCACCGAAAATCCATTGAATTTCTTCGGAAATGATCTTATCAACATCAGGAATTTTTTCCACATCTAACAAATTGTGAACGATTATAATAGTCTTCTTATGAGGCGAATTTCGATAGTATTTCAAGATTTGATTGATGTAAATCTGATCCGTTGTTCGTAGTCGATTGACAACAATGATGATAAAAGTTGAGAGATGAAGAACAACTTCTCGTAAAAGCGCTTCTCGCGCTCTTTTATATTCGATCTCATCATTTCTTACTGGAGTGTCCGTTCCAGCAGTATCCAAAAATACAATATTTGTATAATTTTGACGTCCGGCGGTGATAGAAATGCCCTCCGTATGAACTAAAGTTCCCGTTGGAAGAGAAACATTGCAGAGTTGATTAAGGAGAAACGATTTTCCTCGGTTGTACGCACCGAGAACACTTACAACAACACCTTCTTTCTGTTCATTTATCACCGATGCACCATTTTCACCAGTACCTTTCGTCGTCGATTTGATGGATTTCGTATGTTGACCTAATAAGATTTCCCATCCATGAGTTCGTAAATCTAGTAGATTGTTTATTCGAACGACAATGTCATATGGTGATGCTGTAGTTCGATATTTATTTGAGGCTGCGTCATTTTCATTTTCACCATAAAGTTCCAAACCAGAAAGAATAGCCGATAAGGTTTTGTTGCTGATTTCAGGAGTTTTTTCACTTACAGACAATGAATTTTCAGAGGAACGAGGGGTACCACTTTTAATGAAAAACCGACCGTGATTGCCTCTACTCATTTTGCTTCTGTATATTATAACCGAAGAAAGTAATATGCTTATATACACAGATTTGTTCTCAGCGTTATCTGTGTTTTTGTATAGATAACAGTCGGACATGACTTTTTAAGGTCTTCAAAGTAAAGTCACCAACTCATTCTAAAATTGGGTATTTTATCATTTACTTCTGCGCTCAGTATTTATGAATTTAGTTTCTTGGTTAACGAATAAGCGAGTTTATTGAAGAAAGAAAAAAACCAGTGTATTTCTATTTCTGAAATCAAATCGAAAGATTTATTTTCGACATCGTTTTCCTTCTTTACACGATGTACAAACACCACCAAAGAAACATTTGTTTCCAACAGTTGCACAAGGTAATCCCGAACATGAAGGTAAAATTGAACAATCACATTTATGATTTGTACATATTCCACCATTTAAACATCGATTTCCATTGGTCAAACACGGAAGATTACATGTTGAAAGAAAACGTTTTTCACGATGATCCATCGACATTGATTTCTCATCACATCGAATCATTGTTGAACAAAATATAAGAAAGACGAAGAAGAGGATGAGTTGTTTGATCATTGTTTTGTTAATCGAAGCAAATTGGAGGTTGTGTATTTATAGTGTGTGATGGGATGATCGAAGTATCGATATATCATGAAGAAGATTCAACTGAATGGTTTTAGTCGGAAGAAAAATATCAGTAGAGAAAATGTGTCATGAATAAGATACGAAAGAGTACAGGTGAGTAAAATCATACATCGATGGATAATTCGTGACTTTGACTTGAGTTTCGCTGATGAGAATGTACAGCTGAGAGAATTTTAGTAAATAGAAAAGTCTCATGTTCACATATTTTTGAAACCTACAAAGAGTATCGGATTTTAGTTGATATCACATATCCTTATATTCGTCACACCACATATTGTTTTGCATTATTTATCACAAAGTTGTATTTCAAATAAAGATGGCGCTGTAAATAATGAATTTGGCAAATTGATATAAAAGATCTTGGATAAAAGCGAATATGATCAGAAGATTTCCTAAAAAAAGACAATAAAGAAAAGCCTCAATTGATTGTTCCTCGTGAGCTACACCGAGTGAAAATTTTATTGGTTGCTCAACGTGACAAAGTATGACAAGTTGTTTTAAAAGCATATTAACAAAAAAATCCATATGGCATCACCAGCTAAAAGAAAATCTTTTGAAGATCTATCAAGTGAACTTTTTTATGAAATCTTTGATTATTTCGACGGTTGGTCATTATACAAAGCCTTCGCAAATTTGAATATTCGTTTTCAATTGTTCATACCGATTTAAAATCAATGTTTCTCATCTGGAAAAGTCCGATACTGATGCATTCTGCAGAAAATGTCTCATTCCGAATCGTCGTCGAGTCAATTCATTTACCTTATATTCCGAAAACAATTCTCGTGGTTCTTCTTCAGTCATTTATTTTACTTCCTCGTTTATTCTTCTCAGATCTTTTTCTTGTTAAAATCGTGTCATATCAACGAGGTACGAAAGAAAAGACAGCCGAAGTGTTTGATGTTGTTTATATAGTGAGTGCACTGTTCATGGATAGAATATCACGAGAATTTACCTTTGAAGAGCATTTTCTTCCAAAGAAGTCCACTTTTCCTTAAATTTACATATTCGAAAAAGTTGCACGATTTTTCACCTTAGAAAGGAAACGCCTACAAATACCACGAATTTTATTTTTCTAGGGTCCAAGTATGACGAATATCTTAATCTTACCGAAATCTACTGTTCAATCCTGAAACTTCCCGTTTTCAAATCAATAAAAATTTCTTCTTGGTTTCCTGAAACAATATTTCCTATTGCAATGAATTCAACAATTGAAGAGAGTTCTTATGAGAATTGTTTCAATGGACTATTCAAATAACTTTAACCCAAAATCAATACGAAGATTGTCAATTAAAATTTGTCGCAATTCCTTTTTCCATTTTCCTCGAATTTCTTTAATTATCCAAGATGATATTGATTTTCAAGGTATCATTTCACCATTGTCAAAACTTCCAATAACTCAACTGATACTTTTTATCGGTGATCAGTATGTTCAATTATTATCTGATATTCTCAAACATCTGCCAATGTTGATTGTATGAGAAATTCGACCTTTTTCTTTCAATGGAAGGATTTGTTCTTTCTCTCCAACGATCGAAATTGGTCAAACGAAAGTTACAACAGTGAAAATCTGCAAAGTGTTCAGATTGAGTTTATCTTTAACTTAGAGAATAGTGGAATGGTTTTATTCTCTAGACTGACAAACGAACTGATGAGTCTTCTATTTTTATTGATTAACGAGTTTTTTAAACAAAGAATAAAAGATGAAATCCGAATTGAAGACAATGATCAGTAGCGAAAGTTTGGAGAGATGAACGAAAAACAATCGTGTAAAATATTCATCATTGTTACTGATGACAATGTCGATTATAATTTATTTATATGAAGTTTTCTCGTACCATTGGTGAACTGACAATTCACATTCATTGTCATTGGCTTCGATCACACATTTCATCGTCGGATATCGAAGTTATCTGTTAACAATTTGCGCAGAAAAAATATTCGTTATCTGATGAGAAATTCACAGTTCTTAGTCTTTTATTACGGACCATCAAATTTGGTGCATTACCATCCGAATAAAATGTATTCTAACTTCTGATACTAAATGATGACAAAGAAATAAATCAACACATGAAAAATGGACCAAAGATTATAATAAAATTCGAAGTGTTTTCGATGACAGAAGTTTTCTCTTATCAAAAATGTGTTTTAATATTAACTCTTATTTTAATAATCCCGCTCCGATAAGTATTTTCAAAACAAAAGATTCAACAGAAAATCTATTCGAAGTTTAAATGAAAAAAATACAAGACTAACTGTTTATTTAAGACAACAAATGAGTCAAATTGAGTTAGAAGAATAAAAACAAAATATTGATAATCTTATCTCAATGAACACATTTTTATCAACGACTTTAGAAGAACCAATTGTGATGATCTATGCAGGTATAGGTGAAGGACGTTCTTTTGTTCAATCAGTTCTCTTCGAAATTGATTTAGTTAAACAATCATTGGGTGAGATGTGAATTGTTAAAATGAACTTCACATCTATTCAATGAACAATTGAAAAATTTGAATGATTGTTTGAAGGATGAAATGAAAAAAACAAACAAGTTTAGTAGATTTAGCCAATCTTTTATTAACAATGGGAGACGTTGAGAAAGTTATTCAACTTTTCATTGAAGAAAATCTATGTGAAAAAAGTGATTTGTATGAAAAAGCACTTGATTATCAAAGTTCATCTCAATCACCGAATTACTTATGGTTATCAAATGCTTATGAAAATATTGGATATGCTCGTGAAAAACTTGGTCAAACTCAACTTGCTTTGAAATATTACGAAAAACAAAGATTACTCTTGCGAATAATTATTAAAAGTCATTGGAAAACAATGAAAAAGCTTTAAAAGAGCTTTGAAAATGGGGAAACCATCTCGTCGTATTTATCATCTTATTAAATTTTATCTTCATCTTTGAACACACATATTTTGCTTTGAAAGATTATGGAAATTCCATTGATTATTATAAGAAAATGCTCGATACAAATCTGTTACAAATATCTAAGAAATTAAAAAAAATAATGGCACAACAATGCAAAAACTGTTTCGATTTGTATTTTTATCGGACAAATGAAAATATTTACTATCAAATGAAATAATACGATAAAGCTATTGGAAGTTTTCAATATGCGATAAGAACACAAGTGGCATCTGCAAAACAGAAAAAAGAAGATTTTATTTCATTTTATGAAATTTGGAAAATGTAGATTTCGATGATGTTTATGAATGCTGTAAAGTATATTTTTTATTAAAACTTCAACGGAATTCTGAAGAGCCATTAACTGTTGCTGAGACATACTCTCAGTTGGCATCGTTATATGAGACAAACGACAATTATTTAATTGCAATTGAGTAATTAGAAAAGAGCAGACAAATTTATTTAATATCATCAAGTACTGATACAAAACCACTTGCGCAAAATATTCATTGAGTTAATATATGTATGTCGTGTAAATGACAATTATTCAGAAGCTTTACGATATAGTCAAGAAGCATTGGATGTAAAATTAAGAGAAATTATTTTCGACATGTGTTCATTATCATTGATCTATAACGGAATGGGATTGAGTGATTATGAACAAGATATTTTGATACTAAGTATCAAATACTTTATTAAGGCAATCGATTTGATGCCCGAAGATGCAACTAACATATTGTGTTTTTCGGTAATCTTGGTAGAGCATATGAAATACCTAAATTGTATGATCAAGCTCTCAAATATTATCAGAAAACTTTAATTATTAAAGAAAAACACATCGATGCATCTTACAACTCTATATCGAAATCATATGCGAACCTTAGCAACGTTTATCTCTTAAAGTGAGACTATGAAATGACGTTGAAGAATTGTCAACAGGTAATTGAGAAAAATACATCAAAGCATTTATTTTCAGATCCACTGCTTCATTATGGTGCCCTTGCTGAAGTGTATTTTACAATGGGGAATTTCGAAGAAGCGGAACGTGTTTGTCTGCCGACATTAGGAAAAGAAAAATCTTTTCCGTTTAGAATTCGATCGAAATGTATCAGATTCATATTTGAAATGATGAATCATTAATCAATTTCGAAAAAGCAGTTTGCAGAATTCATCAATCCAAATCTACAAATTATGAAGTCAAGAGTGCTGTATATAGAAATATCAGAGATTTATACAAGAAAACCTGTAGTGACAAACGTGAACGTTAAATTCAATTTAAATAGACCAATACTGGCAAAATGTATTTTCTAATAAAATAATCATGTAAGTCAATGAGTTTTCTGAAGACAATGGAATAAAATACAACTAAAGTAGTGATTTATTTATTTATTAATAATTCAATTCTGAAATACTTCGTCAAGTGTTGTACTGTGTGCACGAAATTGATGTTGATAGTTTGAATATGATTTTATTTCATAATAATAAAGGTGAAATATAAAAATACTTTCTCATTAATAAATTGAAAAGACTTTGAAAATCGTTTTCTTTTCGCATAATGATAAGAAAAAGAGAAATGGTCAGTTGATCGATTAGGTACGCGATATATTTTTCTCTGAACAGTTCCGATAGAAATCAAATACAACACAGAAGAAGAAGTCAGACAATCCATACAGAAGTTTCTATTTATAAAGATAAAAAGAAAGAAATCGAGACAACAAGCATCATCCACTTCGACTGCTCTTATATGACTTATACGAGAATTTATTTCTCATGCGCAATTTCTTACCAATATACTTTATCTTCAAAGTTCAACAACGAGAGATCTCTTTTTTCATATAATGTCCCGTCAAAGATCAAAGTGCGTTCTCTTTTGATCTTTAACTATCTGTCATTACTTGAATTTTCATTTCATTTGGATTGACTCGATTCTTTCCACATCGATTCGTATAAGTCTCATAAAAAACATATTTTGCTTGACGACGAAATCGTTTCGACACACAAATATATGTAAAAAAACGAGTTCTAAACAAATCAACAGACGAATTCTATTTACATTTCAGTCATCTTTACCTACTCCATTACTGATTGTGAATATAGCCAGAGTAACTGCATTGATTAAATTCAATTGTGCAAGAAGAATTGGATCGCGGTTTGTATTCAATGATGAAAATCCATTGGAAATGGCAAATGGGAGATAAGTGCAAATGTAAACACACACTTCTACAAGAACCATCACGGTCAGTTGTTTGTCCAATTCTCTTCGAACGACTGGGTTTGTTCGAGTTGCCAAACTTCGAGCATTTCGAAAGCCAACACAGCAAACATTGCAGAAACCAACGGAAAAAAATTTCCATATGTGAAAAAATATCCATAAATATAATACTGAACAAAAATCTGATTGGTTGCAATGCACGTTGACGTATTGGACAATGCTAATTGATTGAAATAAATAAAGAACAGTGATGCGTGAAGAGCCCAAATAATTGTAATAACCAATACGAGACGATGAGCGAGTTTGATATTCGACCATCGCTGCCATTGTGGCCGAGCGCTTGTCGCGAAGTATTGATCAATTACTGCTAAACACAATGTTGTTATTGCGCCCAAATAACACAAACCGATAATCGAAGTTCGAAGTTGACAATAATACAATAAAGCAGGTGTCCAATTAATTGGAAATGCTGTTGAGATAATAATAAGGGATGTGCCGAATACCAGTCGAATAAAATTAAACACTGACATGGACATCAGATAGAACGCGCAGGAACTTTGTCGAAAGGTTTTGAGACTGAGGAAAACAATAATACTGAATAATTCACTGATCGAACAGAGAATACAGATCGGAATTGAAACATAGGTAGCGAATTGTGAACGGATATAAAAGAGCGAGGCAATGTATTCTGAACTCATGACGAAGAAATGATGAGAATGAAGAGTGTAATACGTGTTATAGTATGAAAAGGAGCGCGTAGATTTTTTCTTGGTTTGAATAATTAAACGAAGGAAAGTCTTTGTCTTTTCTGAACACAGAGAACGAGTTATTAGAAAATAATCTCATATTTTTCTATGCTTATAATTAAATTATGTCATTTGGAAATGAGCTAAAAGTCATGTTTGAAGTGATATTATTTCAAGGGTTGTTCATCATTTTCTATTGGTTGACAAACTATTCAAATAAAGAACAGAGAAAAGAAAGAGTCTTTCAAGAAAAAAAGCATCCAGGTTTGAAAAGAATTTCACTTGAGTTGTATTAGAATGTCTGGTTTAATAATGAATAGAACATTGAACTCGAAGCGAAATATTCGATTAATTAATAGATTTTTATTAAGGTCTCACAGTAGTTACTGATCAGTCAAGTCGGAAGTCGTTTAAAAGCAACTTAGTGCCAAAAGACATTAAACGATGTGAAAGTAAAGAAAGAATGTGAACACTTTCCCTATGGATTCAATAAATTATTAAATAAAACAAAGTATAAAAAAAAGTCGCTTTTTCCGAATCTAAAGAATCAAGTTCATTCAAATTTGATCATACAGAACGAGACTTTGTCCACATTGATTAGGAAAGTTCCGATACAAAACACGTTTCGACACACAGATGTATGTGAAAAACGAATTCTCAACAACAAAGGAAAACGATGAATTGTCTTCAATTCAACATCAGTTCACGTACTCCACTAGTTAAAGCAAATGAAGTTATCATTGCTGTATTAATCTAATTCAGTTGTGCGAGAAGGATTGGATTACGATTGGTATTCAACGAAGAAAATCCATTAGATATTACAAATGGTATAAACATCAGAATACAAACACCGATTTCGACAAGAACCTTGATTTAGAAAATTGAAATTTCCGTAAGCATGATATTGCAGAAAACCAACATTTGATGATGCACAAATAGTTGTACTCGAGAGAGACATTTGGTTGAAAAAGATGAACAATGGTGTTGTATGAAGAAAGCAAAGAATTATTATGATTGCCATGAGACGATGCGATGAAATTTGATATTCGACCGTCGCTACCAACGAGGACGAGAATAAGTAGCGAAATATTGATCAACCACTGCTAAGCATAAACTTGTTATTGTCCCTAAGCAACACAAACCAAAAATCGCAGCATGAATTCGACAGTTTAATATTATGAAAGGTATCCAATTGATTGAAAATGCTGTTAAGATAACAATGAGTGAAAGCACAAAGACCATGTACTGTGAACTCATTATACTCTTGAAATAAATAATTAAATGCGATAAACAAGGCTTCTTCTGTGAACTAAATGTATGTGAATTAGAAACAAACGTTTTGTGTTTTTACCTCTGTAATCGGGTCTTGTTTATCAGAGTTTGATTGCAAATGACACATCAATTGAATAGTTTTATTGTTCTCTCTTATTGATCTTCAAAGTTTCGTAATTAATAATACCTGAAATAAGGGAAAATAATAATTTGTTTCGCGATTACGCAAAGGAATTTGTCTGAACGATAGTTTGCACTTCAATGAAGGATTCTTCTATGAAGCGAAAATAATGACAAAAGTATAGAGTATGATGACTAGTTCAATGAAATATAATTGATTCATTGAAATAAAACCTGTTAATTCTAAAGCCATTAAACACGTGATAAAACAGGTTCGGCACTTACACTTCTATAATTTCTTTAGTCTGTGATCATCAGGTGATTTTATAGATATATGACGTCTTCAGAAAAGATGGAGAGTAAACAGTGCACAGGCTTGTTTTAGAAAAAGTCAAATAAATCTCACCCTGTGACTTGCTAACATCACGAGATTCGCTCAGGCAGTTATAAATTTCGCACATTTCGAAAAGCCATCGCAGCGAATATCACTGGGGCAAAAGAATGAAATTATTTGAAATTGTCATTAAATAATTGGCACTTGAACCTTATCGAAATACATGTTTTTAAACTGAGAAAAACATGGCTTATGAAGAATTC